GATACATTTACAATATTTCCTTTGTTTTTCTTCAGCTCTGGGAAACATTTCTGCGACAAAAGTAAAGGCGCTTTAAGAGCAACATTGATCTCCTTGTCAAATTGTTCCTCTGTGACGTTCTTAAATGTGCAGATTTCAGCTGTACAGGCATTGTTCACTAGGACGTCAATTCGCCCAAATGTATCCATAGCTGTGTCATATAATCGCTGTATCAATATCTTGTCACTGTTGAAATCTCCCTGAACCATAGGAAACTTGGCAGTCTCTGCACCAACTTTCCTGCATTCTTCAACTGTCTGTTCTAGCGTTTTCATGTCCCTTCCATGAATGACAACACTAGCACCTTCTTTTGCCATCAACAGGGCAGTCGCCTTCCCAATACCACTGTTTGATCCAGTGACTATAACTCCTTTACCAGAAAATCTCATTTTGATGGCAATATTCAATGAACAACAAAATTACGATGTAATGTAGGCCTACACCTAAGGGTATGATGAGAGCTCTCGGGTAACTAGGTTTACGTTCAAAAAATGACGTTGAAAATGGTAGGGTCACCTTAACTTCAAAATATGAATTCATCGTCTGCTGTTCAAAATTACATTTTTTCATGAAAATGGTAAACGTGTTTTCTTTCGTAAAATAGACTACACATCATCACATACTATGCCATTGATAGTTAGACAGCTGGTTTTCTATGATACATATTTTAAACATGCTCGTTTCTTAAGATATTTGGAGCCAAAACATGTATGGATTGGCATACATCATTTTCTTCAGAAAACATTATACCATACGTTGAAATCAAAACCGAAACGGTTCGTTTTGGTAACAAAATGTCGGAACATCGAAGGTACGATTTTTCTTTATTCCTTATTTCACATGTTTTAGGCAAAATTCGGAAAGATTAGGTAGATTTCGGAAAAACGGGAGTTTTTACGGTAGATTTTGAAAAAACTGGGGTTTTTACGGTAGATTTCTGAAAAAACGGGAGTTTTTACTATATAGATTTTGAAAAAACTGGAGTTTTTACGGTAGATTTTGAAAGAACGGGAGTTTTTACGGTAGATTTCGGAAATACGGGAGTTCTTACGGTAGGTTTCTGAAAAAAGGGTCGGTTTTTACGGTAGATTTTGAAAAAAACGTGAATTTTTACGGTAGATTTGTCATATAATCGCTGTATCAATGTCATCTTGTCACTGTTGAAATCTCTCTGATCCCTAGGAAACTTAGCTGTCTCTACACCAACTTTCCTGCATTCTTCAACTGTCTGTTCTAGCGTTTTCATGTCCCTTCCACGAATGACAACATTACACTTATCTCCTTCTTTTGCCATCAAAAGGGCAGTCGCCTTCCCAATACCACTGTTTGAACCAGTAATGATAACTCCTTTACCATGGCAGTATTCAATGTACAACAAAAACCTAAGGGTATCATGAGAGCTGTCGGGTAACTAGGTTTATGTTCAGTTGAAAATGGTAAGGTCACTTTAACTCCAAAATATGAATTCATCGTCTGCTATTCAAAATTAAATTTTTCATGAAAATGGTAAACGTGTTTTCTTGAGTGTTCTTGAAGTTCCAGTGTGCTGGATAAATAATATTGGAAAACTTGCCGTTTATCGATCTGATGCAACAGGTTTAGCCTAAGATAATAATCCATATCCCAGGCTTTGCTTACCCAGAGCCTTTACTTTGTAAATGTACCTATTATGATGATCATCAAATGGGATTATCCCCTAGAATCTCAAATAACCTTTTGATTTTTTATCATGGATTCTTATATAGGTGTAATTTGAGAAAGGAACTTTTATGTTTCTTATGTGGTTGCTTCATCGCCTTTTGACCGACAAACCATTGGTGGACGAATATTACCACTTTTGACCGACCACCATTTATGTTATGTTATGTTTCTTTATTTCCTCCGTTTAATTGGAGAGCAAAACAATTAATACATGTATATCACATTACAGAACATGTATATATTACGGAAGAGTAAAGTGGTTATTATATTTACATATTTACAGCACCATTCATCATAGATACATGTTTATTAAAATGTACTTACATTTTAATATTACCATTCAAACTTGCCTATTTGAAAAATGTATTTGTATTGTAAAATGTTTTGGACATATCATAAATGGTGTCATTGGCTACATCAAAATCTATTCTGCTAACAACGCGTGGAACAGTCTGTAAGAAAATATCATCATCAAAGCTGAAAAATCATTGTTTGACACATTTGTATTTGTGGATGAATTAAATATGTCGACACCCAACATTGAAACACAAGACCTCAAATAATTCAACATGTTTAAAAGAGAAATCTTGGGGGAGCTAAGGGGGGGGGGGCTAAGGTTGCTAAACGTATGGGGGTGTATGTAGTTTCCAATGCAAAATCTTTAAAAACCAATAATTTGCTCGAATGTAGAGAGTTTTAAAGGCATGCTCTCCTCGAATTTTAAACAAAAAATATTGAATACTGTGCAAGAGTTTTGTTTTGTAAAAAGAGGATCCTCCTTTTTCATTTTTATTTCTATGAATATGTTATATATCAAGATATTCAATTTTTACAAATTTTAGTGTGATCTCAACACCAAAATGGAAGCAAATAACTAACTAAAACTAGCTTCGATAGCTATTATGGCATAAGGCAAAGTGTTTGTTTTAAAGGAATATTCCTTGCCAAACCATCTCTCTCCTCATATGGTAGCTATAACCATATATATGCTTGCCATGTTTAGCAAAACACGCAAAAATGTTTTGATATGGTCAAATTTGATCACTTAGAAATGTGATGCTCAATTCCAGTAAGCTGCCATCTTTTAAAATTTCACACAGGAAGTGATGTCATCGACTCTCAACTTTGCATATAGCATTAGGTGAGGAGCTATTAAGAATTACAAAACCAGCTAAATATTCTTTTTCAACTTTGTATCTTATTTAATCCTTCTGAAAATCTCTTTTTTATTCTAAGTTGACAAGCCCTGAAAATATTTTTGCACAGAAAGTAATGATCACTTGTCTAGAAGTGATTTTGTGCTACTTTCCTATACTGTTATGAGCAAGGTTATAGAAGTTGAGAGTTGATGACATCACTTCCTGCAAGAAATCTTAAAAGATGGCAGCTCACTGGAAATAAGCACTAGATTTTTAAATGATCAATATTGACCATATTAAAACATTTTCCCATGTTTTGCTTAATATGGAAACTATATATATGATTATAGCTACCATATCAAGAGAGAAAGGGTCTGGCAAAGAATATTCCTTTAAGGCCAATTAGGCAGTCAACAGTTAATTGCTGGCACACTTGGCAGCATCCTCAATTGTTTTTGTATCAAGTCCCATAAGAGTTATTCCTCCATCATGTATAATTTCAGCACCATTCATCATAGATGCATCATCTGACGCGAGATACGCAATCAGCTTAGCAGTCTCCTCGGGAGTACCATTTTTCTTTAATGGGGCACAATGTGAGGCTGTCTTATAAAATTCATCTTGCTCCCCCTTTGTGTTAACAACTCCAGATTTGAGTAAATTGCCAGTAGCAACCACCCCAGGGCATACTACATTAACTCTGACTCCCTCAGAACCATATTCTATCCCCGCACATTGAGTAAACTGATTCAACGCTGCTTTTGAAACAGGATAAATTGCATATCCAAGAGAGCAAGGTCTTGCTCCAGCTACACTGGATACATTGACAATATTTCCTTTGTTTTTCTTCAGCTCTGGGAAACATTTCTGCGACAGAAATAAAGGCGCTTTAAGAGCAACATTGATCTGCTTGTCAAATTGTTCCTCTGTGACGTTCTCAAATGTGCAGGTTTCAGCTGTACATGCATTGTTCACTAGGACGTCAATTCGCCCAAATGCCTCCATAGCTGTGTCATATAATCGCTGTATCAACGTCTTGTCACTGTTGAAATCTCCCTGAACCATAGGAAACTTGGCGGTCTCTGCACCAACTTTCCTGCATTCTGCGTCTCTTCCATGAATGACAACACTGGCACCTTCTTTTGCCATCAACAGGACAGTCACCTTCCCAATACCACTGTTTGAACCAGTAATGATAACTCCTTTACCAGAAAATCTCATTTTGATGGCAGTATTTAATGTACAACAAAATTACCATGTAATGTAGGCCTGTACAACTAAGGGTATGATAAGAGCTGTCGGGTAACTAGGTTTATGTTCAGTTAAAAATGGTAGGGTCACCTTAACTTCAAAATATGAATTCATCGTCTGCTATTCAAAATTACATTTTTTCATGAAAATGGTACGTGTTTTCTTTCATTACTTAGACTACATATCATCACATACTATGCAATTGATCGTTAGACAGCTGGTTTTCTATGATACATATTTTAAACATGCTCGTTTCTTAAGATATTTTGAGCTAAAACATGTATGGATTGGCATACATCATTTTCTTCAGAAAGCATTATACTATACGTTGAAATCAAAATTGCCAGCCCAGTATTCAACGGAGATGAGTATATGACTCCCCTTCACTGGTGATCCACTCGATTACGCTGGTTACCGAAACGGTTCGTTTTGTAACAAAATGTCGGAACACGAAGGTACGATTTTTCTTTATTCCTTATTTCACATGTTTTAGACAGAATTACCAAGACATTTTTAATACAAACGTGTATCAGCATCTTATGTTTAAGAAAGTGTACATATTTGCGAACAAATATCCAATATCTCCCAAAAGATTCACAATATGTTGTAAATTGGTGATGTTATTAATGAATCAAAGTGCAAAAATGGGTGAAAAATGTTTAAATTCTCCCAAATAATAAGAATGGTAACCATTCTTATAGAAAAATAATACATTATTGTAAAAATCTTTATAGTTTTATTTTGTGAATTTAGGAAACATGACAAGGAATGACATGAGCCAAAAATATGATTAAATTGAAACAATCTTTTGTTTAACCTGCTCGCTATATCTGATTATCTCTTTCAGTAAGGAATTAAATCGATGATTCTGTTGTCTTCTGAGCTATTTTTTCGCAAACATGTACATTTTCTAAAACATATGAAACTGATATATGTTTGTGAGAAAAAACGTCAAGATTCTGCCTACAACATGTGAAATAAGGAAAAAAGAATAATCGTACCTTCAATGTTCCGACATTTTGTTACCGAAACGAATCGTCAAGAATTTGACCTATCACATGTTTTCCCTTTAAACTAATCATAATTTTTTCCATTTACAACATTTCCTCGCGGTTATTTTGGAGGTCACAGCAAGTAATTGGACAGATACTGTATATTATTTATCATTATTTTATTTAAAAGACGTTATTCTATTTTACACTGTTCTAAGGTTCATGTTAAACCTAGTATGGTTGCTCCCATCACAAGTCTATGGAAGTATCAGGGTCAATACTTAGTGTACTCATCGGGGAATGAAGTTGTTTGATGAAGTTGGAGGGGGTGGAGGTGGTCCTGTTCCCGGGGCAGGGGGCATACCAGAGGGAGGCACAGGAGCTGGGGGGCCCCCAGGGCCACTAGGAGGAGGGGGCACTCCTGGAGGTGGAGCACCACTTGGAGGTCCAGGGGGAGGTATGTTCATGTTAGGAGGTGGTGCTCCTCTGGGGGGAGCTGGGGGAGGAACTCCCATCATTGGGGGTGGGGGAGGCATGGGCATACCAGGGGCATTGCTGAACCTGGGAGGGGGGCCATTTTGGTTAAATCCTTGAGAGGTAGGGGGTGGAACCCCAGGGGGTGGAGGACCAGGATGTCTCATTGGAGGAGGTGGTCCCCTCATTCCTGGAGGAGGTCCTCCCATTCCAGGGGGTGGTCCTCCCATACCAGGAGGGGGTCCTCCCATATTAGGGGGTGGCCCTCTCACTCCAGGTGGACCATCTCTCATTCCTGGTGGTGGTCCATCTCTCATGCCTGGTGGACCGCCTCTCATTCCTGGTGGAGGTCCATCCCTCATTCCTGGAGGTCCATCTCCCATGCCTGGTGGTCCATCTCGCATGCCAGGTGGGGGGAGGTTCCTACTATCAGGTCCATCCCCTACACCAGTGGGACCATCTCCAACTCCTGGAGGTCCTGGTGGGCCTCTGTTAGGTTGTCCTCCTTGTCGTGGGGGGCCACTCTGGACTTGTGATTTCTCTTCTTTTGGGGGGACAATCTGCTTGGGCTCAGCCTTGAAGGCAAACTGGAGGAAAAACTGCTTTGTTTCCTTGTTCCAATGGCTCCAGAATCGTTTTGGGTCTTTATCCACTTCTCTACTTGGAACCTGAAATGAATTATAAGAAATCATTACAATATACTTGGGTGCAAAAAATTGTTATTTTCATTTTATCTTACATCACCCTAAAATGGTCCAGACGATATAATCATGTTAACGTAAGTTGCAACATTGTAGGGATTACAGATTGGCATAAGTTTACTCAAACAGGTACTCAAGAAACAATTATAATGGGACAACAATGATTGTCCAAAATAAAAACCTATATCTGGTGATGACTGCCTCTTTAAACTCACCTTGAAAGATATTGTTTCATATGGTTCAGCAGCGAAAAGTAAATACTGCCACTTCCTGTCTGGTGGCTCTACCTTTTGTTCATAAGCAGACATAAATCTGTGACGTGGGGCAATCCCTTCAACGATCTCTGGGTAATCAACTTGGAACAAGAGGCTCTGTTGATTGTTGTCTGGATCACGTTGCTTAGTTACTGCAAGTAAAATAAAATAGATACATTGCTAACTATTAATTAAAAGAAGAAGTAAGTTTAATATGTTACAATGGCCTATTTATCCTTTAGTCATTAGTCAAGGTACGTTAGCATTATTTAAGTCATAAGAACAAAATGTTGAAATGAAAAACTGATTAAATAAAATATTGGTTTGTCAATTATTGTTATGGCCTAATTTACAAAAAAAGATTTTACATGAACAATATGTAGCAACTGTGTTTTCCAGAATGAGCAGATTAATTTTAATTGTACACTTCCCCATGAACATACCTTTGTAACCAGGTCTCCCAATCTTGACAAACTTTTTAATATCGACCCTTGCTTTCTCCGGAGCAGGCTGGGCAGGTGCATCTTTAGCTTCCTTAGCAGCACGGCGAGCCCTACAACAGTCATACAATGCTAAATCATATTAAGGTGAATAATAAGGTAAGGTACACAGGCAAATTACATCCTACACCGTACAAGCCCGTACGGAGCTCATTGTGTTAACGAACCCTGTACAACCTTGTACAGGCCTCGTTACGAGTCTCGCAATTGCTTGTAATTTTCGAGCATCGTAAGAGCTTGTGGTTACAAGGCTCGTAATAGCTTTTAATTTTCAACCCCCGTACTTGGGTACAGTGCCCGTAACAAGCCCCGTAATAAATCTTAATTTTCGATCCCCGTACTTGCTCCTACGGTGCCTGTTACAAGGCCCATAATAACTCATAATTTTCAAGCCTTGTACTTGCCTGTGCGATGCCCATAACAAGGCCCAAAAATGGCTCGTCATTTTTGAGCACTGTACTTGCCTGTACGGGGCTCGTAACGAAGCTCGTAATTGCTTGTTTATTTTGATGAACACTTTTTGATCGATGAAATAAAATACAGCATACTTGAGAAATGATATTTCAATTATATCTAATTATGTATTAATATGTCTTCAATAATTTCAAAATATACGCATGTCTGTATCAACATGATAAACAATATAAAAGCTAGGAAACAAAATAAACAGGAGGGTTACCAATAGGAGACACCATATCTCTCTACCAGTGAATGTCATTGAATGTGTGAAAAAAATAACAATCTGAAATGCTTAAACTGATACACAGCATGTTCTGGCTAGGTAAGTTGATCATGTACTGTAACAGGAATTAATTTTTTTGTTTGGAGTTCGATAACGGGCCTCATATGAGCGCATACGGGCTTCAAAATTACAAGCCTCGAACATGCTCATACGGGCCTCGAAAACAACCATTACGGGTATTGTACAAGATTACACGGGCCTCAAAAATGAGCTTCTTATACCCCGTAATGACTTGTAATTCTCGAGGCTCATACGAGCTCGTACAGGGCCCGATGTGTTTTGCCTGTGTAGGTGGCTTTATATTCTTCTATTTTGATCATATTTTAAGTAGAATAAAAAGCTTTGTGAATGGGAAGAAGACCAACTATGAAATCAAGAATGTCAGGGATAAAACCTGTGAAGATTACATCCATTGCCAAAATTGTTAAGATAGATTGCAACTTCTATCACCAAATTTTTTTTCACTCTCTGTTTTTGGTGTTTGGTGACCTCTTATTTGCCACACTGGACTATATTTGAAGTAGGACTAAACAATGTCTATATTTGAACATATTACTCAAAATAAATAGTCAAATATTTTTCCTGTCCAAGCATCAACATTTTGCTGTGTCAAAATGGAGTAATTGAAAACTCAGAAATTTCATTGATTAGGATAACAAACAATAACAATAAAAAAAAATAAAAATAAAAAAAATAAATCCAATGGAAACAGAAACTTCTTCAAGTCTTCTTCCAACAGTCCCTAATATTTATTTGTAAAACCAGTTTTATTTACGTACAAGTTAGCCTGATGCTTCTTCCCCTGTGTATGGGCCAAGTAGCTGCCTTCATTGTTGTGAAGTGTTAGACACAGTTTACACTCATAAGACCCCAGGTGGTTCTTCATAAAATAGGGATCCTGTAAAACAAAGAGTTAAGTGTCAGAGACTGAGAGCTCGTGTAAGATTAGAGTTGATGAAGACAGATTTTTTTATAGCAAATAACTAATATTATACATGTACTCTTATTCTTGTTTCTATGTTACAGGAGTAGTCGTCATCTTCAAGTGTTAATAAATACTAAAAAATTCTTTACGCAGAAATAACAAATTTTAGGACATCTGTCCATTAATAAACAAGGTATTATAACACTCACTAGCATACCTACTTTGTTCAAAACAATGTTGTTATATTTAGAAAGTTAAGGTTATTCTAAAACAAAAACTAGCTACACATTTCCATTTCTCCGTGTGTAACTAATCAAAATCATACTGCATATAGAAATTGTAGTCGTGATAGTTGTATTTTTATAATTTATAATGTAAATGGAATTTAACTGCATGTATGTGTCTAAGAAATTCATGCTAGTATTTTTAAAATTGTTTGTTATGAATCTAATTGTAATTTTTAACATTAGTGGTTGATAAGCCCAAGTGGGCTGGGTTGCTTTTTATTACTTTTCTTTTGTATTGTATTGTATTGCATTGTATTGAACCTACCACTGTAAATAACAATAAAACTAAACTAAACTGTATTTTATTATTGAAAACAAGACAGATTACCTTATTTAGATCTATCGTCTCCAAGGCAAGTTGGCGCAATCGTTCCCTGCGGTCCCTGTTTGACTCTGAGGCAGAGGCAACGCCTCCCGTGCCTGTCTTCCCTCCAGCTCTGTGCTGGAAATCCATGCTTATGAGCTGCTCCCTGACAACTTGAAAATTTAAACTGGAACACATTTTGAAAAATTGCAATTACAAAAGAAAACATCTCATTCTGCTTTTCCCACACAATTTGCTTGGGAATCAACTACATGAAAATAATCCTAAAATACTCAGGAATATATTGAGGCTTGCTATTTTTGTCAGTTATATGTGCCCCAAAGTATCAATTTGTAATTTCAGAGAAAGTATATGTGAGGCTTTTGATAGCCTGATAACCTTACCATAGGTTCAATCATGACATAGTTGCTGGCCAGATAGTTACGGTCAAAGACTCAATAAATATTCCTCAAGATGAGTCCCAAAAAAAAATTTTAAATTGAAGATTGCACAGCCAATACAGAAATATATGAGATGAATCATACCTCATTCGAAGTATCTCGTTATTCTCTACATTTCTGATTACTATTGAATGGTATTCAAGCAATCCTGAGTTGATAAGAGGCCAAAATAGTGAAATGTGACATAATTTTGTTGTTGCATTTAGAACCTCTAGAAAAAATAATTTCCGAAAGAAGTCAGCGGGCGATAATGATGCATTTTGTAATTCACTGCATCATAACGATAAATATCAACCATTTGGTGCTTTCCATAGAGTCCATTTCACTGTTTAATTGCGTCAGTAAAACCTAAAATATAAGAAATCCAAATATCATTATGCAATAATATAGGGGAAAATATGTTTCCATTCTACATGAATGACATTTGTATATCTTGCATTGCTTCTAGCTTGGCTTATAAAGTGTGTTACCTCTTATATTTGGATGCTTCTCTGCCATGTTATTTTCAATAAGATTAACATGGCTGAAATTCTTCAAATTACAAGAGGGCACAGGCTTATTGCACAAAAAAATAAAAATCTGAAAAATACAAATGTCATTCATGTACAATGTAAATATACTTTTCCATAAATTATTGCACAATGGTTTCCAGATTTCTTATTTTTGGGGTTCTACTGACGCAATAAAACAGTACCCTGCGTGCAGAGTCTAGTTAAACTACACTCTGCCTAGTAGAGACCATATTACAGTTTAGTAGCCCCACCGATGACAGTTTAAGTAATAAATCACTTTTGACCTATGCGCTGACCTTTCTTCCACCATTCAGCGAGCTTGAAGAAACACGCCAAATGCGTTCTAATTAAATATGCGCATGTCATTGGTCAATTCCGGGCTCAACGATGACGTCAGAAGGAATGACCATATATAGAACGTCAGTCAAATTTCATTGGCCGACGAACACTGATTGGCGCGGTGAGTTCACAGGTTTATTTTAGTTTGAAAGAGTGAAGACGAATCTCTCTTTTAAGAAGTGAAGTCAAACGAATGCAAAGGGTAATAAAACAGTGAAATGGACTTTATTTTTCATTTGATTTTTCAGTTGGTGCTTATTACAGGTTAGACCCCTTCCCTGTGTCTTAAGTGTAAGAGGCGTAGAAAATTCTCCCATGTTGTAATCATACAGGTAAAAGATTGAGACGTTCTCAGGACTCTAGTCCTGGCACGGGATAACTCTAACTTACCTTCTTCTAAAGCCACTGTATCGTGGCCTTCCTGGAAAGATAATTTCCTGCATGAACAATTGGTCATGTTGTAATCATGAAATTTGAAATCATATGTCCGCCATTTTTCCACATCACAATTTGAATTACGAGTTTTGGTCTTAATGGCCTTAATTACCTCACCAGAAATTCCAAAACACACATGAAGTGATCAGTGTATTAGTTCACATCTTCCGGATCGCTAACTTAGAATTTACAGCCAGTTACTAATGTCAGATGTTAACGACATTTCGTCCAGGTTTCGAATATCGCCATTTTCTTGGAGCCATTTTGTTTTAATTTTTGACGAAATCCTGACGAAATCATGTCATATCTCATCAAGGAGCTGAGCCGGTTCCGTTTTAATTATTTATCTGGCGATTTTTAAAATATTCAATAAATGTATGACACGGCAGCCAGCTTTTTTCAAATGGAGTTCACAGTATTCCAGATGAAATCACCTCGAGCCAAGTATTGGCTAGAGACTAGAGTATACTCTCACTCACTCGAGCTTTAGCCAGCCCATGATTCAATTATTACCGCTCTTCAAGTTCAGAACTACAAACGATGAGATGGTCATATGAGATATCTTAAAGTGCCCGATAAAGTATAAAATGCGCATGCGTCCAGGTGTTGATAAACTATAAATAGCGAAAATCCAGGGTTTGTCACCACAAGGTAAGCCAGGGCGTGTTGAGAGAACAGCTAGTGTTGATATTGAATTTATATGTAGCCAGATAAGTTTCCTTATTGAAATTACATATGGTTATTAGCAATACTTTGTAGGTGCTAAATAATAAAATATTTAGAGTATATATGAGAGAAATTGGTCATTTCGAACCTGTTGAAAAGTTTGTGGCTCTCGGCTGCACCGGGGAATTTACTTCCATGAGTACACACATAAATGTGGGGTTCCCCAAGAGGTACGCGACAAGGTGACCTGGCATCAAATGTGCGACTAAATGCTACTATCGAGAAGATAAAATAACGAATACGACAATAAGTTATTGCATGTGACAATTCCGAGCCTTCATCTCACTGAAGTATTTTGAAGTGAAAATAGGATTTTTGTTTTGATACATGGATTCAGATGAACGTAACTTTATTCTGACAACTAATCAAAACTGAACAAAATTGATTGTACGTAACAGACAATTTATTGTTTTACAATGTTTTGATTGGCTAAACGAATGAAACCAACAAATTATGACATGTAAAATGACAATTTTGAAATGTAAAATTTAAAAGTGACAAACACAACCTCCCTATCCACTCTTTGGGAGCCCTAGTAAATTAGTAATATGTACATGCAGCAGTGGTAGTGTGCAGCTTATTATCACACTACGCTTTGTATTCTAAAGCCTGTTGTTTGTAATAACACTGTTCACTCAACGTATGTTTTGTGTGTGGGCAGTCAACGATAATCATTGTTTTATCCCGGTTATATGACCTCGGCAATTATAACAAAACCGTACTAAACGAAAAAACGCAAATAAGAGAAAGCTTTCACACACATATAAAAAATGAACTAGTCTAATCCGCCAGTATAAACTCTGTGCTATACGTAGCCGGGTCAGGCGCACACTTTAAAACATTCTTTGCGCAGGCTAAACATAAGCTTAGACTTTAATAAGGCTTCGGCCTAAAAGTCTTTGTACATGTAGGCTGAAAGCGGAAAACAGGCAGAATCAGAACTGAGAAAACAGATTTTGAGACTGAAAAACTTACAAAGCTGAGAAAACCTCCCGCCAACTGCTGTTAATGAAAAGCTCGTATATTTATATACATGGTCATATGGACAATTGAAGATACTAAAGTCTTTCCTAACAACTTGATAAACGTTAAATACGTAATGTTAACGTTTTATTTGTAAACTCACCAATGCTCGATCTAATCTAATATGGCCGCTATATAACGTTAAATATGCGAACGTCAAAGAAGTAAGAACGATTGAGCGTTCGTACTTTTATTGCTAAGTGCCCACTTTATGTCTGGTCTCCATAGCATGGGCAGGATCATGCATGACTGTGAAAGTGGTGAAAGCACAGAATGCGGTAAAATGAGGAGGGTAAATTAGTGAGCGGGGCACATTTCAAATCAGGAAAAACAATAACCTTAACGGGAATTTTTTTGAAAAACAAGTTTTGTTTAGCTCGCCTGATGCCAACTTTGGAAAATGTAAAGCCCATTTATAGATAATGTAGCCTAAAAAGGCCAAATAATGCCAACATGAAGAATTTTTTGGGCCCACCCAAGGGGTAGCCATACTCCCCCCCCCCCCCCATGGATCCGCCAGCGCATGATGACCGTCTCTTGAAACAGATGTAATATATCTTTTACTTAAAACTATGCGAATAACAATGAGCACTACATTTTCCAAATACCGGATAGACCGAAAATGAAGTAACTTTTCTGTCAAGTTACAATAACAATATGAAAGTTAATAAAAACGCATATGTATTATATAACTGTCAGTCGTACGAAAAAATAATCACCATACTGATGCACGAAGGGATTTTATTGAACTTTGCAAAAATGAAATAATTTACTTTAAAATATTATCTAGTCTGGCTAAATACTGCTCAATTATGAACAACTCTATTTTACAAAGACCATTGGCAAAAACTATATATAAAATAATGTGCAATAGAAGGGAATATGATATTTAAAACTTTTACATCTGAGCATATTTTTGATATATTTTTACATTGCTTTCTTGAGTCTCTCATACGCCGCAGCCGGCGGGACTGTTAATTATTGTATGATATTTTAGTATGTATATTGTTAACTACAGTGTGAGACTTTAATAAATATTTTACTAACTAACTAACTAACTTAACTTAACTTAACTAAACTAAACTCAAACTCAAACTCAAACTCAAACTCAAACTCAAACTCAAACTCAAACTCAAACTAAAACTAAAACTAAAACTAAAACTAAACTAAACTAACTAACTAACTAACTATAGAGTTGATGCCGACTGTAGACGAATAGACTACATCAGCATATGATCGATAGATGGCACACTCTCCTCATTTGTTCGACCGTGCATAGTCGATATACGACACGCATGATCGGCGCTCTCATAGTGCCATAATGCGCTTTCATTAAGATTCATAACTATTTCGAGTTATCCATGAAATATAGAGGCTATCTATGGTACTAAATTATTTTTAGACTAGTTTCTATAAACTGCATGAAGACGAAGCTCTCCTTAAAGAAGTCAAACAACTATTTCTTTGGGGAGCGGGGTCAAGCGCTCGATCTTTCAATAGGAGGGTCGGGTATTAGGGTACGTAGACCTATGTGTCATATATTATGTGTCATATCTGATAATTTAGTGTACATAAAAACGACGTTAAATCATTTAGATTATATTTGAAATATAATCTTTTAAATCCCCTTTACATTTATATTTGATGTTTGTAGAACGTTTTCACATGTTTTTTTCGATTTAAACTTAAAATGACTCCTTTATTCCCCCTTTTCAAATTCAATTTTTTAGAATTTTGCCTCGACTATTCTTGTAAATCCTACAGTAGCTACGGTCTTGGCATGTACTCGGCCTTATAAAGTATCGTTCTCCTTAGTTGTGAAACGGAACCTCATTTACTAACGCAGGACAAGGTCATCGTTTTTACAATCCCTATTCATGTGGAGACTTAGATGTTGCCCATATTTACTGTGTAATACAGAACCCGACCGGATATCTCAAACCACAATACAGCCATTATGTTGAAGTTGAGGATAAAAAAATATTTTAAGAAATTCTACGATAATTGTAAAAATTTGATTAATTAAAACCTTTACAACGGTGCCATATTTTTGAGGCTGGCGTAATTAAATAAAAAGTGAAATAAAAAGTTAAAAACTCTCATGATGTAAATGAGTAAAGCACTGACCCTTTGCTCAGTACATGCAGTCCAGGGTAAGTAGAAATTCTAGTAAAAAAGTGCTCACCCAATATTTTTAATTGATACTGTTTTTGTTTCCAAATAATTCAGTATCTTGATAAGGTAAATATTGTAAAGGAGGGGCCATATTTTACACGCGATCACGTTTTTCATCAAAGGCGATTTTATGACTGAAAGAAATATCCTATTGATTCATATTTATCTGAATGCTTCGATTGGGCGTACACAAAAACACGTCTAAGGAAGTAGAGTAAATTCAATACAAACTATGCGCCTTCTAGTAATGACGAAATGGCCCTAAAAATCTTTTTGGTGTTCTTTTTACACATGGTTTTGTAGTTTTCCCACGGCTTAATATTGAATATTTAAAATACATTGCGCCAATATAAGTTTAATCCCAAATTTCTTAGAATAAGTTTAAAGAAAAATAATAAATTACATTTATTTCTTCCGATATCTAATATATTGCAGAAGGCTGCGGTCTCTCAAGATGAAATGCGTCATCTCATTGATAAATAGCTTTGAATGGACCTCTTATAATGTGTTTTTTAGGGAATATTATTTATTCACATAGGCGTACATCTATTCATGTGACGAATTTAATATACAAAACTCCGTTTACCGGTAACTTAGGGGTAATATGACGAAATGCGGTGGATACATGAACAAGAATATAAATACTTAATGTATAGGAATTTAGTATTGTTTTCTCAATTATATATATTATTTTGGCTGGTTGTTTTCTCACATCAGCAAAATACAGTGCAAAAAGTGATATTTCCACAGACTAAAAGTAATGAATATTTGGATTTTAATCAAAAGTCGCAGATTGATGTAATATTGGATAATAAACAATCTAAACATCGACAAACTAGGATACATAAACGATGGTACAATACCAAGTATCAGCTCTTCCAGAATGGTCTATTCTACGGGAAGAAAAATCTAGTCCAGTCGATAGTAAGAACTTTGTTATATCGTCAAAATGTCAAGCAGGCTTTATATCGAGTTGGGAATACGAACACACGAAAGAAGTCAAATGGGATATATTCAGAATCAACAAGGGATATTCTACGTTCTATCGGTAAGTCTATTTCCGACGTTGGGCCATTTTCATTGTTCAAGATAGTATAGTCGTTCATAATGTAACGCCTATGCTGTCAGACGTTAATCTCGACGTGTGTTATGATTGCACTTTTTCAAATGTTGTACAGGGCGTGTCAAAAAACGCAACAAGCAGTTGTCTCGTAAAATCACAAAACTAGTGATGACTACATCAATTTAATTTAATTTACCATGAAGCCACATCCCTCCTCTTTGCAATGATATGTCATTCATCCACATGTGGCCATGGTTGGGTGAGAAATCCTTCCATTTGCACAGTGTGTCAAAATCGGCTCTGGACCAAGTTTCAGATATTGCAAAAATCAGTGCAAGGGCTAGGTGCCAATGGAAGTGCTCCTGACTTGAATTGTTGTGACCTTTTCTTTCGGAGCTATCTCAGGAGCATCTGTGCTCACCATTCCTCCACCAGATATTGCGAAATTTGGAGAAAGAATTGCCATAATGGGCTGCTTTTCTCCGCTTTAACCCACATATGACTCAGGCTGAACCATGCATGACATGGAGAGATGAGCGCATATTTATTTATTCTTGTTAGAGTATGAGTATGAACACTTTACTGTCTATGTCACACCTGTCACACCTTCTTCCAATTGCCCTTATGAGACTTTTGCAATGTTTAAAACTTGGGTCCGAGCTTTGCGAATTTAATGATTATTCGGCCAGCCATGACTCCCTGTGAAGGAATGACATTTCATTGCAAAGAGGAGTAATTTGGCTTTTTGGTACATTGAATGAAATTTATGTAGTCATCATTGATTTTATGTTTTCTTCCAATTTTGCATTGGGCCCCGTACACTGACTTTCGCGATGTTTATAAATTGGTCCCAAGCTAATTTTGTCCCACAAAAGGACTGGTTACCTGCCCAACCATGACCCAATATCAACGAATGATATACCATTGGAAAGAGGAGTCACATGGCTTTATGGTACATTGAATGAAATCAATGCTGTTATCACTGGTTTTGTGCTTTTCCGAGATAACATTCTGTTGCGTTTTCTTTGATACGCACTGTATATTGTAGTCGTCTTGTATTGATGGGGGTGTGCCTGTGCCTGCGTGCGTGCATACGACGTACCTGGGTGTGTCTATGGGGATGGGCGTCACTTAAATCTTTTCATCAAAATTCCAGGAAAACCACTTATCTGTTTAATTTGAAATTTTTACAGAAGCAAGGGCAGACTAGTGCCAAAACCTGATTAAGTTTAAGACATTCTGGGTGAATTGATTTGCGGTAATTTTGAATTTTTCGATAAATGGCGCGATATTTATCATGATGTGATTTGTTTTTATTCAAAACATGTCATAGTGTTGCGTGTATCGCGTGTTTAAAATGCTCATTTCTTTAAATTAGATCTCAGAAAATATTTAAAACTATTGAGTATATCAATAGATGATGTGTATGAATAGATGAAATACGACTAAACTAGACAGTAAATGCTCAATTCAACTCTTGGCCATGGGTTTTAGTTTGCTTCCAGTCTGACTGCTATAAAAGCCATATTTGTTTAAACTTTACAAGGGATCTTTAAGAATTACTTGTCAGTTCAAATCAACAGATAAATGAATATCAAAACTAAAAACTGCCGATTCATGTTTCCTATATCAAAAGAACTTTAAATTCGTGTTGACTGATGTGCCTGTCAACTTAGCTGTGCAAACGAGAGCATCAAAATCACTTTACCTAATGTTATAGTCCCAGTGTTGTTACCAAGATGTGATGTGTGAAACTTTTTAATTTAATTCCAAAAAGTTGATTTTAAATTGAATTGAATCCAATGGTACATAAATATGTTAAACATAATAAAAATTTGTTAATATTATGCATACATGTGCTGTGACAAACGTACAGGTTTTTAATGGTTTTATATTTTGGTATATCCAAAGTATAAAACCATTAAGAAAAGAAACATCACGATAATTTCTTTCTTTTTTTATGATCATGTTTTCGAATGTACATCAAAAGCATTTTCTTATTTGATCACCATTGGTATCTGTAATAATTTAATAACCAGTAACAGATTCTACCCTTTCAATGTAAACTCCGCAATCTCTGATTTACAGAACCCCATGAGAACAGAAAATCAGTCAAAATCACTTATCGTTATCATATGCGTCAATCAAACATTGAAAATAAGCTGTCAAAGGAAAAAAGTGCAATAGTATGGAAAGCACACACATTTTAGATGCATAATCGTTGAATACATTGGAATGCTTGTTATTTGGCTTATAAAATGCCTGACTTCTTGCATTGTGTTTCTCTGACTTGTTTTCATCAAAAATATCATGGATGAAACTCATTTACGAGTATTTAGCATTTTTGCCTTTTGATTCTTTATACAGGGTATCAAATAAATACGTTTTCCCCCTCTAACTTTAACATTCTTATGATGTTGCATAACATTTTCGTTTGCATGATATCTGAAATGTTGTTTGGTACATCAAATCTCTTTTATATGTCTCTAGCTTCAGGGAGCAACTCCAAGGGACGTCTCAGATGACTAACTCAACTAGAGCACAAAACTATGCACAAATGTTCATACTTTGGAAATTAGGGGGAGAGAGGACATATTTATTTGACACCCTGTAAATTCATGAGACTTCCGAGTGCATTTTGAATGAACTTTGATTTCATTTTAAGACTTAACCGCACCGAGTGTTTAGGCCGGGTACTTCATGTTTGATATGATGAGTATTTCTTTTTTGTATAAAATCATACTGAAACTATGTGACTAAAGATGAATATAGCGTGCATCATAGGCCATATATATGCGCTAAGTTATGATAATCATATTTTGGGATAGTATGACCAAAACTGGCCCATAGGCATCGTAGATTGGCTCATTGTCTAGCTATTTACTTTGAATTGCATACGCAGTCGCAAAGGTGACACGAAGGGTCCAAATGTCCTACCACAAGGTGCAACATAGTAGTCAAAAAATGATATTAAAAAAAATACAAATAATACCAGTAAAAAATGCAAAATAGGAGGTATTGATATTGGAATGTAATGATAGTCCATTATGGCGTGATAATGTTATTAAAAACAATTATGGTAAAAATGAGATATTTCTGACCTTAAAATGTCATTTTTATTCAAAAGTATTTGTTGTCAATGGACCTTGGTATCATTCCTATTTTATTAAATGATTTTCACATATTCCAATGACCATTTAATAAGTTTTCGGCCAAGTAAATAATTATAGGGCTCACCAATGGATCAACTTTATTTACAACTTTTTTCATATTCAGTGATGTTTTGAAAACATATTTAGAGAAGTACAATTTTATTGCCTATAGATTTTTGTCATTATGAACAAAAATTCCGCCACACAGCATTTGCTTTGAGGAAATAAGCATGTCAGCAAAGTTAAGGCAACGTAATCTGACGTCACCGTTGCGTGTTGTTGTCAGGGTAAAAAGGTGTGGATATTACACGAATGCAGAAAACGATGTATATAAACGACACCAATTGTTTTCTTTACACTCAATTTGCAGAGGGTGATTTATTATTTATTTAGATGAAGATAACAAACTAGCATTAATAAGTCACTGGGCATTATTTCTTTATTCTGGGGCATAGTTGTCTAGAAATTAATTGGGCCAAATGTTGAAATTAGATTATTTCTTTTTTACTTTCTCCCCTCCCCCCTTAATTCAAGGTCCGCCCTTAATCTATACATTGTACTTTTAGATATTAACAATATCGTTACAAGAAAGGCGACCAAATCAAATACCAGTGATGCTACAACAGTGTTGAATAAATTATCAAAAATAATATTTATCAAGAATGCTACTGCTTCTACCAATACGTATGCTGCAACAAAAATAGCTGGTGCTTCTACCACTGCTGCTACAACAGTGGCTGATGGTATTACTACTAAAACTAATGCTACGACAGTCATGAAAGGATTATTCAGGAGATTTCGAAGAGACCTTACTGGCCCCACCAATGATGCTACAATCACAAATGCCACGGGAGTCATGAAAAAATTACCAATGAGAGGATTTCGCAGGCTGTTGGAACTTACTACAACCACAGTGACTGATGCTACTACCACTGATGCTACAACAACAGTGACTGATGCTACAACAACAGTAACTGATGCTACAACAACAGTAACTGATGCTACAACAACATTAACTGATGCTACAAGCACAGTGACTACCGCAGGGACTGATGCTTCTACCACTGATGTTCCTACCACAATGGCTGATGCTACTACCACTGATGATACAACAACAGTGACTGATGCTACTACCACTGATGTTACTACCACAGTGACTGATGCTACTACCACTGATGTTACTACCACAGTGACTGATGCTACTACCACTGAAGCTACTACCACAGTGACTGATGCTACTACCACTGATGATACAACAACAGTGACTGATGCTACTACCACTGATGCTACTATCACAGTGACTGATGCTACTACCACTGAAGCTACTACCACAGTGACTGATGCTACTACCACTGATGATACAACAACAGTGACTGATGCTACTACCACTGATGCTACTACCACAGTGACTGATGCTACTACCAATGATGCTACTACCACAGTGACTGATGCTACTACCACTGATGCTACAACAACAGTGACAGATGCTACTACCACTGAAACTACTACCACAGTGACTGATGCTATTACCACTGATGTTACTACCGCAGTGACTGGTGCTACTACCACTGATGTTACCACCACAGTGACTGATGCTACTACCACTGAAGCTACTACCAAAGTGACTGATGCTACAACCACTGATGCTACTATCACAGTGACTGATGCTACTACAACTGATGCTACTGCCACAGTGACTGATGCTACAACCACTGATGCTACTACCACAGTGACTGATGCTACAACCACTGATGCTACTACCACGGTGACTGATGCTACAACCACTGATGCTACTACCACAGTGACTGATGCTACAACCAGTGATGTTACCACCAAAGTGGCTGATGCTACTACCACTGATATTACCACCACAGTGACTGATGCTACTACCACTGAAGCTACTACCACAGTGACTGATGCTACAACCACTGATGCTACTACCACGGTGACTGATGCTACAACCACTGATGCTACTACCACAGTGACTGATGCTACAACCAGTGATGTTACCACCAAAGTGGCTGATGCTACTACCACTGATGTTACCACCACAGTGACTGATGCTATTACCACTGATGCTACTACCACAGTGACTGATCCTACGACAACTGATGCTACTACCACAGTGACTGATGCTACTACCACTGATGCTACTACCACAGTGACTGATGCTACAACCACTGATTCTGCTACCACAGTGACTGATGCTACAACCACTGATGCTACTTCCACAGTGACTGATGCTACTACCACTGATGCTACTACCACAGTGACTGATGCTGCTACCACTGATGCTACAACAGCAGCAACTGACGCTACTACCACTGAGGCTACTACAACAATGACTGGTGCTACTACCACTGATGCTACAACAACAGTAACTGATGCTACAACAACATTAACTGATGCTACAAGCACAGTGACTACCGCAGGGACTGATGCTTCTACCACTGATGTTCCTACCACAATGGCTGATGCTACTACCACTGATGATACAACAACAGTGACTGATGCTACAACAACATTAACTGATGCTACAAGCACAGTGACTACCGCAGGGACTGATGCTTCTACCACTGATGCTACTACCACAGTGACTGATGCTACAATCACTGATTCTGCTACCACAGTGACTGATGCTACAACCACTGATGCTACTTCCACAGTGACTGATGCTACTACCACTGATGCTACTACCACAGTGACTGATGCTGCTACCACTGATGCTACAACAGCAGTAACTGACGCTACTACCACTGAGGCTACTACCACAATGACTGGTGCTACTACCACAGATGCTACAACAACATTAACTGATGCTACAAGCACAGTGACTACCGCAGGGACTGATGCTTCTACCACTGATGTTCCTACCACAATGGCTGATGCTACTACCACTGATGACACAACAACAGTGACTGATGCTACAACAACATTAACTGATGCTACAAGCACAGTGACTACCGAAGGGACTGATGCTTCTACCACTGATGTTCCTACCACAATGGCTGATGCTACTACCACTGATGATACAACAACAGTGACTGATGCTACTACCACTGAAGCTACTACCAAAGTGACTGATGCTACTACCACTGAAGCTACTACCACACTGACTGATGCTACTACCACTGATGTTACTACCACAGTGACTGATGCTACTACCACTGATGTTACCACCACAGTGACTGATGCTACTACCACTGATGTTACTACCACAGTGACTGATGCTATTACCACTGATGCTACTACCAGAGTGACTGATCCTACGACAACTGATGCTACTACTAAAGTGACTGATGCTACTACCACTGATGCTACTACCAAAGTGACTGATGCTACTACCACTGATGTTACCACCACAGTGACTGATGCTACTACCACTGAAGCTACTACCAAAGTGACTGATGCTACAACCACTGATGCTACTATCACAGTGACTGATGCTACTACAACTGATGCTACTGCCACAGTGACTGATGCTAGAACCACTGATGCTACTACCACAGTGACTGATGCTACAACCACTGATGCTACTACCACACTGACTGATGCTACAACCACTGATGCTACTACAACAGTGACGGATGCTACTACCAGTGATGTTACCACCAAAGTGGCTGATGCTACTACCACTGATGTTACCACCACAGTGACAGGTGCTTCTACCACTGAAGCTACTACCACAGTGACAGGTGCTACTACCACTGATGCTACTACCACACTGACTTTTGCTACTACCACTGAAGCTACTACCAAAGTGACTGATGCTACGACAACTGATGCTACTACCACAGTGGCTGATCCTACGACAACTGATGTTCCTACCACAATGGCTGATGCTACTACCACTGAAGCTACTACCAAAGTGACTGATGCTACTACCAATGATGCTACTACCAATGATGCTACTACCAAAGTGACTGATGCTACTACCACTGATGTTACCACCACAGTGACTGATACTACTACCACTGAAGCTACTACCAAAGTGCCTGATTCTACAACCACTGATGCTACTATCACAGTGACTGATGCTACTACAACTGATGCTACTGCCACAGTGACTGATGCTACAACCACTGATGCTACTACCACAGTGACTGATGCTACAACCACTGATGCTACTACCACACTGACTGATGCTACAACCACTGATGCTACTACCACAGTGACTGATGCTACAACCACTGATGCTACTACCACAGTGACGGATGCTACTACCAGTGATGTTACCACCAAAGTGGCTGATGCTACTACCACTGATGTTACCACCACAGTGACTGATGCTACTACCACAGTGACTGATGCTACTACCACAGTGACTGATGCTACTACCACTGATGCTACTACCACAGTGACAGATGCTACAACCACTGATGCTACTACCCAAGTGACTGATGCTACTACCACTGATGCTACTACCACAGTGACTGATGCTACAACCACTGATGCTACTTTCACAGTGACTGATGCTACTACCACTGATGCTACTACCACAGTGACTGATGCTACAACCACTGATGCTACTACCCAAGTGACTGATGCTACTACCACTGATGCTACTACCACAGTGACTAATGCTACAACCACTGATGCTACTTCCACAGTGACTGATGCTACTACAACTGATGCTACAACAACAGTGACTGATGCTACTACCACTGAAGCTACTACCACAGTGGCTGATACTACTACCACTGATGCTACAACAACAGTGACTGATGCTACTACAACTAAAGCTACTACCACACTGACTGATGCTACTACCACTGAAGCTACTACCACAGTGACTGATGCTGCTACCACTGATGTTACCACTACAGTGACTGATGCTACTACAACTAAAGCTACTACCAAAGTGACTGATGCTACTACCACTGAAGCTACTACCAAAGTGACTGATGCTACAACCACTGATGCTACTATCACAGTGACTGATGCTACTAGCACTGATGTTACTACCACAGTGACTGGTGCTACTACCACTGATGTTACCACTACAGTGACTGATGCTACTACAACTAAAGCTACTACCAAAGTGACTGATGCAACTACCACTGATGCTACTACCAAAGTGACTGATGCTACTACCACTGATGTTACCACCACAGTGACTGATGCTACTACCACTGAAGCTACTACCAAAGTGACTGATGCTACAACCACTGATGCTACTATCACAGTGACTGATGCTACTACAACTGATCCTACTGCCACAGTGACTGATGCTACAACCACTGATGCTACTACCACAGTGACTGATGTTTCAACCACTGATGCTCTTACCACAGTGACTGATGCTACTACCACAGCGACTGATGCTACAACCAGTGATGTTACCACCAAAGTGGCTGATGCTACTACCACTGATGTTATCACCACAGTGACTGATGCTACTACCACTGAATCTACTACCAAAGTGACTGATGCTACAACCACTGATGCTACTACCACAGTGACTGATCCTACGACAACTGATGCTACTACCACAGTGACTGATGCTACTACCACTGATGCTACTACCACAGTGACTGATGCTACAACCACTGATGCTACTACCACAGTGACTGATGCTACAACCACTGATGCTACTTCCACAGTGACTGATGTTACTACCACTGATGCTACTACCACAGTGACTGATGCTACTACCACTGAAGCTACTACCACAGTGACTGATGCTACTACCACTGATGCTACAACAACAGTGACAGATGCTACTACCACTGAAGCTACTACCACGGTGACTGATGCTATTACCACTGATGTTACTACCACAGTGACTTGTGCTACTACCACTGATGTTACCGCCACAGTGACTGATGCTACTACCACTGAAGCTACTATCAAAGTGACTGATGCTACTACCACTAATGCTACTACCAAAGTGACCGATGCTACAACCACTGAAGCTACTACCACAGTGACTGATGCTACTACCACTGAAGCTACTACCACAGTGACTGAGGCTATTACCACTGATGTTACTACCACAGTGACTGATGCTACTACCACTGATGTTACCACCACAGTGACTGATGCTACTACCACTGAAGTAACTACCAAAGTGACTGATGCTACAACCACTGATGCTACTATCACAGTGCCTGATGCTTCTACAACTGATGCTACTGCCACAGTGACTGATGCTACAACCACTGATGCTACTACCACAGTGACTGATGCTACAGCCACTGATGCTACTACCACACTGACTGATGCTACAACCACTGATGCTACTACCACAGTGACTGATGCTACAACCACTGATGCTACTACCACAGTGACGGATGCTACTACCAATGATGTTACCACCAAAGTGGCTGACGCTACTACCACTGATGTTACCACCACAGTGACTGGTGCTACTACCACTGAAGCTATTACCAGAGTGACTGATGCTACAACCAGTGATGTTACTACCACAGTGACTGATGCTACTACCACTGATGCTACTACCACAGTGACTGATGCTACGACAACTAATGCTTCTTCCACAGTGACTGATGCTACTACCACTGATGCTACTACCACAGTGACTGATGCTACAACCACTGATGCTACTACCAAAGTGACTGATGCTACAACCACTGATGCTACTTCCACAGTGACTGATGCTACAACCACTGATGCTACTTCCACAGTGACTGAGGCTTCTACCACTGATGCTACTACCACAGTGACTGATGCTACAACCACTGATGCTACTACCACAGTGACTGATGCTACAACTACTGATGCTACTACCACACTGACTGATGCTACTACCACTGATGCTACTACCACAGTGACTGATGCTGCTAACACTGATGCTACTACCACAGTGACTGTTGCTACTACCACTGATGTTACTACCCTAGTGACTGATGCTACTACCACTGATTTTACTACCACAGTGACTGATGCTACAACCACTGATGCTACTACCACAGTGACTGATGCTTCTACCACTGATGCTACTACCACAGTGACTGGTGTTACTACCACAGTGACAGATGCTACTACCACTAATGCTACTACCACAGTGACTGTTGCTACTACCACTGATTTTACTACCACAGTGACTGATGCTACAACCACTGATGCTACTACCACAGTGACTGATGCTACTACCACTGATGTTACTTCCATAGTGACTGATGCTACAACCACTGATGCTACTACCACAGTGACTGATGCTACTACCACTGATGTTACTTCCACAGTGACTGATGCTACAACCGCTGATGCTACAACAACAGTGACTGATGCTACTACCACTGATGTTACTACCACAGTGACTGATGCTATTACCACTGATGTTACTACCACTGTGACTGATGCTATAACCACTGATGCTACTACCACAGTGACTGATGCTACAACCACTAATGCAACCACCACAGTGACTGATGCTACTAACACAGTGACTGATGCTACTACAACTGATATTAGTACCACAGTGACTGATGCTTCTACCACTGATGCTACAACCACAGTGACTGATGCTACTACAACTGATGCTACAACCACAATGACTGATACTACTACCAATGATGCCACTACCACAGTGACTGATGCTACTACCACTGATATTACTACCACAATGACTGATGCTTCTATCACTGATGCTACTACCACAGTGACTGATGCTACAACCACTGATGCTACTACCACAGTGACTGATGCTTCTACCACTGATGCTACTAACACAGTGACTGATGCTACTACCACTGATGCTACTACCACAGTGACTGATGCTATAACCACTGATGCTACAACAACAGTGACTGATGCTACTACCACTGATGTAACTACCACAGTGACTGATGCTGCTACCACTGATGCTACTTCCACAGTGACTGTTTCTACAACCACTGATGGTACTACCACAGTGACTGATGATACTACCACTGGTCTTACTATCACAGTGACTGATGCTACTACCACTGAAGCTACTACCACAGTGACTGATGCTACAACCACTGATGGTACTACCACAGTGACTGATGATACTACCACTGATGTTACTACCACAGTGACTGATGCTTCTATCACTGAAGCTACTACCGCAGTGACTGATACTACAACCACTGATGCTACTACCACAGTGACTGATGATACTACCACTGATGCTACTACCACAGTTACTGATGCTACTACCACTGAAGCTACTACCACAGTGACTGATGCTACTACCACTGAAGCTACAACCACAGTGACTGATGCTAAAACCACTGATGCTACTACCACAGTGACTGATGATACTACCACTGATGTAACTACCACAGTGACTGATGCTACTACCACAGTCACTGTTGCTACTACCACAGTGACTGATGCTACAACCACTGATGCTACTACCACAGTGACTGATGCTACTACCACTGAAGCTACTACCACAGTGACTGATGCTACTACCACTGAAGCTACAACCACAGTGACTGATGCTAAAACCACTGATGCTACTACCACAGTGACTGATGATACTACCACTGATGTAACTACCACAGTGACTGATGCTACTACCACAGTCACTGTTGCTACTACCACAGTGACTGATGCTACAACCACTGATGCTACTACCACAGTGACTGATGCTACAACCACTGATGCTACTACCACAGTGACTGATGCTACTACCACTGATGCTACTACCACAGTCACTGTTGCTACTACCACTGATGTTACTACCACAGTGACTGATGCTACTACCGATGATGCTACTACCACAGTCACTGTTGCTCCTACCACTGATGTTACTACAACAGTGACTGATGCTTTTACCACAGATGTTACTACCACAGTGGCTGATGCTACAACCAGCGATGCTACTACAACAGTGACTGTTGCTACTACCACTGATGCTACTACCACAGTGACTGATGCTACAACCACTGATGCTACAACAACAGTGACTGATGCTACAATCACTGATATAACTACCACAGTGGCTGATGTTACTACTACAGATGCTACTGGTACATTTAGGTTTTGGGCTACTGATATACGTTGCTTTTTTCGCTTTCATTGTATTATGTATTGCTTGCCACAGATGCATAGCAAATAACACTTCCATCCAAAATGTAATTTCAGTATTTCGTTAAGTCCCGCTCTAACAGTGAATTTCTTTTTAGATACTATCACTGATGCTACTACCACTGATGCTACAACAGTGACTGATGCTACAACCACTGATGAAACAACAGTGAGTGATGCTATTACCACTGATGCTACAACACTGACCGATGCTACTACCACTGATGTTACTACCACAGTGTCTGATGCTACTTCCACTGATGTAACTACCACAGTAACTGATGCTACTACCACTGATACTACTACAACAACAGTGACTGATGCTACAACTGCCACTGATGTTACAACAACACTCATTGATGCTTCGACAACAGAGACTGAGGCTACTATCACTGATGCTACAACAACAGTGACTGATGCTACAACAACAGTGACAGATGCTACTACAACTGATGTAACAACAACAATTGCTGATGCTACAACCACAGTGGCTGAAGCTACTACCACTGATGTTTCAACCACTGATGCTACAACCACAGTGGCAGGAGCATCTACCACCACTGAAGCTACTACCACAGAGACTGATATTACTACCACAGTGACTGATGCTACTTCCACTGATGCTACTACCACAGAGACTGATATTACTACCACAGTGACTGATGCTACTACCACTGATGCTACAACAGTGACTGATGCTATTACCACTGATGCAACAACAGTTACTGATGCTACTACCACTGATGTTACTACCACAATGACTGATGCTACTACCACTGATGTTACTACCACAGTGACTGATGCTACTACCACTGATGCTACAACCACAGTGACTGATGCTATTACCTATGATGTTACTACCACAGTGACTGATGCTACAACCACTGATGCTACAACCACTGATGCTACTACCACAGTGACTGGGGCTACCACCACTGATGCTACTACCACAGTAACTGATGCAACAACCACTGATGCTACAACAGTGACTGATGCTTCAACCACTGATGCTACAACAGTGACTGATGCTACAACCACTGAAGCTACAACAGTGAGTGATGCTACTACCACTGATGCTACAACAACAGTGCCTGATGCTTCTACCACTGATGTTACTACCACAGTGACTGATGGTACTGCCACTGATGCTACAACCACAGTGACTGATGCTACTACATCTGATGTTACTACCACAGTGACTGATGCTACAACCACTGATGCTACTACCACAGTGCCTGATGCTACCACCACTGATGCTACAACAACAGTGACTGATGCTACTACCACTGAAGCTACTACCACAGTGACTGATGCTACAACCACTGATGCTACTACCACAGTGACTGATCCTACGACAACTGATGCTACTACCACAGTGACTGATGCTACTACCACTGATGTTACTACCTCAGTGACGGATGCTACTACCACTGATGCTACAACCACAGTGACTGATGCTACTACCACTGATGCTACTTCCACAGTTACTGATGCTATTACCACTGATGTTACTACCACAGTGACTGATGCTATTACCACTGATGCTACTACCACTGATGTAACAACAAAAATTGCTGATGCTACAACCACAGTGGCTGATGCTACTACCACTGATGTTACAACCACTGAAGCTACTACCACAGTGACTGATGCTACTTCCACTGATGCCACTACCACAGAGACTGATGTTACTACCACAGTGACTGATGCTACTATCACTGATGCTACAACAGTGCCTGATACTATTACCACTGATGCTACAACAGTTACTGATGCTACTACCACTGATGTTACTACCACAGTGACTGATGCTTATACCACTGATATTACTACCACAGTGACTGATGCTACTACCAGCGATGCTACTACCACAGTGACTGATACTACTACCACTGATGCTACAACAACAGTGACTGGTGCTACTACCACTGATGTAACTACCACAGAGACTGATGCTACTACTACTGATGCTACAACCACAGTGACCGATGCTACTACCAGCGATGCTACTACCACAGTGACTGATGCTACTACCACTGATGCTACAACAACAGTGACTGATGCTACTACCACTGATGTTACTACCTCAGTGACGGATGCTACTACCACTGATGCTACTAACACTGATCCTACTACCACAGTGACTGATGCTATTACCACTGCTGTTACTACCACAGTGACTGATGCTATTACCACTGATGCTACTACCACAGTGACTGAAACTGCAACTACAGTAACTGAAGCTACGACCACAGTGACAGATGATACAACCACACTGATTGAGTCTACTTCCACTGATGTTACAACCACAGTGGCTGATGTTACTACTACAGCTGCTACTGGTACATTTAGGTTTTGGGCTACTGATATACGTTGCTTTTTCGCTTTCATTGTATTATGTGCTCCTTGCCACAGATACATAGCAAATAACACTTCCATCCAAAATGTAATTTCAGTATTTCGTTAAGTCCCGCTCTAACAGTGAATTTCTTTTTAGATACTATCACTGATGCTACTACCACTGATGCTACAACAGTGACTGATGCTACAACCACTGATGCTACAACAGTGAGTGATGCTACTACCACTGATGCTACAACAACAGTGACAGATGCTACTACAACTGATGTAACAACAACAGTTGCTGATGCTACAACCACAGTGGCTGATGCTACTACCACTGATGTTACAACCACTGATGCTACAACCACAGTGGCAGGAGCATCTACCACCACTGAAGCTACTACCACAGTGACTGATGCTACTTCCACTGATGCTACTACCACAGAGACTGATGTTACTACCACTGATGCTTCAATCACTGTGACTGATGCTATTACCTCTGATGGTACTACCACAGTGACTGATGCTACAACCACTGATGCTACTACCACAGTGACTGAGGCTACCACCACTGATGCTACTACCACAGTAACTGATGCAACAACCACTGATGCTACAACAGTGACTGATGCTACAACCACTGATGCTACAACAGTGAGTGATGCTACAACCACTGATGCTACTACCACAGTGACTGATGCTACAACCAGTGATGTTACCACCAGAGTGGCTGATGCTACTACCACTGATGTTACCACCACAGTGACTGATGGTACTAGCACTGATGCTACAAGAACAGTGCCTGATGCTACTTCCACTGATGCTACAAAGGCAGTGAGTGATGCTTCTACCACTGATGCTACAACAACATTGACTGATGCTACTACCACTGATGTTACTACCACAGTGACTGATGCAACTGCCACTGATGCTACAATAACAGTAACTGATGCTACTACCACTGATGCTACAACAACAGTGACTGATGCTACTACCACTGATGCTACTACCACAGTGCCTAATGCTACCACCACTGATGCTACAGCAACAGTGACTGATGCTACAACAACAGTAACTGATGCTACAACAACAGTAACTGATGCTACAACAACATTAACTGATGCTACAACAACACTAACTGATGCTACAACATCATTAACTGATGGTACAAGCACAGTGACTACCGCAGGGACTGATGCTTCTACCACTGATGTTCCTACCACAATGGCTGATGCTACTACCACTGATGATACAACAACAGTGACTGATGCTACTACCACTGAAGCTACTACCAAAGTGACTGATGCTACTACCACTGAAGCTACTACCACACTGACTGATGCTACTACCACTGATGTTACTACCACAGTGACTGATGCTACTACCACAGTCACTGTTGCTACTACAACAGTGACTGATGCTTTTACCACAGATGTTACTACCACAGTGGCTGATGCTACAACCAGCGATGCTACTACAACAGTGACTGTTGCTACTACCACTGATGCTACTACCACAGTGACTGATGCTACAACCACTGATGCTACAACAACAGTGACTGATGCTACAATCACTGATATAACTACCACAGTGGCTGATGTTACTACTACAGATGCTACTGGTACATTTAGGTTTTGGGCTACTGATATACGTTGCTTTTTTCGCTTTCATTGTATTATGTATTGCTTGCCACAGATGCATAGCAAATAACACTTCCATCCAAAATGTAATTTCAGTATTTCGTTAAGTCCCGCTCTAACAGTGAATTTCTTTTTAGATACTATCACTGATGCTACTACCACTGATGCTACAACAGTGACTGATGCTACAACCACTGATGAAACAACAGTGAGTGATGCTATTACCACTGATGCTACAACACTGACCGATGCTACTACCACTGATGTTACTACCACAGTGTCTGATGCTACTTCCACTGATGTAACTACCACAGTAACTGATGCTACTACCACTGATACTACTACAACAACAGTGACTGATGCTACAACTGCCACTGATGTTACAACAACACTCATTGATGCTTCGACAACAGAGACTGAGGCTACTATCACTGATGCTACAACAACAGTGACTGATGCTACAACAACAGTGACAGATGCTACTACAACTGATGTAACAACAACAATTGCTGATGCTACAACCACAGTGGCTGAAGCTACTACCACTGATGTTTCAACCACTGATGCTACAACCACAGTGGCAGGAGCATCTACCACCACTGAAGCTACTACCACAGAGACTGATATTACTACCACAGTGACTGATGCTACTTCCACTGATGCTACTACCACAGAGACTGATATTACTACCACAGTGACTGATGCTACTACCACTGATGCTACAACAGTGACTGATGCTATTACCACTGATGCAACAACAGTTACTGATGCTACTACCACTGATGTTACTACCACAATGACTGATGCTACTACCACTGATGTTACTACCACAGTGACTGATGCTACTACCACTGATGCTACAACCACAGTGACTGATGCTATTACCTATGATGTTACTACCACAGTGACTGATGCTACAACCACTGATGCTACAACCACTGATGCTACTACCACAGTGACTGGGGCTACCACCACTGATGCTACTACCACAGTAACTGATGCAACAACCACTGATGCTACAACAGTGACTGATGCTTCAACCACTGATGCTACAACAGTGACTGATGCTACAACCACTGAAGCTACAACAGTGAGTGATGCTACTACCACTGATGCTACAACAACAGTGCCTGATGCTTCTACCACTGATGTTACTACCACAGTGACTGATGGTACTGCCACTGATGCTACAACCACAGTGACTGATGCTACTACATCTGATGTTACTACCACAGTGACTGATGCTACAACCACTGATGCTACTACCACAGTGCCTGATGCTACCACCACTGATGCTACAACAACAGTGACTGATGCTACTACCACTGAAGCTACTACCACAGTGACTGATGCTACAACCACTGATGCTACTACCACAGTGACTGATCCTACGACAACTGATGCTACTACCACAGTGACTGATGCTACTACCACTGATGTTACTACCTCAGTGACGGATGCTACTACCACTGATGCTACAACCACAGTGACTGATGCTACTACCACTGATGCTACTTCCACAGTTACTGATGCTATTACCACTGATGTTACTACCACAGTGACTGATGCTATTACCACTGATGCTACTACCACTGATGTAACAACAAAAATTGCTGATGCTACAACCACAGTGGCTGATGCTACTACCACTGATGTTACAACCACTGAAGCTACTACCACAGTGACTGATGCTACTTCCACTGATGCCACTACCACAGAGACTGATGTTACTACCACAGTGACTGATGCTACTATCACTGATGCTACAACAGTGCCTGATACTATTACCACTGATGCTACAACAGTTACTGATGCTACTACCACTGATGTTACTACCACAGTGACTGATGCTTATACCACTGATATTACTACCACAGTGACTGATGCTACTACCAGCGATGCTACTACCACAGTGACTGATACTACTACCACTGATGCTACAACAACAGTGACTGGTGCTACTACCACTGATGTAACTACCACAGAGACTGATGCTACTACTACTGATGCTACAACCACAGTGACCGATGCTACTACCAGCGATGCTACTACCACAGTGACTGATGCTACTACCACTGATGCTACAACAACAGTGACTGATGCTACTACCACTGATGTTACTACCTCAGTGACGGATGCTACTACCACTGATGCTACTAACACTGATCCTACTACCACAGTGACTGATGCTATTACCACTGCTGTTACTACCACAGTGACTGATGCTATTACCACTGATGCTACTACCACAGTGACTGAAACTGCAACTACAGTAACTGAAGCTACGACCACAGTGACAGATGATACAACCACACTGATTGAGTCTACTTCCACTGATGTTACAACCACAGTGGCTGATGTTACTACTACAGCTGCTACTGGTACATTTAGGTTTTGGGCTACTGATATACGTTGCTTTTTCGCTTTCATTGTATTATGTGCTCCTTGCCACAGATACATAGCAAATAACACTTCCATCCAAAATGTAATTTCAGTATTTCGTTAAGTCCCGCTCTAACAGTGAATTTCTTTTTAGATACTATCACTGATGCTACTACCACTGATGCTACAACAGTGACTGATGCTACAACCACTGATGCTACAACAGTGAGTGATGCTACTACCACTGATGCTACAACAACAGTGACAGATGCTACTACAACTGATGTAACAACAACAGTTGCTGATGCTACAACCACAGTGGCTGATGCTACTACCACTGATGTTACAACCACTGATGCTACAACCACAGTGGCAGGAGCATCTACCACCACTGAAGCTACTACCACAGTGACTGATGCTACTTCCACTGATGCTACTACCACAGAGACTGATGTTACTACCACTGATGCTTCAATCACTGTGACTGATGCTATTACCTCTGATGGTACTACCACAGTGACTGATGCTACAACCACTGATGCTACTACCACAGTGACTGAGGCTACCACCACTGATGCTACTACCACAGTAACTGATGCAACAACCACTGATGCTACAACAGTGACTGATGCTACAACCACTGATGCTACAACAGTGAGTGATGCTACAACCACTGATGCTACTACCACAGTGACTGATGCTACAACCAGTGATGTTACCACCAGAGTGGCTGATGCTACTACCACTGATGTTACCACCACAGTGACTGATGGTACTAGCACTGATGCTACAAGAACAGTGCCTGATGCTACTTCCACTGATGCTACAAAGGCAGTGAGTGATGCTTCTACCACTGATGCTACAACAACATTGACTGATGCTACTACCACTGATGTTACTACCACAGTGACTGATGCAACTGCCACTGATGCTACAATAACAGTAACTGATGCTACTACCACTGATGCTACAACAACAGTGACTGATGCTACTACCACTGATGCTACTACCACAGTGCCTAATGCTACCACCACTGATGCTACAGCAACAGTGACTGATGCTACAACAACAGTAACTGATGCTACAACAACAGTAACTGATGCTACAACAACATTAACTGATGCTACAACAACACTAACTGATGCTACAACATCATTAACTGATGGTACAAGCACAGTGACTACCGCAGGGACTGATGCTTCTACCACTGATGTTCCTACCACAATGGCTGATGCTACTACCACTGATGATACAACAACAGTGACTGATGCTACTACCACTGAAGCTACTACCAAAGTGACTGATGCTACTACCACTGAAGCTACTACCACACTGACTGATGCTACTACCACTGATGTTACTACCACAGTGACTGATGCTACTACCACAGTGACTGATGCTACTACCAGCGATGATACTACCACAGTGACGGATGCTACTACCACTGATGCTACTACCAAAGTGACTGATGCTACTACCACTGATGTTACAACCACTGATGCTACAACCACAGTGGCAGGAGCATCTACCACCACTGAAGCTACTACCACAGTGACTGATGCTACTTCCACTGATGCTACTACCACAGAGACTGATGTTACTACCACTGATGCTTCAATCACAGTGACTGATGCTATTACCTCTGATGGTACTACCACAGTGACTGATGCTACAACCACTGATGCTACTACCACAGTGACTGAGGCTACCACCACTGATGCTACTACCACAGTAACTGATGCAACAACCACTGATGCTACAACAGTGACTGATGCTACAACCACTGATGCTACAACAGTGAGTGATGCTACAACCACTGATGCTACTACCACAGTGACTGATGCTACAACCAGTGATGTTACCACCAGAGTGGCTGATGCTACTACCACTGATGTTACCACCACAGTGACTGATGCTACTACCACTGATGCTACAAGAACAGTGCCTGATGCTACTTCCACTGATGCTACAAAGGCAGTGAGTGATGCTTCTACCACTGATGCTACAACAACATTGACTGATGCTACTACCACTGATGTTACTACCACAGTGACTGATGCAACTGCCACTGATGCTACAATAACAGTAACTGATGCTACTACCACTGATGCTACAACAACAGTGACTGATGCTACTACCACTGATGCTACTACCACAGTGCCTAATGCTACCACCACTGATGCTACAGCAACAGTGACTGATGCTACAACAACAGTAACTGATGCTACAACAACAGTAACTGATTCTACAACAACAGTAACTGATGCTACAACAACATTAACTGATGCTACAACAACACTAACTGATGCTACAACATCATTAACTGATGGTACAAGCACAGTGACTACCGCAGGGACTGATGCTTCTACCACTGATGTTCCTACCACAATGGCTGATGCTACTACCACTGATGATACAACAACAGTGACTGATGCTACTACCACTGAAGCTACTACCAAAGTGACTGATGCTACTACCACTGAAGCTACTACCACACTGACTGATGCTACTACCACTGATGTTACTACCACAGTGACTGATGCTACTACCACTGATGCTACTACCACAGTGACTGATGCTACTACCAGCGATGATACTACCACAGTGACGGATGCTACTACCACTGATGCTACTACCAAAGTGACTGATGCTATAACCACTGATGTTACTACCACAGTGACTGATGCTACTACCACTGATGCTACAATAACAGTGACTGATGCTAGTACCACTGATTTTACTACCACAGTCACTGATGCTACTAACACTGAAGCTACTACCACAGTGACTGATGATACAACTACTGATGCTACTACCACAGTGACTTTTGCTACTACCACAGATGTTACTACCACAGTGGCTGATGCTACAACCAGCGATGCTACTACCACAGTGACTGATGCTACTACCAGCGATGCTACTACCACAGTTACTGATGCTACTACCACTGATGCTACAACAACAGTGACTGATGCTACTACCACTGATGCAACTACCACAGAGACTGATGCTACTACCACTGATGCTACTACCACAGTGACTGATGCTACTACCACAGTGACTGATGCTTTTACCACTGATGCTACAACAACAGTGACTGAAACTGCAACTACAGTAACTGAAGCTACGACCACAGTGACAGATGATACAACCACACTGATTGAGTCTACTTCCACTGATGTTACAACCACAGTGGCTGATGTTACTACTACAGATGCTACTGGTACATTTAGGTTTTGGGCTACTGATATATGTTGCTTTTTTCGCTTTCATTGTATTATGTGTTGCTTGCCACAGATGCATAGCAAATAACACTTCCATCCAAAATGTAATTTCAGTATTTCGTTAAGTCCCGCTATAACAGTGAATTTCTTTTTAGATACTATCACTGATGCTACTACCACTGATGCTACAACAATGACTGATGCTACAGCCACTGATGCTACAACAGTGAGTGATGCTATTACCACTGATGCTACAACAGTGACCGATGCTACTACCACTGATGTTACTACCACAGTTTCTGATGCTACTACCACTGATGATGCAAAAACAGTGACTGATGCTACTTCCACTGATGCTACAAAGGCAGTGAGTGATGCTTCTACCACTGATGCTACAACAACATTGACTGATGCTACTACCACTGATGTTACTACCACAGTGACTGATGCAACTGCCACTGATGCTACAATAACAGTAACTGATGCTACTACCACTGATGCTACAACAACAGTGACTGATGCTACTACCACTGATGCTACTACCACAGTGCCTAATGCTACCACCACTGATGCTACAGCAACAGTGACTGATGCTACAACAACAGTAACTGATGCTACAACAACAGTAACTGATTCTACAACAACAGTAACTGATGCTACAACAACATTAACTGATGCTACAACAACACTAACTGATGCTACAACATCATTAACTGATGGTACAAGCACAGTGACTACCGCAGGGACTGATGCTTCTACCACTGATGTTCCTACCACAATGGCTGATGCTACTACCACTGATGATACAACAACAGTGACTGATGCTACTACCACTGAAGCTACTACCAAAGTGACTGATGCTACTACCACTGAAGCTACTACCACACTGACTGATGCTACTACCACTGATGTTACTACCACAGTGACTGATGCTACTACCACTGATGCTACTACCACAGTGACTGATGCTACTACCAGCGATGATACTACCACAGTGACGGATGCTACTACCACTGATGCTACTACCAAAGTGACTGATGCTATAACCACTGATGTTACTACCACAGTGACTGATGCTACTACCACTGATGCTACAATAACAGTGACTGATGCTAGTACCACTGATTTTACTACCACAGTCACTGATGCTACTAACACTGAAGCTACTACCACAGTGACTGATGATACAACTACTGATGCTACTACCACAGTGACTTTTGCTACTACCACAGATGTTACTACCACAGTGGCTGATGCTACAACCAGCGATGCTACTACCACAGTGACTGATGCTACTACCAGCGATGCTACTACCACAGTTACTGATGCTACTACCACTGATGCTACAACAGCAGTGACTGATGCTACTACCACTGATGCAACTACCACAGAGACTGATGCTACTACCACTGATGCTACTACCACAGTGACTGGTGCTACTACCACAGTGACTGATGCTTTTACCACTGATGCTACAACAACAGTGACTGAAACTGCAACTACAGTAACTGAAGCTACGACCACAGTGACAGATGATACAACCACACTGATTGAGTCTACTTCCACTGATGTTACAACCACAGTGGCTGATGTTACTACTACAGATGCTACTGGTACATTTAGGTTTTGGGCTACTGATATATGTTGCTTTTTTCGCTTTCATTGTATTATGTGTTGCTTGCCACAGATGCATAGCAAATAACACTTCCATCCAAAATGTAATTTCAGTATTTCGTTAAGTCCCGCTATAACAGTGAATTTCTTTTTAGATACTATCACTGATGCTACTACCACTGATGCTACAACAATGACTGATGCTACAGCCACTGATGCTACAACAGTGAGTGATGCTATTACCACTGATGCTACAACAGTGACCGATGCTACTACCACTGATGTTACTACCACAGTTTCTGATGCTACTACCACTGATGATGCAAAAACAGTGACTGATACTACTTCCACTGATGCTACTACCACAGTGACTGATGCTACAACCACTGATGCTACTACCACAGTGACTGATGATACTACCACTGATGCTACTACCACAGTGACTGATGCTACTACCACTGAAGATACTACCACAGTGACTGATGCTACTACCACTGATGCTACAACCACATTGACTGATGCTACAACCACTGATGCTACTACCACAGTGACTGATGATACTACCACTGATTCTACTACCACAGTCACTGTTGCTACTACCACTGAAGCTACTACCACAGTGACTGATGCTACAACCACTGATGCTACTACCACAGTGACTGATGATACTACCACTGATGCTACTACCACAGTCACTGTTGCTACTACCACTGATGTTACTACCACCGTGACTGATGCTACTACCGATGATGCTACTACCACAGTGACTCCTGCTACTACCACTGATGAAACTACCACATTGACTGATGCTACTACCACAGATGTTTCTACAACATTGGCTGATGCTACAACCAGCGATGCTACTACCACAGTGACTGTTGCTACTACCACTGATGCTACTACCACAGTGACTGATGCTACAACCACTGATGCTACAACAACAGTGACTGATGCTACTACCACTGATGTAACTACCACAGTGACTGACGCTTCTTCCACAGGTGTAACTACCACAGTGACTGATGTTACTACCACTGATGTTTCTACAACAGTGACTGATGCTTCTACCACTGATGTTACTACCACAGTGACTGATGCTACTACCACTAAAGCTACTACCACAGTGAATGATGCTACAACCACTGATGCTACTACCACAGTGACTGATGATACTACCACTGATGCTACTACCACAGTGACTGTTGCTACTACCACTAATGTTACTTCCACAGTGACTGATGCTACTACCACAGATGTCACTACCACAGTGGCTGATGCTACAACCAGCGATTCTACTAACACAGTGACTGATGCTACTACCACAATGACTGATGCTACTACCAGCGATATTACTACCACAGTGACTGATGCTACTACCATTGATGCTTCAACAACAGTGACGGATGCTACTACCACTGATGCTACTACCAAAGTGACTGATGCTATTACCACTGATGTAACTACCACTGATGTAACTACCACAGTGACTGATGCTACTACCACTGATGCTACAATAACAGTGACTGATGCTAGTACTACTGATTTTACTACCACAGTCACTGATGCTACTAACACTGAAGCTACTACCACAGTGACAGATGAAACAACCACTGATGCTACTACCACAGTGACTTTTGCTACTACCACAGATGTTACTACCACAGTGGCTGATGCTACAACCAGCGATGCTACTACCACAGTGACTGATGCTACTACCACTGATGCTTCAACAACAGTGACTGATGCTACTACCACTGATGTTACTTCCTCAGTGACGGATGCTACTACCACTGATGCTACTACAAAAGTGACTGATGCTATTACCACTGATGTTACTACCAAAGTGACTGATGCTACTACCACTGATGCTACAATACCAGTGACTGATGCTAGTACCACTGATTTTACTACCACAGTGACTGATGCTACAACCACTGATGCTACTACCACAGTGACTGAGGCTACCACCACTGATGCTACTACCACAGTAACTGATGCAACAACCACTGATGCTACAACAGTGACTGATACTACAACCACTGATGCTACAACAGTGAGTGATGCTACTACCACTGATGCTACAACAACAGTGACTGATGCTACTACCACTGATGTTACTACCACAGTGACTGAGGCTACCACCACTGATGCTACTACCACAGTAACTGATGCAACAACCACTGATGCTACAACAGTGACTGATGCTACAACCACTGATGCTACAACAGTGAGTGATGCTACTACCACTGATGCTACAACAACAGTGACTGATGCTACTACCACTGATGTTACTACCACAGTGACTGATGCTACTGTCACTGATGCTACAACCACAATGACTGATGCTACTACATCTGATGTTACTACCACAGTTACTGATGCTACAACCACTGATGTTACTACCACAGTGCCTGATGCTACCACCACTGATGCTACTACCACATTAACTGATTCAACAACCACTGATGCTACAACAGTGACTGATGCTACAACCACTGATGCTACAACAGTGAGTGATGCTACTACCACAGTGACTGATGCTACTACCACTGATGCTTCAACAACAGTGACTGATGCTACTACCACTGATGTTACTTCCTCAGTGACGGATGCTACTACCACTGATGCTACTACAAAAGTGACTGATGCTATTACCACTGATGTTTCTACCACAGTGACTTATGCTACTACCACTGATGCTACAATACCAGTGACTGATGCTAGTACCACTGATTTTACTACCACAGTGACTGATGCTACAACCACTGATGCTACTACCACAGTGACTGAGGCTACCACCACTGATGCTACTACCACAGTAACTGATGCAACAACCACTGATGCTACAACAGTGACTGATACTACAACCACTGATGCTACAACAGTGACTGATGCTACAACCACTGATGCTACAACAGTGAGTGATGCTACAACCACTGATGCTACAACAGTGAGTGATGCTACTACCACTGATGCTACAACAACAGTGACTGATGCTACTACCACTGATGTTACTACCACAGTGACTGATGCTACTGTCACTGATGCTACAACCACAATGACTGATGCTACTACATCTGATGTTACTACCACAGTGACTGATGCTACAACCACTGATGTTACTACCACAGTGCCTAATGCTACCACCACTGATGCTACAGCAACAGTGACTGATGCTACTACCTCTGATGTAACTACCACAGTGACTGATGCTACAACCACTGATGTTACTACCACAGTGCCTGATGCTACCACCACTGATGCTACTACCACATTAACTGATTCTACAACCACTGATGCTACAACAGTGACTGATGCTACTTCCACTGATGCTACAAAGGCAGTGAGTGATGCTTCTACCACTGATGCTACAACAACATTGACTGATGCTACTACCTCTGATGTAACTACCACAGTGACTGATGCTACAACCACTGATGTTACTACCACAGTGCCTGATGCTACCACCACTGATGCTACTACCACATTAACTGATTCTACAACCACTGATGCTACAACAGTGACTGATGCTACAACCACTGATGCTACAACAGTGAGTGATGCTACTATTACTGATGCTACAACCACTGATGTTACTACCACAGTAACTGATGCTACTACCACTGATGTTACTACCACAGTGGCTGATGCTACAACCAGCGATGCTACTACCTTAGTGACTGATGCTACTACCACTGATGTTACTACCACAGTGGCTGATGCTACAACCAGCGATGCTACTACCTTAGTGACTGATGCTACTACCACTGATGCTACTACCACAGTGACTGATGCTACTACCAGCGATGCTACTACCACAGTGACTGATGATACTACCACTGATGCTACTACCACAGTGACTGATGCTACAACCACTGATGTTACTACCACAGTAACTGATGCTACTTCCACTGATGTTACTACCACAGTGACTGATGCTACTACCACTGATGTTACTACCACAGTGACTGATGCTACTACTTCTGATGCTACAACCACAGTGACTGATGCTAGTACCACTGATTTTACTACCACAGTGACTGATGCTACAACCACTGATGCTACTACCACAGTGACTGAGGCTACCACCACTGATGCTACTACCACAGTAACTGATGCAACAACCACTGATGCTACAACAGTGACTGATACTACAACCACTGATGCTACAACAGTGACTGATGCTACAACCACTGATGCTACAACAGTGAGTGATGCTACTACCACTGATGCTACAACAACAGTGACTGATGCTACTACCACTGATGTTACTACCACAGTGACTGATGCTACTGTCACTGATGCTACAACCACAATGACTGATGCTACTACATCTGATGTTACTACCTCAGTGACTGATGCTACAACCACTGATGTTACTACCACAGTGCCTGATGCTACCACCACTGATGCTACTACCACATTAACTGATTCTACAACCACTGATGCTACAACAGTGACTGATGCTACAACCACTGATGCTACAACAGTGATTGATGCTACTACCACAGTGACTGATGCTACTACCACTGATGCTTCAACAACAGTGACTGATGCTACTACCACTGATGTTACTTCCTCAGTGACGGATGCTACTACCACTGATGCTACTACAAAAGTGACTGATGCTATTACCACTGATGTTACTACCACAGTGACTGATGCTACTACCACTGATGCTACAATACCAGTGACTGATGCTAGTACCACTGATTTTACTACCACAGTGACTGATGCTACAACCACTGATGCTACTACCACAGTGACTGAGGCTACCACCACTGATGCTACTACCACAGTAACTGATGCAACAACCACTGATGCTACAACAGTGACTGATACTACAACCACTGATGCTACAACAGTGATTGATGCTACTACCACAGTGACTGATGCTACTACCACATTAACTGATTCTACAACCACTGATGCTACAACAGTGACTGATGCTACAACCACTGATGCTACAACAGTGAGTGATGTTACAACCACTGATGCTACTATTTCTGATGCTACTACCACAGAGACTGATGCTTTTACCACTGATGCTACAACAGTGAGTGATGCTACTACCACTGATGCTACAACAACAGTGACTGATGCTACTACCACTGATTTTACTACCACAGTGACTGATGCTACTGTCACTGATGCTACAACCACAATGACTGATGCTACTACATCTGATGTTACTACCACAGTGACTGATGCTACAACCACTGATGTTACTACCACAGTGCCTGATGCTACCACCACTGATGCTACTACCACATTAACTGATTCTACAACCACTGATGCTACAACAGTGACTGATGCTACAACCACTGATGCTACAACAGTGAGTGATGCTACTATTACTGATGCTACAACAACAGTGACTGATGCTACAACCACTGATGTTACTACCACAGTGACTGATGCTTCTACCACTGAAGCTACTACAACAGTGATGGATGCTACTACCACAGTGACGGATGCTACTTCCACTGATGATGCAACAACAGTGACTGATGCTGCTACCACCGATGTTACTACCACACTGACTGATGCTACAACCACTGATGCTACAACAGTGACTGATGCTACAACCACTGATGCTACTATTTCTGATGTTACTACCACAGTGATTGATGCTACAACCACTGATGTTACTACCACAGTGACTGATGCTACTACCACTGATGATGCAACAACAGTGACTGATGCTACTACCACTGAAGCTACTACCACAGTGAATGATGCCACTACCACTGATGTTACTACCACAGTGACTGATGCTACAACCACTGATGTTACTACCACAGTAACTGATGCTACTACCACTGATGTTACTACCACAGTGGCTGATGCTACAACCAGCGATGCTACTACCTTAGTGACTGATGCTACTGCCACTGATGTTACTACCACAGTGGCTGATGCTACAACCAGCGATGCTACTACCTTAGTGACTGATGCTACTACCACTGATGCTACTACCACAGTGACTGATGCTACTACCAGCGATGCTACTACCACAGTGACTGATGATACTACCACTGATGCTACTACCACAGTGACTGATGCTACAACCACTGATGTTACTACCACAGTAACTGATGCTACTTCCACTGATGTTACTACCACAGTGACTGATGCTATTACCACTGATGTTACTACCACAGTGACTGATGCTACTACTTCTGATGCTACAACCACAGTGACTGATGCTACTACCTCTGATGTTACTACCACAGTGACTGATGCTACAACCACTGATGCTACTACCACAGTGACTGAGGCTACCACCACTGATGCTACTACCACAGTAACTGATGAAATAACCACTGATGCTACAACAGTGACTGATACTACAACCACTGATGCTACAACAGTGACTGATGCTACAACCACTGATGCTACAACAGTGAGTGATGCTACAACCACTGATGCTACAACAGTGAGTGATGCTACTATCACTGATGATGCAACAACAGTGACTGATGCTACTACCACTGATGTCACTACCACAGTGACTGATGCTACTGCCACTGATGCTACAACCACAGTCACTGATGCTACTACCTCTGATGTAACTACCACAGTGACTGATGCTACAACCACTGATGTTTCTACCACAGTGCCTGATGCTACCACCACTGATGCTACTACCACATTAACTGATGCTACAACCACTGATGCTACAACAGTGACTGATGCTATAACCACTGATGCTATAACAGTGAGTGATGCTACTACCACTGATGCTACAACAACAGTGACTGATGCTACTACCACTGATGTCACTACCACAGTGACTGATGCTTCAACCACTGATGCTACAACAGTGAGTGATGCTACTACCACTGATGCTACAACAACAGTGACTGATGCTACTACCACTGATGTCACTACCACAGTGACTGATGCTTCAACCACTGATGCTACAGCAGTGACTGATGCTACTACCACTGATGCTACAACAACAGTGACTGGTGCTGCTACCACTGATGTTACTACCACAGTAACTGATGCTACAACCACTGATGCTACAACAGTGACTGATGCTACAACCACTGATGCTACAACAGTGACTGATGCTACTACCTCTGATATCACTACCACAGTGACTGATGCTACAACCACTGATGCTACTACCAAAATGACTGATGCTTCTACCACTGAAGCTACTACAACAGTGATGGACGCTACTACCACAGTGACGGATGCTACTTCCACTGATGATGCAACAACAGTGACTGATGCTGCTACCACTGATGTTACTACCACACTGACTGATGCTACAACCACTGATGCTACAACAGTGACTGATGCTACAACCACTGATGCTACAACAACAGTGACTGATGCTACTACCACTGATGTCACTACCACAGTGACTGATGCTACTGCCACTGATGCTACAACCACAGTCACTGATGCTACTACCTCTGATGTAACTACCACAGTGACTGATGCTACAACCACTGATGTTTCTACCACAGTGCCTGATGCTACCACCACTGATGCTACTACCACATTAACTGATGCTACAACCACTGATGCTACAACAGTGACTGATGCTATAACCACTGATGCTATAACAGTGAGTGATGCTACTACCACTGATGCTACAACAACAGTGACTGATGCTACTACCACTGATGTCACTACCACAGTGACTGATGCTTCAACCACTGATGCTACAACAGTGAGTGATGCTACTACCACTGATGCTACAACAACAGTGACTGATGCTACTACCACTGATGTCACTACCACAGTGACTGATGCTTCAACCACTGATGCTACAGCAGTGACTGATGCTACTACCACTGATGCTACAACAACAGTGACTGGTGCTGCTACCACTGATGTTACTACCACAGTAACTGATGCTACAACCACTGATGCTACAACAGTGACTGATGCTACAACCACTGATGCTACAACAGTGACTGATGCTACTACCTCTGATATCACTACCACAGTGACTGATGCTACAACCACTGATGCTACTACCAAAATGACTGATGCTTCTACCACTGAAGCTACTACAACAGTGATGGACGCTACTACCACAGTGACGGATGCTACTTCCACTGATGATGCAACAACAGTGACTGATGCTGCTACCACTGATGTTACTACCACACTGACTGATGCTACAACCACTGATGCTACAACAGTGACTGATGCTACAACCACTGATGCTACAACAACAGTGACTGATGCTACTACATCTGATGTTACTACCACAGTGGCTGATGCTACAACCACTGGTGCTACTACCAAAGTGACTGATGCTACTACCAAAGTGACTGATGCTACAACCACTGATGTTACTACAACAGTAACTGATGCTACTACCACCGATGATGCAACAACAGTGACTGATGCTACTACCACTGATATTACTACCACAGTGACTGAAGCTTCCACCACTGATGCTACAACAACAGTGACTGATGCTACTACCACTGAAGCTACTACCACAGTGACTGATGCTACTATCACTGATGCTACAACAACAGTGTCTGATGCTTCTACCACTGAAGCTACTACCACAGTGATTGATGCTACAACCACAGATGCTACTAAAGCTACTACCACAGTGACTGATGCTACTATCACTGATGCTACAACAACAGTGACTGATGCTACTATCACTGATGATGCAACAACAGTGACTGATGCTACTACCACTGATGTTACTACCACAGTGACTGATGCTTCCACCACTGATGCTACGACAACAGTGACTGATGCTACTACCACTGAAGCTACTACTGAAGCTACCACTGATGTTACCACCACAGTGACTGATGCCACAACCACTGATGTTACTACCACAGTAACTGATGCTACTACCACCGATGATGCAACAACAGTGACTGATGCTACTACCACAGATGCTACTACCACAGTGACTGATGCTACTATCACTGATGATGCAACAAAAGTGACTGATACTACTTCCACTGATGTAACTACCTCACTGACTGATGGTACAACCACTGATGTTACTACCACGGTGACTGATGCTGCTACCATTGATGTAACTACCACAGTGACTGATGCTTCTACCACTGAAGCTACTACCACAGTGACTGATGCTACAACCACTGATGGTACTACCAAAGTGACTGATGCTACTACCACAGTGACTGATGCTACAACCACTGATGCTACTACCACAGTGACTGAGGCTACCACCACTGATGCTACTACCACAGTAACTGATGCAACAACCACTGATGCTACAACAGTGACTGATACTACAACCACTGATGCTACAACAGTGACTGATGCTACAACCACTGATGCTACAACAGTGAGTGATGCTACTACCACTGATGCTACAACAACAGTGACTGATGCTACTACCACTGATTTTACTACCACAGTGACTGATGCTACTGTCACTGATGCTACAACCACAATGACTGATGCTACTACATCTGATGTTACTACCACAGTGACTGATGCTACAACCACTGATGTTACTACCACAGTGCCTGATGCTACCACCACTGATGCTACTACCACATTAACTGATTCTACAACCACTGATGCTACAACAGTGACTGATGCTACAACCACTGATGCTACAACAGTGAGTGATGCTACTATTACTGATGCTACAACAACAGTGACTGATGCTACAACCACTGATGTTACTACCACAGTGACTGATGCTTCTACCACTGAAGCTACTACAACAGTGATGGATGCTACTACCACAGTGACGGATGCTACTTCCACTGATGATGCAACAACAGTGACTGATGCTGCTACCACCGATGTTACTACCACACTGACTGATGCTACAACCACTGATGCTACAACAGTGACTGATGCTACAACCACTGATGCTACTATTTCTGATGTTACTACCACAGTGATTGATGCTACAACCACTGATGTTACTACCACAGTGACTGATGCTACTACCACTGATGACGCAACAACAGTGACTGATGCTACTACCACTGAAGCTACTACCACAGTGAATGATGCCACTACCACTGATGTTACTTCCACAGTGACTGATGCTACAACCACTGATGTTACTACCACAGTAACTGATGCTACTACCACTGATGTTACTACCACAGTGGCTGATGCTACAACCAGCGATGCTACTACCTTAGTGACTGATGCTACTGCCACTGATGTTACTACCACAGTGGCTGATGCTACAACCAGCGATGCTACTACCTTAGTGACTGATGCTACTACCACTGATGCTACTACCACAGTGACTGATGCTACTACCAGCGATGCTACTACCACAGTGACTGATGATACTACCACTGATGCTACTACCACAGTGACTGATGCTACAACCACTGATGTTACTACCACAGTAACTGATGCTACTTCCACTGATGTTACTACCACAGTGACTGATGCTATTACCACTGATGTTACTACCACAGTGACTGATGCTACTACTTCTGATGCTACAACCACAGTGACTGATGCTACTACCTCTGATGTTACTACCACAGTGACTGATGCTACAACCACTGATGCTACTACCACAGTGACTGAGGCTACCACCACTGATGCTACTACCACAGTAACTGATGGAATAACCACTGATGCTACAACAGTGACTGATACTACAACCACTGATGCTACAACAGTGACTGATGCTACAACCACTGATGCTACAACAGTGAGTGATGCTACTACCAGTGATGCTACAACAACAGTGACTGATGCTACTACCACTAATGTTACTACCACAGTGACTGATGCTACTGCCACTGATGCTACAACCACAGTCACTGATGCTACTACCTCTGATGTAACTACCACAGTGACTGATGCTACAACCACTGATGTTTCTACCACAGTGCCTGATGCTACCACCACTGATGCTACTACCACATTAACTGATGCTACAACCACTGATGCTACAACAGTGACTGATGCTATAACCACTGATGCTATAACAGTGAGTGATGCTACTACCACTGATGCTACAACAACAGTGACTAATGCTACTACCACTGATGTCACTACCACAGTGACTGATGCTTCAACCACTGATGCTACAACAGTGAGTGATGCTACTACCACTGATGCTACAACAACAGTGACTGATGCTACTACCACTGATGTCACTACCACAGTGACTGATGCTTCAACCACTGATGCTACAGCAGTGACTGATGCTACTACCACTGATGCTACAACAACAGTGACTGGTGCTGCTACCACTGATGTTACTACCACAGTAACTGATGCTACAACCACTGATGCTACAACAGTGACTGATGCTACAACCACTGATGCTACAACAGTGACTGATGCTACTACCTCTGATATCACTACCACAGTGACTGATGCTACAACCACTGATGCTACTACCAAAATGACTGATGCTTCTACCACTGAAGCTACTACAACAGTGATGGACGCTACTACCACAGTGACGGATGCTACTTCCACTGATGATGCAACAACAGTGACTGATGCTGCTACCACTGATGTTACTACCAAACTGACTGATGCTACAACCACTGATGCTACAACAGTGACTGATGCTACAACCACTGATGCTACAACAACAGTGACTGATGCTACTACATCTGATGTTACTACCACAGTGGCTGATGCTACAACCACTGGTGCTACTACCAAAGTGACTGATGCTACTACCACAGTGACTGATGCTACAACCACTGATGTTACTACAACAGTAACTGATGCTACTACCACCGATGATGCAACAACAGTGACTGATGCTACTACCACTGATATAACTACCACAGTGACTGAAGCTTCCACCACTGATGCTACAACAACAGTGACTGATGCTACTACCACTGAAGCTACTACCACAGTGACTGATGCTACTATCACTGATGCTACAACAACAGTGTCTGATGCTTCTACCACTGAAGCTACTACCACAGTGATTGATGCTACAACCACAGATGCTACTAAAGCTACTACCACAGTGACTGATGCTACTATCACTGATGCTACAACAACAGTGACTGATGCTACTATCACTGATGATGCAACAACAGTGACTGATGCTACTACCACTGATGTTACTACCACAGTGACTGATGCTTCCACCACTGATGCTACGACAACAGTGACTGATGCTACTACCACTGAAGCTACTACTGAAGCTACCACTGATGTTACCACCACAGTGACTGATGCCACAACCACTGATGTTACTACCACAGTAACTGATGCTACTACCACCGATGATGCAACAACAGTGACTGATGCTACTACCACAGATGCTACTACCACAGTGACTGATGCTACTACCACTGATGATGCAACAAAAGTGACTGATACTACTTCCACTGATGTAACTACCTCACTGACTGATGCTACAACCACTGATGTTACTACCACAGTGACTGATGCTGCTACCATTGATGTAACTACCACAGTGACTGATGCTTCTACCACTGAAGCTACTACCACAGTGACTGATGCTACAACCACTGATGGTACTACCAAAGTGACTGATGCTACTACCACAGTGACTGATGCTACTACCACTGATGCAACAACAACAGTAACTGATGTTACTACTACAGTGACTGATGCTACTACCTCTGAAGCTACTACCACAGTGACTGATGCTTCCACCACTGATGTTACTACCAAAGTGACTGATGCTACGACCACAATGACTGATGCTACTACCACTGATGCTACTACCACAGTGACTAATGCTACAACAACTGATGCTACAACAGTGACTGATGCTACTACCACTGATGCTACAACAGCAGTGACTAAAGCTGTGACCATTGATCTTACAACAACAGTGACTGATGATCCTACAACTGATGTTACTACCACAGTGACTGATACTACATCCACTGATGTTGCTACCACAGTGACTGATGCTATTACCACTGATGATGCAACAACAGTGACTGATGCTACTACCACTGGAGCTACTACCACAGTGACTTATGCCACTACCACTGATGTTACTACCACAGTGACTGATGCTACTACCACAGTAACTGATGCTACAACCACTGATGCTACAACAGTGAGTGATGCTACTACCACTGATGATGAAACAACAGTGACTGGTGCTACTACCACTGGAGCTACTACCACAGTGACTGATGCCACTTCATCTGATGTTATCACCACAGTAACTGATGCTACAACCACTGATGTTACTACCACAGTGACTGATGCTACTACCACTGATGATACAACAACAGTGACTGATGCTACTATCACTGATGCTACAACAACAGTGACTGATGCTACTACAACTGATGTTACTACCACACTGACTGATGCTACAACAGTGAGTGATGCTACTACCACTGATGCTACAACAACAGTGACTGATGCTACTATCACTGAGGATGCAACAACAGTGACTGATGCTACTACCACTGATGTTACTACCACAGTGACTGATGCTACTACAACTGATGTTACTACCACACTGACTGATGCTACAACCACTGATGCTACAACAGTGAGTGATGCTACTACCACTGATGCTACAACAACAGTGACTGATGCTACTATCACTGATGATGCAACAACAGTGACTGATGCTACTACCACTGATGTTACTACCACAGTGACTGATGCTACAACCACTGAAGCTACTACCACAGTGACTGATGCTACTATCACTGATGCTACAACAACAGTGACTGATGCTACTATCACTGATGATGCAACAACAGTGACTGATGCTACTTCCACTGATGTTACTACCACAGTGACTGATGCTTCCACCACTGATGCTACGACAACAGTGACTGATGCTACAACCACTGATGCTACAACAGTGACTGATGCTACTACCACTGATGTTACTACCACAGTGACTGATGCTACAACCACTGAAGCTACTACCACAGTGACTGATGCTACTATCACTGATGCTACAACAACAGTGACTGATGCTACTATCACTGATGATGCAACAACAGTGACTGATGCTACTACCACTGATGTTACTACCACAGTGACTGATGCTTCCACCACTGATGCTACGACAACAGTGACTGATGCTACAACCACTGATGCTACAACAGTGAGTGATGCTACTACCACTGATGATGCAACAACAGTGACTGGTGCTACTACCACTGGAGCTACAACAACAGTGACTGATGCTACTACATCTGAAGTTACTACCAAAGTGACTGATGCTACTACCACAGTGACTGATGCTACTACCACTGATGCAACAACAACAGTGACTGATGCTACTACCACTGATGTTACTACCACAGTGACTGATGCTTCCACCACTGATGCTACGACAACAGTGACTGATGCTTCCACCACTGATGCTACGACAACAGTGACTGATGCTACAACCACTGATGCTACAACAGTGAGTGATGCTACTACCACTGATGATGCAACAACAGTGACTGATGCTACAACCACTGATGCTACAACAACAGTGACTGATGCTACTACATCTGAAGTTACTACCAAAGTGACTGATGCTACTACCACAGTGACTGATGCTACTACCACAGTGACTGATGCTACTACCACTGATGCAACAACAACAGTAACTGATGTTACTACTACAGTGACTGATGCTACAACCACTGATGTTACTACCACAGTGACTGATGCTACTACCACTGATGATGCAACAACAGTGACTGATGCTACTACAACTGAGGTTACTACCACACTGACTGATGCTACAACCACTGATGCTACAACAGTGACTGATGCTACAACCACTGATGCTACTACAACAGTGACTGATGCTACAACCACTGATGCTACAACAACAGTGACTGATGCTACTACATCTGATGTTACTACCACAGTGACTGATGCTACAACCACTGATGCTTCTACAACTGTGACTGATGCTACTACAACTGATGCTACTACCACAGTGACTGATGCTACAACCACTGATGCTACAACAGTGACTGATGCTTCAACTAATGATGCTACAACAGTGAGTGATGCTACTACCAATGATGCTACAACAACAGTGACTGGTGCTACTACCACTGATGTTATTACCACAGTGACTGATGCTTCTACCACTGAAGCTACTTCAACAGTGATGGATGCTTCTACCACAGTGACGGATGCTACTTCCACTGATGATGCAACAACAGTGACTGATACTGCTTCCACTGATGTTACTACCACACTGATTGATGCTAAAACCACTGATGCTACAACAGTGACTGATGCTACAACCACTGATGTTACTACCATAGTGACTGATGCCACTGCCACTGATGATACCACCACAGTGACTGATGCTTCTGCCACTGATGATGCAACAACAGTGGCTGATGCTACTACCACTGATGTTACTACCACTGTGACTGATGCTACAACCACTGATGCTGATACCACAATGACTGATGCTACTACAACTGATGCTACTTCCACAGTGACTGATGCCACTTCCACTGATGTTATCACCACAGTAACTGATGCTTCTACCATTGATGATGCAACAACAGTGACTGATGCTACTACCACTGATGTTACTATCACAGTGACTGATGCTACTACCTTTGAAGCTACTACCACAGTGACTGATGCTACCACCACTGATGTTACTACCAAAGTGACTGATGCTACGACCACAATGACTGATGCTACTACCACAGTGACTGATGCTACAACCACTGATGCTACAACAGTGACTGATGCTACTACCACTGATGCTACATCAGCAGTGACTGAAACTGTGACCACTGATCTTACAACAACAGTGACTGATGCTTCTACCACTGATGTTACTACCACAGTGACTGATGCTACAACCACTGATGTTACTACCACAGTGACTGATGCTACTACCACTGATGATGCAACAACAGTGACTGATGCTACTACCACTGAAGCTACTACCACAGTGACTGATACCACTGATGCTACTACCACAGTGACTGTTGCTACTACATCTGATGTTACTACCACAGTGACTGATGCTACAACCACTGATGCTACTACCACAGTAACTGATGCAACAACCACTGATGCTACTTCCACAGTGACTGATGTTACTACCACTGATGCTACTACCACAGTGACTGATGCTACAACCACTGATGCTACAACAGTGACTGATGCTACAACCACTGATGCTACAACAGTGACTGATGCTACAACCACTGGTTCTACAACAGTGAGTGATGCTACTACCAGTGATGCTACAACAACAGTGACTGATGCTACTACCACTGATGTTACTACCACAGTGACTGATGCTACTGCCACTGATGTTATCACCACAGTAACTGATGCTGCTACCATTGATGATGCAACAACAGTGACTTATGCTACTACCACTGATGTTACTATCACAGTGACTGATGTTACTACCACTGATGTTACTACCACAGTGACTGATGCTTCCACCACTGATGCTACGACAACAGTGACTGATGCTACTACCACTGAAGCTACTACTGAAGCTACCACTGATGTTACCACCACAGTGACTGATGCTACAACCACTGATGTTACTACCACAGTTACTGATGCTACTACCACCGATGATGCAACAACAGTGACTGATGCTACTACCACAGATGCTACTACCACAGTGACTGATGCTACTACCACTGATGATGCAACAAAAGTGACTGATACTACTTCCACTGATGTAACTACCTCAGTGACTGATGCTACAACCACTGATGTTACTACCACAGTGATTGATGCTGCTACCATTGATGTAACTACCACAGTGACTGATGCTTCTACCACTGAAGCTACTACCACAGTGACTGATGCTACAACCACTGATAGTACTACCAAAGTGACTGATGCTACTACCACAGTGACTGATGCTACTACCACTGATGCAACAACAACAGTAACTGATGTTACTACTACAGTGAATGATGCTACTACCTCTGAAGCTACTACCACAGTGACTGATGCTTCCACCACTGATGTTACTACCAAAGTGACTGATGCTACGACCACAATGACTGATGCTACTACCACTGATGCTACTACCACAGTGACTGATGCTACAACAACTGATGCTACAACAGTGACTGATGCTACTACCACTGATGCTACAACAGCAGAGACTAAAGCTGTGACCATTGATCTTACAACAACAGTGACTGATGCTACTACAACTGATGTTACTACCACAGTGACTGATACTACATCCACTGATGTTGCTACCACAGTGACTGATGCTATTACCACTGATGATGCAACAACAGTGACTGATGCTACTACCACTGATGTTACTACCACAGTGACTGATGCTACAACCACTGATGTTACTACCACAGTGACTGATGCTACAACCACTGATGCTACAACAGTGACTGATGCTACTACCACTGAAGCTACTACCACAGTGACTTATGCCACTACCACTGATGTTACTACCACAGTGACTGATGCTACAACCACTGATGTTACTACCACAGTGACTGATGCTACAACCACTGATGCTACAACAGTGACTGATGCTACTACCACTGATGCTACAACAGCAGTGACTGAAGCTGTGACCACTGATCTTACAACAACAGTGACTGATGCTACTACCACTGATGTTACTACCACAGTGACTGATGCTACAGCCACTGATGTTACTACCACAGTGACTGATGCTACTACCACTGATGATGCAACAACAGTGACTGATGCTACTACAACTAATGCTACTACCACAGTGACTGGTGCTACTACCTATGAAGCTACTACCAAAGTGACTGATGCTACTACCACAGTGACTGATGATACTACCACTGATGCTACAACAGTGAGTGATTCTATAACCACTGATGCTACAACAGTGACTGATGCTACTACCACTGATGCTACAACAGCAGTGACTGATGCTGCGACCACTGATCTTACAACAACAGTGACTGATGCTACTACCACTGATGTTACTACCACAGTGACTGATGCTACAACCACTGATGTTACTACCACAGTGACTGATCCTACTACCACTAATGATGCAACAACAGTGACTGATGCTACAACCACTGAAGCTACTACCACAGTGACTGATTCTACTACCAGTGATCCTGCTACCACAGTGGCGGATGCTACTACCACTGATGTTACTTCCACAGTGACTGATGCTACTACCACTGATGATGCAACAACAGTGACTGATGCTACTACCAGTGATGTTACTGCCACAGTGACTGATGCTACTACCACTGATGCTGCAACAACAGTGACTGATGCTACTTCCACTGATGTTACTACCACAGTGACTGATGCTACTACCACTGAAGCTACTACCACACTGACTGATGCTACAACAACAGTGACAGATGCTACTACCACTGAAACTACTACCACAGTGCCTGATGCTACTACCACTGAAGCTACTACCACACTGACTGATGCTACTACCACTGATGCTACAACAACAGTGACAGATGCTACTACCACTGAAACTACTACCACAGTGCCTGATGCTACTACCACTGATGTTACAACAACAGTGACTGATGCTACTTCCACTGATGCTACAAAGGCAGTGAGTGATGCTTCTACCACTGATGCTACAACAGCAGTGAGTGATGCTACTTCCACTGATGTTACTGCCAAAGTGACTGATGCTACTACCACTGATGCTACTAATACAGTGACTGATGCTACTACCACCGATCGTACAACAACAGTGGCTGACGCTACTACCACAGTGACTGATGCTACAACCACTGATGCTACTATACCTGATGTTACTACCACATTAACCGATGCTACTACCACTGATGCTACAACAGCAGTGATTGATGCTACTACCACTGATGTTACTATCACAGTAACCGATGCTACTACCACTGATGCTACAACAATAGTGACTGATGCCACAACAACAGTGACTGATGCTACTACCACTGATGTTACTACCACAGTAACTGATACTACTGCCACTGATGCTACAACAACAGTGACAGATGCTACAACAACAGTGACTGATACTACTACCACTGATGTTACTACCACAGTAACTGATACTACTGCCACTGATGCTACAACAACAGTGACAGATGCTACAACAACAGTGACTAATGCTACTACCACTGATGCAACAACAACACTAACTGATGCAATTTACACTGATGGTAGAACAACGAGCATAGTTGCTAATACTACAATCCCGAGTGCCACTGTGTCTAATAAAACAATTAATGAAACAACAACTGATTCAGCTTCAACAGTGGCTTCAACTAATACTACTGCCATGGTACCTGATGTACCTAATATTGGTATTACAGATGAATTCGCTGGTGTAGTTTTAACTAGTGCTGTTGCGGCTGGTGGTGGCATTTTTATCTTCGCATTTTTATGTTGTGGTGTTTGCATATTTTTTGTCAGAAAAAGACGAAAACATGAAAATGAGGAAGTTTTGATATATGAAAATTTTTATCATGGTTTTCACGAGAGTAGTGGATTTTCTGAGTCGGAGAGTACCGGAGAATCACAGAGCACCTCTGTGGAATTTGATCAAGATTTTTATCCTAGTCCCAGTGGCCCATTTGCTGTTCACGTCCCTTCTTCAGTGGATTTGCCATATTCTCAGCCTCTACCGCTCAATACTGCTTCCCCTTGGGAAAATGAAAGTACTACTTTGGATTATATCATAGAGCGCTAGGATTATAAACAATAGAATCTAAGGCTGATTACACATATATTTAAATAGTCCAAGGAGATATGAACATTACATTGATCATTAGATTGACAATTGTTCATAATTACAATACTGCTTCTGCAGTAGGAAACTACATCGGATTATCAAGGATTTTACTATGAGAACATGTCTGCTGTCAAATATTTCATTAATGGATCATGAGAGACCGATGTGCAATATTGATACTGATTTAATAGTGTCAGGGCTGGGGGGAGTATACAAGCATGTAGGTATACAAGTATTCATTTGTGATGTGAGTTCTATATAAGAGCTTGATGCATGACTAGAGACTGTGTTAGTTTATAATGAGATAACACTTTTTTCACTTCCTCACTGAAAGAGTCTACCTTTAAGGATGTTCCCTGGTCAGATAGGAAAATATTCAATAGTATTTAACTTTTTCTCAAAAATGGTTTTCTGGGATTCTCACGGGCAACAAAGAATATTAAAACTTTAAAAACCATATGTTAGTGTGCTTTTTTCTGAGCAAGAGGCCTCTAAAGTGTCAATATTTGACAAAAGTGGGCGTGGCACTTTCTCATTGAAACCCATGTTAAAAATCAGGTTTTCACCCCAAAACACACTTTTGAATATTTAACTTTTTCTTAAACTCACAGAAACACTTAGTTATGCTATGTACTTCACATTTTGAAAAGAAAAATTAGGGGTTGGTGTTCATCGTTTTCAACTTCGTCCAGGGAACATCCTTAACCTATTAGATATTAAATTGCTTTTTTAAATCCCACTCCACAGTGCTACTTTAAACTCTGTATTGCACTGAACTCATACTCAGGTTACACAATGACTTTAAAAATCGTATGCCTTTATTTTCATGGTGATATAAATATAACCATGAAAATGCCAAAAGAATCAAAAAGAGGACTCTAAACCATTGATATATCTAGAAGGTTAAAGCCTTGATGATATCTAATTTTTATGATATCTATTTCTAGGGAGGGGGTGAAAAAATTGTCTTTGTGGTACATACCGTGTTCAATGACTTGTTTATGAGTTGTTTCTACCAAAAACATTACATGAAGACATGGGTTACCTTTTATTTTCGTTTTCGTATTAAGGTGCCCCATGAGTTGAAACATGATATAATCACGGTGATAATGGTACAATAGTATAAAAAACATAAAGCATAATGGATGATGATTGTAAACATATGCAACAAGCAATTTTATGTTGTGAATATCAAAAAGTCCTAAATACAACCTGAGACTAACATAAAAAATGACAGTATAATACAATGGAGAGAAACCAAAATGTATTTATTGAAAAGAAAAAAGGTTGTGAAAATCGGAACTCATTTAACAAAATATTAATCACATGGTTAAAACAAAGTGAACATCATACTTCAGATATTTTATAAAACAATTTTGATTTCTGGAAAAATTTATGGTTCATTTATGTGAGAGGTATAGTTAGAAATAATATACATATGATGAAATTGCCCAAAGGTAGGAAAATGGTCAAACACTGCTACAGTATTATGTGTGTAATATTTAGCCTTAAATTAGACATGGAGAGGTTTATACAAATGGATGATATTCCATAATAAAGCAGGCCCGTAGCCAGGATTTGGCAAGGGGGGGGGTTCAGTTTTCAAAAATATCCAGGTGGGGTTCACATTTGACAATTTTGGCCCAAATATGGCTAAAATCACTTGAGAAGTGCTCAAAATGGTGAAAAACTGCATGATTTTGAAAGAATTTTTTGGCCAGGGGGGGGGGGGTTGCCCAAACCCTGCGAACCCCCCCCCCCCTGACTACGGGCCTGTAAGTGTAACTATGCAAATTGTGTCTACCTCAAACAGTGCAATATGTAGTTTGAGATGATACCTTTAAATTACTTTGCAATGCTAAAATGGTTCCAATACATTATTTTGTAATTGTTAATAGTCATTAAATGAATGCATGGTGAGGATGTTAAAGACAATCAAAATGTTGTATGAACGTTTGATGATTCAAATGCTGCGCATTAATGTTGGAAAAGAAAAACTTATGAAAAACCATATAACATAGGCTTATTGTAAATTCTAAGCTAATTGTAAATTCTTTTTATACAAATGTACATGTATATATGTACATACCAGCTTTAAAAAGCTCATTGTAAATTGCTGTAAATAAGTTGATTTTAATAAAGCAAACATAATAAAAAAACATCTGTCACATTTGTCATTCCCTAACAGACCCATAGCTAGGGGGGGGGGGCATTCTGAGTCGATGAGTCGATAGAGACATACTTATTTGAAATACAAGGTTCCTGGAGCTAGATCATTCTCTTATATGAGGGTCATGGAAGCTAAACATGAAATACAGGGTGACCGGAAAAAAAGGAGACCATTGAAATAGGCAATATCTCCTAAAATAGACTAGTGACATCAATGAAATTTTGCATACATCAGGACAGTTCTATGGAAATTTGTTCCTGAAAGTGTCAATACAAGCAGTCAACTGGTTCAGGAGCTATGATCATTTACATAACATGCTCCAAATAGGCGCAATTGAGACCAACGCAGAGCTGGATACATTTGGCAAATACCCTTACATATTCCGACCTTGTTATGGCATTACATTTAGCATTTATTGCCACCTTTAGGTCAGCAATTGTCTCAGGATTGTTTTGGTACACATTGTCTTTCAAATTGCCCACCAAAAAGAAATCAGGTGGATTCAAATTTGAGGTGTATGGAGACGAAGCTTATCTGACCTATGGCTTCTGACTCAGTGGTCCCACTCAGTTACAGTATCATCCTAAGGAGGTTTTGGGCAGCCCTTGGTTTCCATATGGGATTTAATTGTGCCATATAGTGGTTTTAGTAACATGGCACTATGCCCAATACCTAAAGTGACTCTTAAGATTGGGTAAATCAGCACTTTGGCAACAGGATGATGAACCACATGTCAGATAACCCTTCATTGCCATTACAGCCTAGACTTGAATCCTGCTGATTTCTTTTTGTATGGATATTTGAAAGACAATCTATACCAAAACAATCCTCAGACTATTGTTGACCTAAAGAAGGCAATCACTGCTATATGTAATGCCATAATAATGCCATAGAGGGCAGAACATGTAAGGGTAGTTTGCCATATGAATCCAACTCTGCGTTGGTCTCAATTGTGCCTATTTGGAGCATGTTATGTAAATGATCATAGCTCCTGAACCAGTTGAATGCTTGTATTGAAACCTTCAGTAACAAATTTCCATATAACTGTTCCAGTGTATGCAAAATTTCATTGATGGCACTTGTCTAGATTAGGAGAAATTGATTACTTCAATGGTCTCCTTTTTTTCCGGTCACCCTGTATATAGGCTGTCTGAAAGCTCTATATACAGATATAATTGCTTTTGTCCCTACCCTTTGGCTTCGTTTGACTTTGCTTCATTAAAGAGAGCTTCTACTTTATGACTAGACTCTGCGTGTAGGGTATTTTGTCCCATATAATTCAGCCTACAAGGATCATTGGCTACAATCTCAAATTGCCTTACGTGTAATTTTCCCTTGGTATAGAACCAGAAGGTTCCCGCAACAAGATCATTCTTTAAAGCTCGTGGAAGGTCAACATGAAATATATAGGTCATCTGGAAGCTCTATATTTATTTGCTTTCGTCTCTTATAGTTCAACCATATGAGGATATTTGACTACACCCTGAAATTCTGAGCCAATATTCTAAATATGACTCGGGAATATACAATTGTTGAATACATAGATCTCAGAAATAATAATCATAATTAAATGTATAATATATTGTCGCTTTATTCTCAATATAGTTTTAGTACAGATATTAAACTACATTACATGTTATCATAAGTTCTGACTAGATAGAACATTACCTGGTTTTATGAGAATAATATACAGAATAATTTACAGAAATAAAAATAACAATCACACCTGTTACACCCCAGAGTTGAATTTTCATTATGAAGCATTTTGACAAAAAGTTTTGGAAATGAAGGATTTTGTGCTTGTTATGTGTAAGACCTCAAAAATCCTTTGCTACAAAGCTGTTCTGTTAAAATGCTTTAGAATGAAGGATTTTGTGAATGTATAACACTTAAAAATCCTTTTCTGCAAAGCAACTAAACCGGCTGTGCAGCTCTTAACCAATATTGGTACTGAATTCCTCATAACAAGACTTTCCAAAGAAATATTACAATAAATGAAAACATTATCTAGTTATATCAACATCTATATACAGCAACAGTGTTGGGGTTGAAATCTGAAACAAATATTCAAATAACAGTGCATACTAAAAGCATACATAAAAAAGGCACAAATTATTTGTTTAACGGAACACACATTCTGATTTCTTCTATTCATATTTCTACATGCACACAAAAATGGTTTCTCATATTCAGGGACAAATTGGCATCAATACATATCTAATAGATATAAAATAAATTGGCATCAATACATACCTTATACATATAAAAATATGAGTACATCTAAATTAACTATATACAGTCGACCCCATTTATTGGTAAGTTAGGCTACACATTTTATGGGAACTCATACATGGATGTCTGCATGTAGAATTATGGTCTTCTACTATAGGGATTAGTTTTCCTCTTTGCAGTATATTTATTTGTATGGCTGAGTATAATAAAGGCAGTGATCTCCCCAGCATTAAAGCAAGTGGGTGCAGCACCCACCTGAGATGTTGAAAATAGGCTTGCATCCACCTGAAAATCCATTTGCACCCACCTGAAAATCCATTTACACCCACTTGAAAATGAGAAAAATCATGAAAAATTGGCATATTTTGACCAATTTTGGTCTGAATTGTGAAAATGAGAATTTTGCACCCGCCTGAGAAAAAATCCTGGGGAGATCACTGTAAAGGAATATGGAAAATAGTTTTAATTAGCTCCAATTAATTAATTAGAGGGTGAGAGGGGGACAATAATTCCTGGGGGTCCCAAGAATGATTTCTCTAAAAATGTGTAGCCTAACCTGCCTATTAAATCATAGAATCAGCACATCTGTTTTAAACATTTTAATATGTACAATTAATTGAAAATATTCTGAATAAAATTAATTTATATTGAAACCATACAGTATTTATATAAAACATGTACAACGGTAAAGTCATAAAAAAGTTGTGGACGGTGCAAAGTGTAGATTATATAAGTGTTCATAAAAGAAACACAATAGTTTTATAAAAAATTTTGGAATGCAATGAAAGGACGGTTTTTTAAAAGTTGATTGAGTCAATAGTTATACATGTACTACTGTGTGATACATGTACACCTACTAGTGTGATACATGTGTGATACATGCACTAAAACGTCACAATAAGATACAAAATACATGCACAATCATGATGAAATGATACCATATATCCGTAGCTCATTAACTAGTTAATATTAATTGATTTTGTCTTAATGTTCTGAAAATTCAATTTCTTTTATACAGATAAGAAAACATGATTTTGTTAATCGATATATGAATGGGTCATTAAAGAGAATATCGCATGATATTACTTGATATTAAGAAATAAGAACAATTGCAAAAAAGCAAAGTTGTTTTGAAAACAAGTCTATCAGACCCCGATTTCACATCCTGCAGTACACCTCCCTTCACTTTTGATATTTTATGACTTTCTTCATGATTCATTAGCTGCTGAATCAATATTTAAAGTATCACATGAATAAAATGAAAGTAAAAAACCTACGTCACAATTGAGTCATATCAATTAACATCACATGACTCAAATAGAGGTCACATGATCATTATAATGGTCATACATAACGGTCACGTGAACATACCTGAGTAAATATACACTGTACATACATCTAAATAATAACACAATTCTTAATAATCTCAACCATCACTAACTAAACTTGCTGCCTTTAATGTTTCTGGTGTTCATTTGAATGACATTGAGACGTGTAAAACACTCATGTCTGGTTAATCACATTTATATGTACAAGTAGACATCGATATACAACAGAAATTTATATACAGATTCAATTGCAGGTATTTATATACAGGAGATACAATGGGCTCATTTCTTTAATTGAAGCTGAAATGAATTTCTACAGTAATTGTCAGCAATCCTATTGCTCTTTATGTCTTGTTCGTGAACAATATCTAAAGCGTTATGTATACTGGTATAACAGAAACAGTTTCATTCCCACCCAGTAGATTCCACAGGTTTTAACACAGACCACAGCTTTTGGATCTAAGTTTTTGGGGCATCAATTCAACATCCATTTTCTTTAATGACCCTAGGTGCATGAATTCACCCATTGGCATTTGTCCATATATCTGAGATTTCTGAAAGTCTATGTGTATAGTATGGAAAGGAGTTTAGTCCCGAGGAAATAATTCTCTACAGATCTCGCCATCTCCTTTCTTCTTATCCAACCATTGTTCACAGGGGAATGTTGTGGTTTTGTTAGTTGCCATGTTGATGACCTCTACTCTGTCGAGGAACCAGCCAGCCCCCCAACCTTTGTCATCATGTTCAATCTTCAGTTTCGTCAGCTCACCTATTAAAGACCAAGAATGTTAAAGCACTTCATTCTATCTAGCAAAGCACATGTATAAGCGAAACACCTCCCAAGTGGAACACCTTTCAGAGGTTCATTCAACATTAAGTCAGTTGGTCATGGGACTTTTAAAATGTTCCACAAACAGAGGTGTTCAACTTTACAGGTTTCACTGTATATCAAAATGTGTGTGTTTTTGCAAAATGTACATGATTTTTCAAACTAATTTGTGTGTCACTGAATATGGGAGCATATATATTTCTTTTCACACTGGAGAACATTAAGTTTTCAATATAAAAATCATCAAACTCTGAAATTTCATGAAATATAGACTTTCGGCAACCAAAATATTTGCATTACCGTAATATAGAACAACCTATTACTTACCTAAATCAAGACATTCTAACGTAAACTTGTCTGTTTGATTCCGCTCAAATAAATCTCTAAACCTCTGTGTCAAAGGTCGTTTGCCGGTGTCTCCATTTGTTCCAAATATGGTCAAGTGGACGTTAGCGTCGGTTCCAGCGCCCTTTATATCTCCAGTTATGACAATTACTTCATATTTAATCGGCGCCAAACCTGTAACAAAAAATAAACTAATTTAAAAAAATATATAAAAAATCTATAGAATGTGAATGTAATTAAATATACAGTATATAATAGAAAAGAGCAGTTTATACTAGCTTCACACATTTTCACAATTAGTAAGTAAGAAAATCTGTGTTAATCTATCCACTATTTCCACATACTAGATATTGGATTATGTGATAAATTATGTTTTATAATTTACAAGAGCTGACTAGGGAATACACCAACACCTTGAATAGGTGGGATTGAAACATAACTACTATCATCCTTGGAGGAAACAATACATATAAATGTTCAAGAGGAAAACCCTTGCATCAGGAAGCATGTAAGAATATTTATGTTTCACTTAAGATATGCAGAATTGAATGCAGTCTTGCTCCAAGACCCTGGGCTATCTACCCTAACAACTGTCATTTCGTTTAAATAGGAGTTGGGTACGGAGTCTTGAAGTAAGGCTAAATTGAATGAAATGATATATGATGTTTAGAGATGGTCGAATATATTCTTTAATACTGGCCATGGGCAAACAGTTACTTCACTTTGCCTACATTAAAGGTTTGAGTGACTCTAACTTTGAATTGATCATGTAACTCCCCAAATTCTAGACCCCCATCCCCAAATCTTATAATGAATGATATTGTAACACGATTCCTGAGTGCAGATAGCAGAATTTGAATGAGTAATAACTACAAGAACAGAAACAAGAAACAATTCTGTTTAGATCAATATAATTTCAAAAATGACAAACAAAAAGAAGGCAGAAAGCAAGATCAAAAGAAGAAATAAATAAGAGTAGTCCAAAGTTAAATTAATTGATTAATCTATTATTCAACATACTGTATGTCCCAATAACCTGATTAAATCATTTCTTAACATGCATTTTAATATGTTAAATGTTTTAGCCCTCTAATTATAAAAGACCACACAATATGCATCCATTAACAAAAAGAATACACTAAATATCCAAAGATATTGTCACTGCATGCAATGTGCTGCGGAAATCAAAATGTTAATCCAAGAAAAAATTCTGATTCAAATTAGTCTTGATGCTGTTCGTGTTGTTAAAAAACTTGCCAATAATTCAATAACTCAAATAAATAGATCAGGTGACCATGCTACATGCCAAGAATTATGGGATTAATGTCCCTCTTGTAACTAGTATTGTTAGTGAATTAGAAAGATATTGAGAAGACAAGATGCTACAACAACCACCATGCTTAGTTACCTCCTGGAAGAGAAAGATAAGACAGAAATTAGTCAAATTAGTGGTTTTAGTATTAATTTGAAATACCATTTAGTATTTAAATGATTTAGTAAAAAATGATATAGTCACATCACAATCTTTAAAAATATGGCTATGTCTAACTATATTCTTTACATATACAGAAACTTGCATGTACAAGTATATTACAGACTTTGGACCATTAGAAACCTATGCCATTTTCTCTACAATTTATATATGAAGTTTGGATAGGGAATTCAGGGTAAGACATTCAAATGGCTGGTAAAGGTAAAACATGGTCACATGGTCAAGCAGCTAAACCACATTCAATAAAAATTGACATAAAAGGGGACACTTGAAAAAAAATGTGATTCATCAAACCCATAATGATAGCATGTATGTATGGAGAAAGGTCTTAACAGCCATCACATTACATACATGTGGCATATTACCCAAAAAATGGACGGTGGTATAACATCACTACTAAGTGCCCAGGGGGTTCACTCCAAATAGTTTGGGTAGGTATGTGCAGCACAGCCAATTTTGGCTTTGGGCATACACCATGGAAACTGGTAAATCTGAGACGAAAAGAAAATTGTCAAAGAAAGTACCATTTTAGGTTAAAATTCAATTTTTCTACAAAAATGGCTTTAAATTGGTTAAATCAGTTGCCGGGGCCTGGGACAAATCACTGGAAAAGTGGATTTTCAGTCAATTTAACAATATTTTGGTAGTCCAAGCAAACTCCAGAGGAATTTGACATGGACATATCTATGAAGTTGAGAGAAATACAATTGTCTTTTAAAAGTCTGAGAGAAATTAAACATGGAAACCTTCAATCCTGAGAGCAAATTGACTCGGAAAAATGCTCAAAAAGAGGGTCTTTTTTGGCGCAGCACGTAGCAATTAAGAGCTATATAAGAGTGAAACCCCCAGGACTGTGACAACAAAACAATAGGAGTGTGATCTTAAAAAATGTTTCATCAATTACATAAAGTATACTGTTATCTTAAAGAAGTGCAAATCTCTCTTTATAGGAATACAACAGTCATGCTGTACTCATCAAAATCTTACTCTACCTAATTACCATTCTTTATAATATGATTGTCCTTAACTACAAGGTTGGTGTGCCCATAAATCATGATGCTTGTTAACAATGGTACATATCACCTACCCAATGCTGTATATACAGTCCAATAAATAAAATGTGCTGTATTAAAATCTCAGTTTACCATCCGCATCATCAAAAAGGCTCATCAAGCTTTTTTCTAAAATTTCCAGTTGAAAGTGTGATAAATTATGCTTAATATTGGACATAAAATTAAAATAAGAAATCTTTGAAAATTGTGACATAAAAAGTGCTGCTAAATATACAAAAACTAAAATGTGATTAAGATCAAATGAAATAAGTTTAAAACAAATACATGTACATGCTATCTAAAAAAGCTGTGCCGACGCTTCAAACAATTGTTACATAACTTCTATTGACAAGCCTAAACCAATTTTATTCCATTTCTCATTTGAACGAAACATCCAATGATGAAATATTCATCTCGTATTTCTAATACAAATTCTGGTGTCAACTACATACTTCTCTCAATATAAATTCCTCCTTTTCATTTTGCTTTGGACCAGCATGAGATTTTATGGTTTATACATGATACCAGATTATAGATGATATGCTTACTTCTTATAGTGTTCAGCTTTCCTTGTTCAACATCTTTGACCTCAAGACTCTTGGCATCGTCTTCATCCATCTCAGGCATGATAGAAATCCAGTCTTTGCAGGGAAACACATACCTATAGAAATATAAATTTAATTAATAAATTTAAGCCTAGAGACGGGATGTGAAATGACACAATAATGGATTGAAGAGTGAGCTCAATCCACATTTTAGCCTAAGAAACTGTGAAAGGTTCAAGTCGTCGGTATAGGGTGGAGTGACTTCTTCACATTCCGATATACCATTAATAACTGTTTCCAATATACCTTCATTGACAAAAGTTCAATTCTGTGTCTTGCTGAATTAAGTTTTCAATTCAGGTATTCTGCAAACAAATTGGCTAACTTAAATTTTCACAATTCATTTTTATTATGGTTTATATCTGAATTCTTACTTGTCTCCACATGATGTATCCGTCACTGTGACCTCATGACAGTGCCACATTGCCTCTTTTCCAGATACATCGCCTAGTGATTTGTCATCACGCTCAACAGCTCCCAGAATGCACCTTTGTAGCTTCCCAAGATTCTTGCTGGAGAATTTGAAGGAATCTGTTTGACCCCTGAAAAAAATAAACAAAATAGTGAAAAATGGAATAATTATAAGTAATGGTAAATTAAGAAATAATAAGAATATTTGAATATGTCATTTGCCATTTTTCAATTTTAATTTAAATTCAATGTGACTGAAGGATTATGTTTACTCAATGTTCTGAGTATAACAAGCCATTGAACCTAAAAAGCCACTTCTCTGCAAATAAAATTTAAATTTTTGTTCTCTTTACATGTTTATATCTCCTTTTATCCCTTTATCATGTACATTTGTAAAAATGAAAAAACTAAATAAAGTTTCCACTTACTTTCTCAGTATTTTCTTCTTTGCGCTGTTCTCCATGACAAATTCCTTTGAGGTTTTCTTCTTGCCCTCAAGCTTGCCTTCCAGCTGGAGCCAGCCATTGTGAACCATCCCTGCATTTGCCTTATCACTGGTGGTCACTTCTATCTCATAAGCTAATGAACAAATCATAAGTTTTTTTTAGTTTTTTATTTATTTATCTTTTTTTTATATGTACTAGAACTTAAAAGTATGACTGTTGCAAATGTCTGAATGAATGGAGGTGGTGTAAAAAAAATTAAAATAAACAAATCATGATTAGATTGCTTATTCAGTTTTCTTCTTACATTATTATCCATTGCGATATTATTTTTTCTTAGGTTGTTCATGATATCTACATGTAGAATTTCCAAATGTTGTGAATGAAATGATTTGAAAAAATAATGAGTTTTAAAACATCCCTTTTAATTATGTTATATACAAAAAGTACACAAATTCAACAAATAAAATAGTAAAATAGTGGCAGTATTGGATATATATATTGTAAATTGGTACTGCTAATAATAGTATTGGAAATGAATATTGTGCATTAAAGAAAATCTTCAAGTTACATGATACATGAATAATTGCTATAAACCACATGATGAGCCTACAATGATAATCCAAGGATAAACTTACAAATCTTATCTTTCGGGCTTGGAGCTGATAAATTAGCGCAGGTCAATTCCCTGATAATCTGTTTATCATCCTCACTCTTGGAGAGCCATCTATTGCAGGGGAACATAAACTTCTTCTTTCCACTAACATCTTCTACCTCAACGTGGGCAAGATGCCAGGCAGCACCGAATCCTGGAAATATAATTAAGATAGTAGCCCAGAGGTGAAACTAGCAGTATACAGTGAAACCTGTACAGTGGAACATCTCTAGTAGAAGTGGACCACCTCTGTTATTGGAATCCTTATCAGAATCCCAAGACCAGCTGACTTAATGTTAAATGAACCTATATAAGTGGAACACCTCCCAAGCAGAACACATTTTAGAGGTACCAATGGTGTTCCTCTTAGACGGGTTTTACTGTAGTTGACTAAGCCTTAACAATGGAAAATTCGCTCTACTTCTGCTCTTTTCTTTATTCACTTGACACCAGAAATGATGTCAGCTGTACTTTTATTATGACACCAGAAATAATGTCACTATCAATAGCCCAAGTATTACAAATATTGAAAACACAACATGTGGATGATTTCAACACGTTTTAAAGTAATGCTTTGGGGCAAATACCTGTATTCACATTTACGTAAGTTTAGAGAGCAAACAATGGGCTTAAATCACTCCAGTATGTCCCCCATTATCTCAAACATACCTTTGTTGTCATGCCAAATTCGAACTTTGCACAGTTCACCGAGCGACAACATGTCAGGAAAAGTGAAGACATCAACCTGTTGATTCTCAAATGGATCTTTGAAAGTCTCTGATGATTTAAGGTGAAGTTCGCCGGAGTCTCCATTCTCACCAAATAGTATACAGTAGACATTTGCGTCAGTGCCCGCACCTCTGACATCACTGGTCTTTACATTCACTTTGTACGACGTTGCTACACAAAAGATAAATATTGATAAAATATACATTCATGTTTTGTAAGAGACAAAACAATTAATCATTGGTATATGTTATGTTAAAACATTTTAGTACATGTAATTAATGTGTTTTGCTCAGAAAGATGTTTTTATTCACTGATGAGGTGTGTGACTTTTGGACAATATCTTTCACCTTATTTATTGGATAATAATGTACAACTCAAACAGGTATGTTTAGTCACAGATAGATGTACTAAATTTCCTTTTAAAAACAACACAGTTTCTACCAAGTGAAAAACTTACTTTTGACTTGTTTCTTTCCCCTGACCAATGCTGGTAGATCCTTGACTAGTTTATTGTCTCCTTTGGTCTTGCTCAGCCAACAGCCAGCTTTGAACACAGTCAGATCACCAGTATCCATGTTCCGTAACTCAACCTTATCCAGGTACCAGTCAGGACGTGTTCCCTTCCCATCATGCCCTACACGCAGCTTCTTGAGGGGTGCAATGTCATCAAGCTCAAGCTGTAAAGGAAGTTAAACATTTTTTCAAATAACAGTACATGTATAGGGAACACCTAAAATCGTGTTTTCGATGTTTTAAAATTCATGATTGATTAAAATGTAATTATATCTCTTTTTTAATACAATATGTCAAATCTTATTCTGTTTTACTTGCATTTGAATCATGAATTTATAAAGCATGTTTACATTGTTTAGATATGCTCAAAATTGTTCTACCTTTATAAGATCTGCCTTTGCTCTTTCAAATCTTTCAGATTTCTTCTCTAGCATGATATCATCTGTGTTGCCATTGGCTCCAAACACCTTGATAAATATCTGAGCATCAGTCCCAGCACCAGATTCGTCCCCTGTGTGAACTGTCACTTCGTATGGCACCACTGCAATATTCAAGAGCATAATCAGACCCTGTGAGGGGAATTACAGAGTGGGCTCATTACTGAGATGAGGTGTATCTAAAGGACATTTTCATTTATTAAATGGGAATTTAAAGTATAATTTTGCCCAGATAAAATCTATTCAAAGAGGTTGGTAAATGTCAAAACCATTCTTGATTTCCTCAAGTTACATATTTTCTTCCGCTGATATTATCTTCCTATTGTTACATATTATCTTCCCATGGCTACATACGTTTTGAAAGCTGAATAGCTGAATCTTGGAAGATAAAGATGAACAAAGTTCAAACTATCTGGTACAAAATGTTTTACTAGATATTAAACTATACACAATGGGTGAAAGTCATGCGTGCAACCACTGTTTTTCATTGAATTGTGAACATGCATTTGAAATAGAGTTCTTACACTTTATGCCATATAGACCCCTAAGATCTGATGAAAGGCTGTTGGGTGATCACATTTAAGGTAATAATCATACATACATACATATTACCAAGAGTATTCATCAATACAAATATGGTGAACCTTAGACATGCCTACCATCATTTAGAACTTTCATGCAGACATTGCATCACTTTAAAGTCTTACAAGAATCATGCGAACATTGCACCATTCATAACTGTCATGTGAACATTGCACCATTTATAACTGTCATGCAAGCATTCCAACATAGAACATGCAAATATATCCATGCAATTTATTTTAATATACCAAGATAATTCTGATAAATTATCTTTAAGGTAGTCTTCTAACTTTGGAAGATAATTATAGGTCATTCCATTGTGTCTACCTTAAAACTGGACAATGTACTGTAAATTACTTTAATTTGGCGCTATTTAATTTGGCAGATTGGACAAATTTTGAAATTTTGGCTGCGATCTGATTTGGTGGATTCACTATCGATCAATAATTGGATAATCGCTTCAAAGCTCGCAACCTTAACCAGTTAACACAATTTTATCTCTCCTGGTATCAGGTTGTTTTGTACAAACCATCAGGCTCTGTAGATCTTTGAAGATAGTTTAGAATTGACATTTTATTCATGTTTTTTCCCGATTTCACAAAATTTTTATACTGCAAGGAAACACTTGGAAAAGGCACACAAAAAATCCCTTGAAATTCTTTTCAAAAAGTTGGCGGAGTCTTATTTATTTGTCTTTTTGGTTTATGTGGGTTTCTTGGGGAGTAGTTTTTATTGTTACACATTTTTTGTTTATTTTTTCTAATTAGCTAAAAATAGAATAATACATCTGATCAATACCATTGTGATTACTTTGGTTGCTTACCTTCATGTACCACTAACAATAACTATTTTCCATTTCTTGATCTCACCTTAGTTGGGGGATAATTCATGGGTGGTAAATGGGGGAGGGATGGCGGGCGAGATTCACTCAGATAACAACCTGCTTTCTCCTTGTATCAAGAAATGAATGGAAAATGACGTTCTTCTGCGCATGTGCGTTGACCTACATTCAACTCTACTTCCTAGTAACCGATTTGTTTACATCAAATTCTGACAATCGTAACAACAATTTACTACTCCCATAAAACACACATAAAACCAATTAATTTTCAATTAATTGATATTTGAGTTTTTCTCAATCTGCCTCATTAAAATGGCTGTCAAATTAAAGCAATTTACAGTAATTGTTTCATTTATCCATCTTTATTTATGCATTCTTTCTAAAATGAATATCTCACTTCCTGAATCTCCACATTCTCATTTGAACACCTAACCACCTTAACATTCAATTAGTTAATTGATACACTTACTTCTTGGTCCTGTAGGTAGGGAATAGCAATACGCAAATGTACAGATATATAAGGATCCTAAACATTAAAAGTAAAACACTCTATTGTATGAACTAGCAATGGGAAGTGCACACACGGAGGACCATAGGCCAGGGAACATGTACAAAAAATCGAGTCGAATACACCAAGTATTTTTCTTTACTTGGTGTATTCGACTCAATTTCTTTATATATGTTCCCAGGCCTATGCAGAGGATGGCTAAACACATACACATAGCAATATAACAAGGTTACTATAATTGGACTATAGGGTCAACAATTTGTATTACTAGTGTCCACAACAAACTTACTTGGTTTATAAGAGGTAGTTGTCCCATCTCCATCTTGTACATTAATAGTCCTAGATGTTCTTCCATCACCCTTGTCTCTTGCTAACCATTGCTTACAGGGTAGGAAATAATGTTTGCCCTTGGTTGGCATGTCGATATCTACCTCCTTTATGAACCAACCTGTACCTGGGATTACCCCATCATGGCCAATCTGAAACATGCAAGTAGTCCATTAGTCTTGCTTCAAGACTATTGATCTCCCCTTATCTACCTCACCAACACAAATGAGGGCTTTTAGCTTGACTAGAAGTCCATGTAAAGCAACACAAATTCTTGTGCTTAATAAATACATTACAGTGAAATATGTCTAATCCAAACACATCTTAATGTGAACACTTTTTCTCTGTCCCAAAGTTTCTCCCATTGACTCACATGTTTATACAACCTTGATATGTGAACACCTGCTTATACAAACACTTTTGGCCAGTTCCAGAGGCATTTGGATTGGACAGGTTTTACTGTATTTCCATCTTGAAAATATGAATGGAGTTTCTGTCATTTTTGCACAATTTGGAGTTAAGACTTCACGCAACAGCCTAGTTCAGTCTGTCATTTGAAACATAGGCATGATGGCATTTCCCCTTACCTCAATAGATTTGATCTCGTCCACATCCACAGCCTCGAGGGAGAATGTCTCTATAGATGAAGGGAGGAACTTTTCTCTCTGGGCAAGCTCTAGGTATAACTTCCCTGTGGTCAGCTTCTTCTTCTGGCCATAGATCTGTATCCATGCATTAGCGTCGGTCCCATTGTCATCACCTGCCCCAGTGTGGACCCTCACAGTGTATGGGATAGCTATAACACATGGCAATGTTCCTTTTAGATTTTAAGATTTCATAAAGCATTTGATTGGAGCATTCTTAAACGTATAATGACCATTGTCAGAGTGGTAATTTGTTCTCCAACTTTCTAACATGAGTTAAGATTTCTGGATTTTTTTCAATTCATTTCATAATTCATTCTTAGGGTATCTTCAATTAATAATGAAGACAGTGCCTATTAAAGATAAAATGATGCAAATAGTGCAGAAAATGCCTATGATGTAAATATTGCCTATAAGATTAAATAACGCAGACAATTCCTATTAAAGATGAAATACCGCAAATAGTGCCTATTAATAGTATGATATAAATGCAGACAGAAATAATGCAAATGGTGACTAGGCCTAGTAAAGATGAAATATAGACAATGCCTAGTATAGAATAATTCATACTTGGTCCTTCTGGTAGTTCCTCAATGATAGATTGTTTGCGGTTCATTCGTGGACTCTTACTAAATGGTTCACTTCTCATAGAATCAAGACTTGTCATGGATCCTATCTTCAAGTTAGATCTCAAGGTACTTGTACTTGCCATGTCACCCTCGTATCCCTGCAATATTATAAATTAATAAGAATACACATGGCATTTGTGACATTACAAAAATAATCAGCTGGTTTCATTCTATGGTATATGCATATATTCCAGTTGCAGTGAAACCTGTAAAGTGAACACCTCTAGAAGTGGAGCACCTAATAGATGAATTCTTTTCACAGTCTGAGGACCAACTTTCTTAATGATAAGTGAACCTCTATAAGTGGAATACCTCCTAAATGGCATACTTTTTAGATACCAAATGTGTTCCACTTAGACAGGTTTAACTGTACTTTACTGACAATAAACTTTAATTGATGCTGACACAAACCTACTTTTTTGTGTAAACTCACCTTGACATATAAACTGCGTTCTATCTTGCCATCATCCTTGTTCTTCCCAAGCCATCTCTCACAGTGAAACACATAGGTCTCGTTATCATCATTTGAGTCAATAACTTCAACCTTATCCAGGTACCATGCTGGACTCAACATAGAGTTGTCATGGCGAATCTTGACCTTGAACAGCTTACCAAGGTCAACAGCCTCCATGGTAAACTTGTCAACCTTAAAGTAAAGTAATTTTTACAATTTGTTTGAATTTTCAATTTCACTAAGGTTTCTGTTGCTGACAAGTCTCTTGAGATGAATGTACTTATAAGTAACTGTATATTGTTTATTTAAATTTTATCAAAGTACCTGGTTTCGCTCAAATTTGTCACGGTTAGTCTCTGATTTGACAAGTTTTCGCTCTCCGGTGTCACCCTTTTCTCCAAATATGGTTAAGAAGACGTTAGCGTCAGTGCCAGCACCACGAATATCTCCAGTATAGACATTCACATTATATTTCTTGCCTGAAATGGAGTGAATTAGCTTGGGTTTAGAAGAGATCAGAGAAGCATTGAATTAACATTACACAATATTAATTAAAGATTATGAGTGAACTCCACCATTTTCATGTCGTCATCTATTGATTTATATCTTAGACTGATGTGATTACATCTTAAGGTGATATCTAAGAAAAATGCATATCAAAGTTTTGCTTAATGGAAGCTTTTACAGAAGCAAGGATCACCAAATATCTGGTTTCATCAAGGACCCAAGTTTTAAAAGAAAGCATATAACTGAGATTTAGACTATACGTTTTCAAATTCAATTAATATTTATCAATCCATCACTCACTTATCAATGTATCTTTCCTTTCAATTTGTTTCTTTTTTACAGTGCCATCTTTTTTCATAGTTTCTTCCAAAATCTTTCCGGCCACTAATTCCCGCTCAATTGCGCCATCCTCCTCATCCCTGGCCAACCAGCGATCACATGGAAACACGTAAGTCGTAGAACCCTACATGCAAAAAGTATTATTTTGACATACAACTCAAATAAAATAGCAAACTCCAATTTCCCTTTTTAATCATCAGAATCATGTAAAATCTTACACAACAGGGCAAAATACAGATTAGCAGTCATGATATTTCTAAATAATAATATGAAAAACAAGCTGTTTTTAGAATTAGGCCTTCATTTCAAAAATACATGTAGTATATCAAGAGTTATGTGTCGTGTTTTCCATGCTGAACTACATGAATTGTTACCTGTCTGATAAGAGATAACCCCCAACACCATAAATGCAATTATTCAATTTATACACGTACAGTATATTTTTGGCCATTACCAAACCAAAGACATGCCATATCCAGAGTGACAACGCACGAAAACATAAAGCATCAAAGGGTTTATTTGAGCACAGACTTAGGTTAAAATGCAGACATTTTCTTGAACTTCAAGCACCTTAGCTCTGACATGTCAAGGTCAGTATGTGAATTTATTGAGAACGAGAACTATTTGTCCATGTCAAAACTGTTTATTGAACTCAATATTGTTTCAGCAAGACTCAAATGACCCATAGTTTGAAAGCAGTCTGATGTCGGGGGGGGGGAAGGGAGTAATATCAAAGTAACTATTTCTTTTGTGAGTTGGTTGAGATAAGGGGGTTGTTATATGACCAATTGTGCTTTTAATGTTCCTTTTTCTAACCGCATTTCCTTATGTTTTCCCCTTTTGGCCAATGTGCTTAGAATATATTTGGACTTGTACTCCAACATTTCTGATACTCAAGCAAACTTTGTGATGCAACCATCAGTGTTTCATGCTATCTAAACTGTTGCCCATGCTCTGTGGCTTATAAATGTACCATACTAACAAGCAACACGGCATTAACATGTAAAATCTCACCATCTGCCATTTGTTACAGATACCGAATGCTGAACACTAACCACCGAATACCAACTGCCACCACAAAAAGGTTGGAGACAATAACAATATGTCTGCCCTAATGGTGGTGACATAAAAGCTGAGAGACAAATCCAAATTACGCATGTTTAGATGACCAATACCAAGCAAAAGTACAATTAAGTACATGCAAATGATACTTGACTGGTGAAAACACGAAAGCAATTCAAGTATATAATCACAAATTAAAGAATTAAAATACCGTAAGTAATAATAAATAAAAATATCCAAAATAAGAATAAACATATTAAATATGTGTTAGCTTAAATAACTTAACTATGGCTCATAAACATATTAACTATGCATTATAAAAATGTAAAAAATTCACTTAAAAATTGTTTTCTTTGTTATATTTTTTGGCTCATTTAGCCTCTGTGTCATCATTACCGATATATGAAAACAACTTCCAAATGTTTATGTACGAAAAAATGAAATTAATGTTTATAAATAATATGTGCAGGGATAGAGTATGATGTAGTCTTAATTAAATAGAGCATTCAAATTACATCTGCATTCAGCAAGCATTACATTAACTTACCAAACCATTCTGGAAAAATCACAAAATAATTGTATATAATATTTTTTATACAGATTTGATTCACACATAGCTAGTGTGTTGTCAATTTTGATCAATAAGATTGGGTATAACCATGTATTCTGCGTCAAATTAGAGGGTGACCGATGAACTTTTGATTCCATGCTTAAATTGTATTTTGACACTTAAATTATGTACATGTAAACAGTTGTGTGTACAAACAAACATATATGCATATCTAAAATTTAAAAAGTGATCATTTCTAATCTACTTTGTGAAAATAAATAGAAAATTGTGTATACAAAACACGGGATCCAATTAATATAAAATCTAAAATCTTTATCCCAAATAAAATAAAATACGAAATCTTTATCATAAACAAAACAGAATAATGATAAAATATTGCATGCAATGAAGAGTCTCTAGTTTAGCACAATTGTTTAAAAATTATCCCCAAAGTCTGATTTAAGGGCTTGTTTGAAGGATTTAAATTGAGTCAAAATCTGAACTGCGCAACGCTTAAATAATCTACTCTCTAGTCAAGCTTACATATTCCCTCAGTATTTCCTCTCAAATGGGAATGGGTTGATTTTTTGATTTTCTGTAGAATTCTGGATATATTGATCGACTGAATGGCAGTGTGCTTTTATCCTTTCATTCCCCCAAGGGTTGAGTTTTGTAAACTGACCATTATAAAGTTTCACCAGTAGTATTTCACCCAGAACATTTCACCAGGATGATTTCACCAAGAACATTTCACATGGAACATTTCACCCAGAGTGTTTCGCCCTAACCTACGGTAGAGATTCAAGTATCCCGTCTTACCTTTCCAGACTCGTGCAGCTTTCTCATTTCTACACGATTAAGATGCCATCCTGATCCCCAGCCTGAAGCATCATGACCAATTCGTATCTTTTCTATGGGGTCTCCCACATCTTCGAGCTACATAAATTGACAAGTAGAATTAAATCATTGCTCTTATTCTATATGTTGACTATTTCCACAGGAAAATTAACAAAAATAGTAAAACAATCTAAGGACAATCTTCATTTAAAGTTAATATATTATTTAAAAAATTCTTCTTAATGTTCCCTAACTTTACAAAAAGTAGAACACTTTTTATAATTCCTTGACTCAAGGTGTGATATTTGTTTATTTCTCCCAAACAAATTGTGAACAAATTATAATTCTGAATATTTGTTTACCTCAATGACAAACTTATCCTCCGCTCCTCGTTCAAAGCTGCTCTTTCTCTCCTTTTTATTGGCACACAGCGATTTCTTTTCACTGCATTGGTCCTTGCCGTATATGACAATATAAACATCTGCGTCTGTGGATGACCCGCTACGGTCACTTGTATATGTGGTGATCTCGTAAGGTATGCCTGGGATTATAATATAAAAAAATTATTTCAATTCAATTTTCATATCTCTGTAAACATTTATGAAAACTAGATTCCAATAATTAATAAATTGAATTGAAATAAAAAATATATAACAGAGTAATTAATTAATTATGAGTGATTAATTCTGATCTTGGAGGATATATCAGGGGGTAGAGGAGGGAGGGTGAACCAAGCAGTGGATTAGTATATTAAAGTAGTTCTAAACATATATGTGTTATTTAACCCTAAGATAAAAATGATATCCTTCATGAATCAAACTATGTTTAGGCTTTCGATTAAATCAGACATTTACTTGTATATAGCATTATGACTGTAATACAATAAAAAATAATTAAGAAACAGATATTTGCAAATCATAACATTTAGTGTATTCTTATAAAAAACTCAAAATGTTTTAAAAAACAATATTGGTTCTAAGTCACCATGCAGGCAGCATTGCAAACTTTTTAATGAGTTGGCTTTGAAAACGTTGATCAGTCAGGTCACTGAAATCGACTGGATTTATTCAATTTAGAACACTTTTTTTGAAGAGCCAATGTTCCATGCAACTAGATTGAATCAAAACTTTTTTCTGTACATGTGTAGAAGCCAAGCGATCACTATGCTAACTTTCAATAAACAACAATTTAAAAAATACAAAAACTGTACATGAGCATGTTTATACAGCTATTAGCTTTAAAATTGAGAGTGAAATGTGGTATAGGCAACATAAGCGCATGCGTTTACTAATACATACATATTGCTACAATTATAACTGACAAAATAAATCAGACGTAAATAAGATAATAAAGAAGAACTGATTACAACAAAGCAGTTTTCATTCAAAATGGATACATTGAACCAATGCTAAATTACTATGGTTACAATAAAGCATGACAATCAGCTTGAATTACTACAATAAAGCAGTTTGAGTTGCTATGGTAACAATAAAGCTGTTCCAAGTTACTATGGTTACAATGGTTCACCTACACATGGAATCTCCATGCTGATCTAAAGATGGAGGACAGAATACAGAGTGCAAATTTTAAACATAAATTGCTTGTTAAATTTTTAATCAACTACATATACATTTATATATAAGATCATGGTGGAAATGTTGCAAATTAGAACACTTAATTAATTTGAATCACTTTTATCAGACATCTTAAAAGACATCTGAAAAAGTCAGGCCCATAGCCAGGATTTGCCAAGGGGGGGGGGGGGGGGGGGGGGTTACTTTTTGAAAAATCCCAGGGAGGGTTCACTTTTGACAATTTTGGTTCAAAATTGACCAAAATCACTTAAAAAGTGCTCAGAATGATGGAAAACTGCATGATTTTGAAAGACCTTTTAGCCAGGGGAAGGGGGGGGGGGGTGGTAGGTTCGAACCCCCCTGGCTACGGGCCTGAAAGTTGTTGCACCTTATATAGTACATAAGCAAAAAAACATCAAGTACATGTTCACCATGATATCATGTGGAAAATACAAACAATCAAGATGAAGGAAAATATACATTGTAAATGGCGTTGAAATGTGCAAAGAATTTATGTATTCATAATCTAGCATTAGAATTTATGATTTCAACAGTTTATAACATCTATAGTATTTTACATTACATAAAGTTGTCACTTCTAAACATCTATCGTACAATGTAAAAGAACACATATTATAGTAAAAAGTGGATTTTAGGATGAGAAGCAGTGTAAAGTATACATTGTCATAATGTATACAGTATTAATTAGGAACGTGCATATTTTTTTATTTATTTTTTTTTATTTTATTTATTGGAAACGCTTTTATTACAGCGGAACACAAATGGTTCTTCCAGACATTGGCAAAACATTTAAAAGCATATATCAGTTTACAGGCATTATATATAAGAAACTAAAACATGTTATTGGGTCTGGGGTTTATATACACATTTTAAAAGACCCTTTACACATTTATCGAACTTAAAAGCTTCTTCTTGTCCCCACAATGTAAAAATGTCCTCACCTAAGGCCCAACATGTTTTAATTTGCACACTGGCTGATAGAAGACCCGACGATAGTGCTGGATTACATTTTTCAATAACATTTTTATAAAAAGTATTTCTATCATTACCAAAGAAAGGGCAAACAAAAAGTCTATGTTGGATGGTGTCTTTTACATTTTTATCACATAACGTACATATTCCATTTCCCTGTCCCCATTTTTCGTATTCTGTTTTTAAGCCAAAACACCCTGATCTAGCTTTGAACTTTAATTTTTGCCCATAGAAGTCAAAATCTGTGGTCAGGTAGTTTTTTAAGAAGGGATGGGAATTGAGACATCGATACAGTGAGAGTGAAGACTTTTCATTCAATGCAGATTTAAAATTATTGAGCCTTTCTTGATCTGATATTTTGATAAGGGCCTGATACCAGTCAATATCATCTCTGTAGATAACATCATCCAGTCCATATTTTGTTAGGATGGATTTTATGTTTGAAAAGTAAGGGAATGCTTTGCTTTCATCATTAGCACAGAAGCCATCATACATAGAATTAAATATCTTTTTGTGTAATGACCCTTCTTTGATATTACATTTTAGATATATAAAGTAATCTATTTGCCTTTTTTCAATGACATCAACAAGAGGTCTCCAGCCTAAGTCACCTAAAAGTGCTTCTCTGGCTGGGCAACACCTAATTTGGAGAATTGATCTCCCAATATTATATTGCATTGATTTAATTTTATCCGTGTTAGTTTTGTTTAACGTGAATATAGGACAGCCATGAAGAATGGCAGGGACAAACATTGAATTGTACATTTTCTCCCCAAATTTGAGACGCATGACATTACAGTGTTTTGTCAAAGTGGAGACTATCATACCTTTAATTCGTTTAGATTTTTCAGCAAGGAAGTCAATGTGGCCAGAGTCTTTTAGAGACCGATCAAAATATATCCCTAGATACTTATAACTTTTAACCTCAAATAATTCATGGCTGCCTAAGATCCATTTTTTATTTTTGTCAAGTCTTTTCCCAATGACCATAACCTTTGATTTTTTAGGGCTAAAATTGAACCCCCATTTAATAGAAAAGATGTCAGCAATTTTTAACATTCTGTTCATTGTAGATTCATTTTCGGCAAGTAAAACAACATCATCGGCGAACATAAGAACTGGGACCTTTTCATTTTCAAAAGGTAACCCTATATCTTCATTGTTGAACATTTCAACAAGGTCGCTCATAACAAGGGAAAACAGAGTCGGGGAGAGGCAGCAACCCTGTTTTAGGGTTTATATATTATATATAAAGGTAATGTAAACAATTTCAATTTCAAAGTCTAAATAGTATTTCCAAAGAAAGCTGGAACTAAAAGTGAGTGTGCACAGAAAGGGATGTGGGTTACATTAATTATGTTATCTCAATCAGGAGACATTATGGGATACATGGAGTTACAATGTGACTATATGACATTCAGATTTATTCTGCCAGGTACCAATATTCTAAACTATACCAATCTATCATTATAAATCTCCCCCAGGAATAATGGTCCCTCTCATATAAAAACTAACTTGGATACTTACATGGGATGTACTGCTCTGTGGCAAGTTCCTGTGGATAGAGCTCTCGCTCCAATAGGCCATCATCTTCATCTTTAGCAAGCCAGCGCCCACATGGGAATGTCCATTTCTTGCCTAAAGATGGCGCATCAATTTCAACCTTTTCTAGATGCCAGGCTCCACCACCTCCTTTGTTGTCATGGCCGATTCTTAAATTCAAATTCAATACTTTTTATCAATTTGCATCTAAAATGTCATTGAAACAATGTGTCTTGAGCGGCCACATGTTTAACTTTTTGCCTACATTGACAATCATATGCACTTTTGTGGAACAATCTTGCTATTAGTGCTTGACCTTATATTCCTGCATTTTATCTCCTCAAATCCAAATTTTAACAAAAGATCTTGACATGGCATTACAAAAAACTTAATTCTTGATTTTATGAGCTGTTTTTAATGTTCTTCATACTCTGTGTATTTCTTTTCTTAGTCTTTATTTTCCAACATAGCCATTTATAAATGTCCTACTTTATTTTCTTGAGGTCTCCGATTTCTACTGCTTCTATGATGAATTCATCTGTTTGCTTCCTCTCAAACTTATCACGGTTTGTCTTTGATGTTTTTAAGAACATCTGACCTATAATCAAAATTGACTCTCATATTACGTGTATTGAAATATTTCTCATTCTTACAATGATTTTAAAGTTCTAGATATAGTATACAAGTGGTGACATAAAAATCATGCTGGCTTGAAATTTTTCAATTTTGTAATGCTTCAACCTATTTTAATTTAAATAATTTAACTGAGGTCAAAATTGAATGTACATGTACATCAAGTTATTAACCTGAATCAATGACAGAGATGCAAAATGCCATTTTGAATGTAATTGGAGATTACAAACATAACAAAGGTTTGGGGGCTTCAACTATGTATAGTTCAGTGGGCGAAATTATTCCCAAACTTCACAATACTGTATTATATAATATTATGTAATGATTTAATTAATTAATTATGTAAATAAATTTATTGAACCAAACTTGTTGGTTTTGTTGAGTTGTGCAACAAAGCTTTGGTAACCACATGCATGTGATAACATAAAAAGATTTTGACAAACCTGTGTCATCAAGTTCTCCGAAGAGCACAACGTAAACATTTGCATCTGTCCCTGCTCCCCAGATGTCACTAGTGGTCACATAAACATGGTAGGTTGTCATGGCAGCTGAAAAAGTAGTTGATTTATTATTACATTTCCCATAAAACATATTTTTAACTATCAGTCATTTTTAGCAGTCAATATGGTAATACAATTAGTTTTATAACTTAGTTGATCTAAAATATTTGAGCATATCGTATATTATATTGGAAATGTTTCAAAGCCTCTTCATATTTTGAAAGCACAAATTGAGAAAAATCATATTAATATTTCAGGTAAATTGACCCTCACACATTCAAGAACATGTAGATTTCTTTACCTTTTGTTTCCAATGCAATTTCCTTCCTGATGGCCATGGAGTCCTGGCGAGATAATTTCTTCTTCAGCGACATGTCAACTGGAACCAAGTCCCTGGCTATCTGCCCATCATCCTCATCTGTAGCCAGCCATCTCTGACAGGGAAAGAACCACCTAAACACAAACAAGACATGTCATGACTATAGTATTTGACAGGGAAAGAACCACCTAAACACAAACAAGACATGCCATGACTATAGTATTTGACAGAGAAAGAACCACCTAAACACAAACAAGACATGCCATGACTATAGAATCTGGCAAAGAACCACCTAAACACAAACAAGACATGTCATGACTATATAGTATCTGACAAAGAACCACCTAAACACAAATAAAACATGTCATGACTATAATATCTGACAGGGAAAGAACCACCTAAACACAAAGAAGACATACCATGACTATAATATCTGACAGGGAAAGAACCACCTAAACACAAACAAGACAAGCCATGACTATAATATCTGACAGGGAAAGAACCACCTAAACACAAACAAGACAAGCCATGACTATAATATCTGACAGGGAAAGAACCACCTAAACACAAACAAGACATGTCATGACTATAGTATCTGACAAGGAACCAACTAAACACAAACAAGACATGTCATGACTATAGTATCTGACAAAGAACCAACTAAACACAAACAAGACATGCCATGACTATAATATCTGAAACGGAAAGAAAGAACCACCTAAACACAAACAAGACATGTCATAACTATATTATCTGACAAAGAACCACCTAAACACAAACAAGACATGTCATGACTATAGTATCTGACAAAGAACCACCTAAACACAAACAAGACATGTCATGACTATAGTATCTGACAAAGAACCACCTAAACATAAACAAGACATGCCATGACTATAATATCTGACAGGGAAAGAACCACCTTAACACAAACAAGACAAGCCATGACTATAATATCTGAAAGGGAAAGAAAGAACCACCTAAACACAAACAAGACATGTCATGACTATAGTATCTGACAAAGAACCACCTAAACACAAACAAGACATGCCATGACTATAGTATCTGACAAAGAACCACCTAAACACAAACAAGACATGCCATGACTATAGTATCTGACAAAGAACCAACTAAACACAAACAAGACATGTCATGACTATAGTATCTGACAAAGAACCACCTAAACACAAACAAGACATGTCATGACTATAGTATCTGACAAAGAATCACCTTAACACAAACAAGACAAGCCATGACTACAATATCTGAAAGAGAAAGAAAGAACCACCTAAACACAAACAAGACATGTCATGACTATAATATATAACAGGGAAAGAACGACCTCAACACAAACAAGACATGATTATAATCCGACAGAAAGAGCTGTCCGTTAGAAATGAAGACTGCATCACATGTAAAAGAAAAAATTTGGCAGGGAATCCAAAAAACATGTAAGGGAGATGTTCATACACAAAGTATACATATAGCACAATGCTAGTACTAGTATAGTGTAATAGTATACAAATACAATTAAGATACATGTCCATGGGCATTCAGCTTCATTCACATTCATATTCCATTCTCATCTTCCCTAATTGTATCAAATCTACTACATACAGGGTGTCCGGAAAGTAAAGATACAAATGCTCTTATTTTAAGAGATTTGGGTCTTTTGAAATAAAACTGCTACAGATTGTAGAGGAAGATTATCACAATATATCTACCAACTTTCATCACATATAGTCTTAACGTGTTCAAGTTATGGTTGTTATGGTTACGGCTGTGAGGGGTATGCGGAGCAGTTCCAGAACATCGCTAAAATATCAAAAATTGCTAAAATACAGCCATCTGAAACAGTGTTTATTGTCGTATTTTCTTTCAATGTTTTGCTAAATTTTGTTTGCTGTTTGTATTATTACTGCTGTATTTTTTTCTATATAATGATGTCATTGTTACATATCAGAACTATTTTATGTCACTAACCAGTATAATCAAAGAAATATCATACAAGTGTTTAGAAAAAACAGCCTCTGGATTGGTTGGAAAGTCAATATTGCATCTCCATAATACACCCATTCTCAAAGCAAAGAAAACAATTCTTACAATGGATTGTCTTGACATTAAACCTTTCTATACAATGCCCCATATTCACCTGATAGAGCCTTTTTTGACTTCTACCTAATGACCATCTGAAAGCAATATTTGTAAGAAGTTCAACATACAAAATGAGTCTCAGCTGAAAGTCAATGCTATACACAATTTGAGAGACGGACAGCAATGATTTTGTCAAGTCTTTGAATCAGCGGTCAAGATGCACCAAAAATGTTTAGATAAAGGGGAAAATATTGAATATTCAATGATAGTAGTTATATGAAGAGATCAAATAATGTTACGGTACTAATGCTTATGCTGTTGTAGTACATAATTTGATGTAATATAGGAATAGATGGTAGAATGCCAAGATGCTATGAGCAGGAAAGAGATTTGTAAAACACATTTGTGACGTTGCTCCACATACCCCCGACTCCCGTTACCATAACGACCATAACTTTTTCATTTTAAAATTAAAAGTCATGACCGTTGCAGGATATATTGCTATAATGTCATTCTACATTCTGGAGCAATTTCATCTCATAAGATGTAAATCTCTTAAAATGAGAGCATTTGTATCTTTACTTTCCGGACACCCTGTATATACCTTTAAATCATCTTTTCCACTTTAATTTACATATACTATACTCGAACAATATATATATAAATAGTTGAACTATTATATCAACCATACATCATCTTTTCTACTATATTTTACATGCACTTACTTTTTCTTTGACTTGGGGTCTTCTACTTCAACATGTCCAAGAAACCATGCTGCTCCACCACCTGCATTGTCATGTCTGATCCTAAGTCTTTTCAGCTCACCAAGCTCAACTGCTTTGATCACAAACTCATCAGTCTGAAAACATTACAATATCGATGTCAAATATTATATCTCAATCAATAATAGTAAATAGATCAGTGAAATTGATCCCAAATGAAAAAAGGCATTATTACGCAGAATGTCACCATCTGCCTTTGTTACAGATGCAATTTTACAGCTACCATGTTGCAAAACCGAACACCAGCAGCTACCACAGAGAAGTCAGACACTATAACAAATTGTCACCACTGGTGGTGACATAACAGATGAAAGATGCAGTTTGGAATGTTGTCAAAACTCCTTATATATGATTCTTCATATGAGAGATTTTAGATTGTTGAATGAGGTAATCATGTTATAGAATCTCACCTGGTTTCTCTCATATTTGTTGATGTTGTTTGAGTCCTGTAGTTCTCTTTCCCCAGTGTCCCCATGTTCTCCTGAGATGTTGATGAACACTACTGCATCCGTGCCTGCTCCCCAGACATCCCCAGTTGTTACATTCACCTTGTATTCAATTTCTGTATGGAACAGAGGGGGAAAGTTAAGTTAATGTAATGGCATGAATTATAATGGCACCACATTTCTATATTGTATTAGTAAATATACAGTAAAACCTGTTTATAGTGAGCATCTTTTGCCCAGAAAAACTGTTCAGTGTTGGTAGGTGTTCATTACAGAGAGGGTAACTTATACAAAAGTTAGTAGAGTATGTGCAGATGAAGGGTGTCTACTAGGGACAGGTGTCTTCTAGATAGAGGTGTTATCTAAGACAGGGTTTACTGTACATGAACATTGAACATGTATAATACATGGAGGTGCAACCTTTATAATTACAGACCATGGATGGTATAATTTATTACAGATGTGCCCATTATGATTTGCACAAGCTTGTTGATCCGACAAACAAGAGTCAATTCTCAATAACATTAAATCAATATGTATTTCATCAATATACATTGTACCATTAAGATCTTAAACAATTACCTTCAAGGCCTGTATCCAGTGGATTTCCATCTTCATCAGTTGGTAAAAGTTCTCGAACAATTTTTCCATCATCTTCCCCCTTTGCAAACCAATGATTGCAAACAAACCAGTACTCCTCAATGTCTTCATCTTTATCATCTTTTTCATCATCTCTACTCTTCCGTCTTTCCTTGTCATCAAACTTACGCTGATAATTTTTCTTTTTCTTATTTCTTGAGTCATCGTCACTCATACTGTCCTCATCGCTATAGCGCGACCTTGACCTTCTATTTTTCTGATTTTTCTTAGAATGTTTCTCATCCTCGTCACTCGAGTATTGAGATTTTGACCGTCTTCTATTTTTGATACTTTTTATTGATTTACGATCTTCCTCATCGCTATATCTCGAGAATGATTTTGATTTTCTACGATTTCTATTGCTAATTGATGATTCTAAATCATCGTCACTATATCGAGAACCAGATCTAGACTTCCTACGTCCATTTTTATTTTCTTCACGAGAAGATCTCGACCGTCGGCTCGACCTTCTTGAAGAATCATCAGAGTCATAGTCTGAATCGTCACGTTTTGAACGTCGTTTATTCCGAGATTTATAATTTTCTTTATCTGAGTCCTCACTTTCATCAGATTTTTTCAGTTTCTTTTTGCCTTTGTTTTTCTTGTTTGTCCATTTTCTCCTCTTGGATGCTTTTGTTGGATGGCGTTGTATAAGAATCTGATATGTAAAAATTGAAACATATTTTACACAGTTTTAATTCACAGAAAAAATTAGTACTATTGTTGAGGGGGGATAAAATATCTTAAAGTAAGATCACCAAAACTCAATTTTTTGTTGAGTTTTTCTATTGTATCAGTCAAATTATACATGTAAAACACATATTTTGATTGAAATATTCCCTTACTTTTTCTAAATGCCAACCCGCAAACATTCCTTTTCCGTCATGACCGACCCGGATCTTCAACAGTGGACCTATGTCTGTAGCCTCAATCTTGAACTTCTCAACCTGGCCCTGCTCAAAATTATCTGTCCTATTTTGTATGTCATATTGCTCAGTTTTGCCATTCTCTCCATACATTTGAATGAAGACATTAGCATCGGTGCCAGCACCTCTGATGTCACTCGTCCACACTGTGACCTCATAGGGAATATCTGTAACATTTCATAACATTCTATTTTATATTCACCAATCTCTCATCAATGATCCCTTCGTTACAATTTAATGAGATTTGACCTTTTTCAACTCCTCTAAAAATCTGTAAAGTGGAACACCTTTGTTAGCGGAACTGTTAGGAACACCGAAAGTGGAACATTTTCCATATATGCATTATAATAATCTCTGTAAGTGGAGCACTCTCCAAGTGGAAAACTGTTATGAGGTTCCAAAGGTGTTCCACTTTCACGTATTTAAATATTTACTGTATTGTTTTTATCAGATGAAAATTAAGACCATTGGTAAAGTTGAAGATATATACAAACAGTATAACCATACCTTTATCTCCTTTCCTGACTTCTGTAGGCTCCAATTCCACTTCAATTTCTCCATCTCCCTCAGACTTGTCCAGCCATCGATGGCAAGCAAATAAGTAATGCTCCCCCTTTGATGGTACATCCACTCTTACCTCATCAAGAAACCAACCTGCACCTACGCCATTGTCTTCATGTCCAATACGGATCCTCTCAATCTAGAAATTAAATATACAAAATAGACTTTTAAAGGAATAAATATTCAATTCAATTTTCTTTCAAATTATGTATTTATTGATCACATAGAACAAAACTAGGCAATTTAGTAACATTCTAAGAACTGTGCAATTTCATCACATACACTTGTATAGAGACATCACACTCTTCATGGTACAAATTAACCTTCATGTAGAAAGTGAATATAGAATTCTATATCCCAATTACGTTTCTCTTTTTTGCACCATATAGTTTTAGTTCTAAACTTCATATTTAATAGTAATATTAATAGTTATGTAGTTTTTTACATGTAAATGTCTTTTTTTCCTTCCTTTATAATTGTTATAATTTTTGTACATGTACTTGACCCCAAGGGGTGTGAATGTACTTAAAGAATAAATAAATATGTTAACTAAAAATTATTTGGAAACTTGATGTCTCCAGTTTTTTGCAAACAGGATGACAATGCAGTCTTTATTGTACACAGACACATTTCGTCATTTTGATAGATTTTCAAATTATTTAATATTAATATTCAACATTACATGTACCTTGCCAATATCAGTTGCCTCAAGTTTAAACAGATCTGTTCTTCCTCGTTCAAATTTATTCTTCGTATTATCAGAGCTCTTCAAATAGAGGATTCCTGTATCTCCATTTTTGCCAAATATTTTAACGTAAACATTTGCGTCTGTTCCACCGGAGCGAATATCTCCTGTTTTCACTGATACATGGTAACTGGTTGCTGGAAACACAATAAAATTCTATAATTCCAATTTTAATTAAAATAGCGTTATGCATGAGATGATAAATGATAACAACTAGGGTATAGCTTAACGAATGTGCAGCTGAGGTTGTTAATTGTGATGAAAAGTTGATATTTCCATACATACCACATATAACCCTAACAAGAAAACTATTCTTAATTCCACTATTGTTGGTCACTTTCGCCATGGGCTTTCAACTAGAAAAAACATGTACTTTTGGAAAAGTGAATGGTACAGAAAAACTAGGAAATTCATTAAAAGTTTCAGAATCTAACTTACTGCTTAACATCTGTGATCCTCCAGATGTGATCTCTCTCACAATAAGTCCATCATCTTCATCAATAGCAAGCCACCTGAATAATGAGAAGCAAGGGCAAGAAGAATTAAACAAATGTTGAGTTTTAGACTTTAATATAAACATCTTCAATGGGCATTTCCATTAACTCTGCCACCTTATGTGACATATACACTGCCAATATAATTCGGCAACGTTTCGGCATCGAAAAAATTCGTCGCTGTTCCGGCACCGTTTCGACACCGTTCCGGCACCGAATCCTTTCGACACCAAAATTTGGCGTCGAAAATCAGATTGCATTTTGGGGGTGTAAATAATTCAGAATTCATAACAGCCTGTATTGGCACCATCAACATACTTTACTACAAGATCAAAGATTTTTTTCTAAGAATTAATGAGAAACATCAAAACAATCATTTACCTGTTACATTCAAATGTTTTCACATTTTTCGAGTTTCCCTCTTCCCGAATTACGACTTTGTCCAAGTACCATCCCGCACCAGCATTATTCCCATCATGCCCCACTCTAATCTTGTCAAACTTCTTTAACGTCACAGCCTCAAACTCAAATTCATCAACCTAAAAAGAAAATATATTTGTTCAAATGTCAAATATCAAGGCTTACCATATCTTGTTTCATCAGTTGACATGTATTTGTATAATATAACTTCAATTTAAAGTAACTAAGTACATGTATGCTTAACAATCATAATTTAAAAATAATGTAACACAATAGCAATGTATTCTTTACAGCAGCAGTGAAAAAGTTGATTTTTGCAACTGTGACAAACTGTAAACTTACATTTCCTTTCTCAAACTTGTTGGTGTTGGTCTTTGACTGTGTTAGCTGTCTGTCTCCAGTATCTCCTAACTCTCCATACACACACAGGAATACATTAGCATCAGTACCCGCCCCTCTCTTCTTACCAGTGTGTACCTCTGCTGTGTACTTCACCACTGAAACAACAAAAACAAAAATGAGGCTGTTTATTCTCTACATGAGGGAATTGATCAAAAACCTGTCTTATCTGAATGCCACCAAAAGTGTTTGTATTAGAAAGTGATCACATTTCAAGGTTTTGTGATTGTAAGTAAAATGGGTGATAACAAATTATGGAGCCAGAAAAAGTTTTCACATTTGGAGGTATTAATATATACAGGATTCACTATAGTTCAATGATATTAAAATTCAATATAACAAGTTGCAAATACTTTGTAACAACGATAGAAAAGATGCATCTGTTTAACAGAACAATCAAACAATTCTATCTGCTCTTCTTGTTAGATTGGAACTATCAACTGTTTATTTATTTATTTATCCTCCAATACTAAAGAATAGTTTGACAATTAAAACCATCTTACACTATACCTTAATTAAAGAATTAAAGATTTACAATATCATGGATTATACATGTATACATGGGCAAAATTTAGACCCAAAATTACAATGGATAAATTGATAAATCAGCCAAAAGATCTTCTTTGGTACATGATTGAGACATTCCTACATGAAATAATCAAAAGCCCCTATTGGGAACTCCAGAATTGTACAGTAATGTATTGCTGTATGTGTTACTTTAATCTTATATCTACTGTATTTTCTGAAATAACACTCACATGGTAATGGTTTCTTGATACCCGGTCCCTCAGCTGGCATCTCTCTGACACAACTCCCGTCATCTTCATCAGTAGCAAGCCAGCGGTCACAGTTAAACACGTAGCGATCTTGATTGGACATATTCTCTAGTTCAACCTTGTCCAAATGCCAGCCTGCGAATGATCCACTATCGTCATGCCCGATACGCATTTTGTACGGTTTACCAATGTCAATCATTTCAATTTTAAATTTATCAAGTTGACCGCTTTCAAAATTATCACTTTTGTTGTCAAGGTAAATATCGTCTGACTTTCCTTTGTCTCCATAGACGACAATGAAAACGTTGGCGTCAGTTCCAGCTCCTCTGATGTCACTGGTGTGGATGAATGCGGTCCAAGTGGTCTCTGTAATAAACACATATACATGTAGGTCTAAGAGATATGTTGCAAAGGGGTGCAAATTAACAACAAGCAATTAAAGCTTTAGAGTAGTTAGAATAGTTAGCTAGAGAAATAGAGCCAACTATCTAAGTATATCATTATGAACATTGTTGCGGTATTATTATCTATGACCTTTATACAAAATGACAAATAATACACTTTGAAAGTTGTCTTTAATTTTAAAATAATCAGAAATAAAGTTGTAAAATTATTTTCTTGCATTTTCTTCAATGATCTAGTATGGGGGGGGTGTATAGAGATATTGTATATCGTATAAGAGGCTGAAAATTTATTGTATATTGTATAAGAGGGGGCAAAATTTATCGTATATGGTATAAGAGGTGTAAAAATATGGTATAATAGAAAATATATGGTATATGGTATCTAGAATTAAAAAAGGCTAATTATGAAGAAAGTGCGCCCTAAAGTTCCCCATTGTGCCAACTCTCTTACTGTAACCGTGTTGGAAAAACATGGAAAAGTAGTCTCTCTAATTGGTTCCACATTCCAGGTCAATCAATACTGTAAGTCTAGAAAAAATCCTTCTCAAACTAAGAGTTTTGTGGCCTTATCATTCAAATTTTCACAGGAGGTGTTAAATATAGTCTCAAATAAGAATCACGCTGGATGATCAGAAGAAATGAACGGAGGGGGGTAGATCTAGCTGGTTTTTGGTAGAAAATTCAACAAATCTTGAAGATTTATTTTTTCAAGAGAAAGTTTACAATTGAATGGCTAAATGAATAGACGCAGTGGACGGGGGAATATGTTAGGTCTTCTTGGATTTTTTTGAACTGATGGAGTTCTAAAATAAAAGATCTATTAAAAAAGTGCAGCGTCGACAATGTGCAAATGCCAATTTTTTGCTATAAATCAACCAACAGGGGTCTACACGACCTGTAATAAATAAGTGAAGTAATTATCACAAAACTATTGTCATCATTGGTTTTGTAAAACACGTTACCATACGTTATATAAAAAGTAATCGAACGTTATTAAAATTGAACGGAGGGGGGAGTAATGTGTCTATAAGACATATGAAAACTTCCATTAACTCCATATGTCCCCATTTTTCACTTTTCAGAGTTGTAACATCAAGTTACTGAGTTAGTGAGTTCATTTTTCAAGTACACGAATTTGTCGAAATTTCTTCCACCTTAAAGACATATTACTCCAACCCCCCCCCCTTTCGGGGTATGTGGGATAAATCATTAACATATTTGAGTATAAAGTGTTCATACAGCGCATGTTTTAATACAAGCATCACAATGCTAATATAGCATAATATAGCAAAAGGTTTTTATTTGGTCTTCAAACTGTCATATGTTGGATTTCGGCTATTTATTGGGGATTTGAACAGGTGCATATGTTAGGCCAATGCATTTCCTCCAGATCAAGCACTCATCGAGGTAATAAAATAATTTGGACTTTGAGACAGGGAAGGCTTTTCTGAAATGTTGTCCTGATTTTTAGCCCTTTCCACATATGTTTTTTCAATGTTTGATGCACCAATATGCACTTTGAGAAACAGTTTTAAGACACAGTTAACCTCTAAAATATGATTTATTTGGGATAAAGTAGAAAACAGTACATGTATTTCCCATGTTATTTTCCCACAGGGAAAACTCATGTGATCCATTGTTTTCAGCTAAATTTTGGTCATTCAAAATTGATATCTTTAAAACCCTTGCATGAATCATATTTTCATTTAAAACGCAACAGAGTGATCGATGCAACAAACATTGAAAAACAGGTGTGGAAAGGGCTGGAAATCAGGACAACATTACAGAAAAACATGTTGATGGGGTGCAAATTTGCACCTTCCCTGACTTAAAGTCCAAATTATTTTATAATCTCTATGATTGCTTGTCCTGGAGTTAATGCATTGGCCTAACATATGCACCTGTTTAAATCCTCAGAAAATAGCCAAAATCCAATATATGACTGAAATCTGTTGCGATACCGTCTGTGGTCCTTTAAAAGAAAGTTATTTCTAGTTGCATAGAGTAGTTTTCATTCTCATCAATACATCTTTGCCTTGAAATCATTCGTGAAACATGTGGTTTGAACTTTATGGAAATTTGATTTATTTTGACACACCTTTGTTTAACTTATACTGTCTTAAGGCTGCCTTATCTGAAACCCCGAAGTGTCTCTTGTTTCAAATGTTTAAACAATCAAGTCTCGTCTTGCCTTTATTTCAAACCCTAATTTCCAGACTCGAGTCCAATCAAAAATGAATTATCTACATGGAAGTTTGTGAAGTCCTTTATTTCTGAAACTGTTTTCAATACTTAATATTTTCAGGTAACTGCTTTACAAAATTATTGTGAATTGTGAATCTTCATTACCTATCTGATACATATTTTCCTCAGCAAACTTTATTTTCATAGAACACATGATGAATCTTTTATTCCACATTCTCAATTTTGCATCAATTATGTTTCAAGGATTTTTTTCCCTGGCTCACTATGAAGGATTTCCATTGACATTAAAATATGTCATGGGAAAGTAGGTCATAAGAAAGAGGAACATTGAGTTCCACCCATTCCAATGATGCAGGTTTTGTGCTAATTTTAGGTAATGGGCTAATGGCTTTAGCAAATTGCAGAAATGTTAAAGTTAGTTTTTTGGTGGATAAGTCATGAGTCTTATATCATAAATGTGTTTTAAATCAACTTGTTTACCTGAAAATAAAATGTGGTCACAGCTTTTCTGAACATGCGGATGTACCCGAATGGTGTCTTATTCATAATGTAATAAATGAAATCATTGTGGTATGTATGTGGAGTCTATTTCCCTTATAATAATACATTTACTTTAGTACATGGATTCTCTCCTAATATTATTTCCTTATAAATATCCAAACTTTAATCAAAAGCAGTTTCAAAATTATCGTATATTGTATTTCACCTAAAATATTGTATATGGTATAAGAGCTGTGAAAAATATTGTATATGGTATAAAAGGGGTGAAAAAATATTGTATATGGTATAAGAGAGCTGAAAAATATTGTATATGCATTTCCAAGACTCTCTATACACCCCCCCCCTAGTATATGCTTTTAAAATAATAAACAAAATGTGGAACTCACTTTTCTTGCGCTTTTTCCTCAAAGACAATGTTTCCTTAAGGGTGCGTTCTATCAGGCCTTCTCCCTCGTCCACAGCTAGCCATTTGTCACACAGGAAGTGCTGCTCAAATCCTGCACTTTGACAATTGATAGAAACCTAAAATAATCAAAAAGTTGTTGTATAACAGGTGTCTAGCATGTGTATGTCCCCCACTCCCCATTTCTCTCCCATTTGTAGATCATGAAGGGAGGGTAGTGACAAGTATACAAGACTCATGTTCCAAGTATATTATGCTTCACTTATTATAATAACTGAGTGCCTCATTACTATTTGTAGTTTTGAAAAAACTATGAGATTTTTCTTGATACTATGAGTTTTCTTAATCATCTACCTATATTCATCTTATAGTCTAATGAATTCAATGAATAATTCAACCCATCCTTCTATTGACTTAGTTTTTTGAGGAGATAAAATATGTCATCATTAATTTCACTTTTTTCTAATTTTAATTTATTTTCTGAACTTACCTTTTTTAGATGCCATCCAGCGCCAGAACCAGAATTGTCGTGTCCCACATCAATCTTGGACAGTGGGCTCAGATTTTCAGCCACCTCAACATTAAAGATATCAGTTTTTCCTCTATCAAACTTGCCTCCATCAAGCCACACTTTGCCACTATTCTTCTCACCCCCAGGGCCATAGAGCACGACGTAGACTCGCGCTGATGTGCTCGAATGACGTATATCACTTGTTGTCACTTGAATCTCATATGGGATACCTAAATTGGCATAAATCAATATGTTGAGATTTATTATAGTTTATTTAAATGATCTGCATTTTATAACATATTGAAAATTGCATTATATGAATACGAAAAGAGAGGAATCTGTGCTGAATTATTAGGTTCAAGCCTTTAAAAAATAAAGTAGAAGTTAATCAAGAACCCCTAAAAGATCTGATACACTCGTCAGTATAAGAATTATCAATATCTTGGGGCCTTATTTTCGAAATCTACTAGGTATACCTGGCTCAGAGTCCATTGGTCCAATATTGCACAGAAGGTCTCGGGATATATGGCCGTCGTCTTCATCATCAGCTAACCAGCGATTACATGGAAAGTCATAGACACGGTTCTGATCCATGTCATCAACTATCACCTAATACAAGTTGAAAACAAAATATAATCATCAAATATTAACAAATATAAGGATGAACCAATTAAATCAAGAAATTATAGACAATCTGTAAAGCTTTTTAGAATATTGAGAATCCTCTTATTGCAATTGGTATATCTACATTCATATGCTTATTACTTACAAAACATAAACATGATTTTACAAGACTGACTTACAATGTTATACCTCCAATACATAGAGAAACAACAAATAAACATGCAAAATATCACCACCATTTGTAACAGACACAAACTCCCAATCAACTGCCAAGTGCTGAACACCATCCAAAAATAAGTTGGACAATATAAAATATGTCACCACTTCTGGTGATGACATAATAATAAAATGCGATGATGTTTACCTTATCTAAGAACCAGCCAGGTCCCATTCCAGAGTTGTCATGCCCAATCCTGACCCGTTTCAAGGCACCAAGACATGGACTCTCTATTATAAACTCATCCACACTACAATCAAACATTGTTTATTTCAATATAATTCCTTTTATTACTGTTATTGTAAGCCATAACATGTGTATGTAATAATTCTATTTTACTATGAAATAAATCACATATATAAAAAAAAAATTGTAATTCATTTTATTGTAATCTTTAAATCTATACATGTAGTTGTATATCAATTTCGTAACATAAAAACATCATCATCATTCACAAAGTCAATTTCTATTACAAAGCATGAAGATTTTGTACTTTTTAATGATTCATGTTAAATGAACCTCTATAAGTTGAACCCCTCCCAAGTGGAACACTTTTTAGAGGTACCAAAAGTGTTCCACTTACTAAAATAGCTTTTACTCTACTTACGTTCCTTTCTCAAAATTATTTTTTGAAGTGTCGAGACGTCTTTCACCAGAGTCCCCTGTCTCACCAAACATTGTGATGTAAACATTGGCATCTGTCCCTGCCCCACGTTTATCAGCTGTATACACTGTCACTTTGTACTTATTTGCTGCAAATGTACATATCAAAACATCAATTGAGTCACATTGGCACTTTAAAGTATTTTGACCCCTTGAATACTCAGAGTATACCCAGAGTGATGGATATTAGGGATCCCACGATACATTTTGTTTCGATTCGATACGTATCTCGATATTATGAAAACGATTCGATACAAACGATTCGATACACATTCATGTAAATGTCTGTGTTAACAACATGGGGGGGGGGGGGGTTCGAGTCCCCCCCCCCCGTTAAAAAAATTCAAAGTTACTCTTCTGAGCATAGAAAGTTGTGTTGTTATTGATTGTTGGGTTTTTAAAAGACCTCCACACCTCAGATTTACCTTTTGGGTTGTGTTATTGGGATGATGTGCTCCATATTACGAATATCAGCAAATTTACGAGATTTAAAGTTTTAAACCTCGCCGAGGTTTCGCTGTTCATTAAATATTCGAACGTCATGTTTGATTGTCATTCGCTAAATATATTGCAAATTGAAAAGATACTATAACATCTTAAAACACATCTTACATCTAGGGCCCTATCGCATTTATTACGTATTAAGATAATTTATGGTATAATATTTGGTGTGAAAATGCACATAGGGCATCTAAAATCACAAATGTTCGCAAAATTATTGAAAATCCATTTATTGCTAAAAAGTTCACGTTCGGTTTGAATGACGAAAATATGTGGCGTGTCATGTTAGCTCTTCAAAATATTTTTCATTTTTCGCGGAGTTTGCTGTGTCAATTTTGGTTTAATTGAGCTCTTTTACTTACTTAACGGGTGAGTTGGTTTGAAAAACGATTATCGATAATATCGAAAATAGAGGATCCATATCGATTAATCGAATCGGAGGTGATTTCTAGCGATTATATCGGTGCATCGAGCAATCGTGGGATCCCTAATGGATATACGTATATATATCGTATTAGCCTAAAATTGGCTCTAACTTTGACTTTTGTTCATGAACACTTAATACATATTAAAATGTGTCAATATGTTAAGGTTCACTGTGATAAGTAAAATGACCTATACATCAAATATTGTATATTAAGATGAAAAATGCTCTTGAATTCAGGAGGTTCACAGATTCCATATTATATACTTCGCTTCAAAGCTGTTTGACTCTGTACCTGTTAACCGTGTCTGTGTACATGTACCAATAAGCGTGACTGTGAACCAGTTAAGCGGAAATATTTGACTCACCACGTCTAATTGCCAATGGGTCCTTGCTCCCAATAAGATCACGTGATATTGCACCATCCCCCTCACTCTTAGACAGCCACTGGCCACATGGGAAATAATATGTCCATTTAGGGTTCTTCATGTCAGTCACGACAACTCTCTCAAGGTACCAGCCTGCGGCAAAACCAGTGTTGTCATGTTCAATCCTGAAACAAAATCAAAAAATAATGTAATGATTCAGGTCTGGTTTTGGAACTGTCGCAATTCATGATATGGTCCCAAGTCATGGATTTCTTAGAATCGTAAGTTACGATCAAAAACGGACCACTGGATATTAATTAAGTTGCCTTGGATTTAGCACATATTCTTTCATGCATGTAGCTGGCTTGCTAACACTACATTTGGCATTTGGTTATAACACAAAGGTACCCCCATGTAAATTACAATAATATATAAATGTCAAAGAATAATGGCTTGGGGTTGGTCTCATGCAATTTACACTAAATTCTACACTTCAATTTTGTTTAGTGGGTTGGTTAACAATTAAAACTAAGATTTTGAAAAATAAATTTTGAATGGTCTTTTTTTATTCAAAATAAGCACTCTGAGTCTGTTTTGTCAACAATAATGGATGACCAAAAAAGAAGTAAACAAAATCAAACAATCACTCTAATGAAGAGACACACAATTTAATGATTGGACATGAAACAATACAGTAACTGTGCAATATGTACACGGTATAATTACTGCAAAATTGAAGTTTGCCCAATTAGAGTCTAGGAGTCCTAAGCAGTTCTTAGGGGACCCAGATTCGACTTTTTGTATATATTTCTTGGCCTATAATACATAGTATGTTAAAGCTTTGCTTAAAATAAACATTAAAACAGCTAAAAGCACAAAATACAAATTATTACCTTATTTTTGTCATTGGCCCTACACAAGTAGATTTTGCAAAGAATTCATCAGATTGGTTTTTCTCGAAAACATCTTTACTGTTATTCTTCAGGCTGATTTTCTGCGTGTGACCGCTTTTACCATATAAGGTCAAAAATACATTTGCGTCTGTTCCTGACCCTTTCATTCCACCAGTGACTGTCACAATTCGATATTCTGAAATGAAATGCACTAAGAGTTAACTCTAAGAAGCATGTTAGTGCAGATACCATTTTTGTACCAAAATAAAGTGATGGTACATGTGCAATAACAGGTAATTATTAATAAAAAAGTTTTTGTTGATTTAAAATCAGAGTAACATATATAACATATATCTTTTTTAATTAGTAAAATCGCTTCAAAATATAGATATAGATTCAGAGAAAGTTCCGTGTTCGGCATATTTTCTGTCATACTGTGTATCAGGGATAACTTGCTATGACAATTTTCTAACCAGTTGTGATAGTGAATTAGTGATAGACATTATACAGTAAAACCTGTCTAAGTGGAACACCTTTGATACCTTTAATAAAAAGTGTCCCATGCACTTGGGAGGTGTTCCACTTATAAAGGTTCATTTAATACTTTAAAAAGTCGGTTGGTCTTGGAACTCTGAAAAGTGTACCACTAACAGAGGTGTTCCACATCAGAGGTGCTCCACTTTACAGGTTTCACTGTATTTGGAATTGACATATTGATTGGAAAATCATAGATGTTGTAACTTTCTTGTTCTCTATCTACAGTTATACATTTCAGCAAAGATTATCTTAAAGTGCTATTGAAGTCTTCACTTCATCACACATACTGTTTGATGAATCAATTTTTATTTCAATGCGAATCTCACCAGTTTTGGAATGTTTCTTAGCATAGAGTTCACGGCTCATCTGTCCGTCTCCTTTATGTAATGACAGCCATTGTTGACAGTGAAATAACCACGACTTTTTGGTAGATGTATTCACAACTTCTACTTCTTCCAGGTACCAACTATCCTTCTCTGCTAGACCATCATGCTAGAAATAAATATATAAGATATTGTAATTTAGAAAGTTTTATATTGTCCCAGGGAATCGCGATAATATACATATTTAATCCCTAAATCCCAGTCAACGACATTATTCCATTGTATTCAATGACATAATGTAGTATCTCCAAATCACAAAGTTTTCCTCGAATTCTAAAAGTCCTCAAAGCATATTTAACAATTCTAATAAATATGATTCAAAATATCAATCATCTTACCTCGATTACCATGGAGACAAGATCACCAAGTTCTTGACCTCTGACCTTGAACACATGTGTTGTCCCCTTGGCAAATCTAAATCCAACATTCTTCTTTGTCGAACCTGATTTCTTTATAAGTTGCTTTTTTGGAAGTTTTCCTTTGCTGCCTTTTAGTCTTATAAACACCTGGCAAAGTAAGAATAACAATTTGAGAGTAAAGTTTCTTGCTTTTAAGCCATTATCAACTTGGAATTGGTATGGAAATTAGTAAGATACAGAGGCTTCATTATGTATAATTATAAATAATGTACAGTGACACCTGTAAAGTGGAACACCTCTTGAAGTCACAATTTGGAACACCTTTGTTTCTAGAACATTTTTCAGAGTCCCACAACCAATTGACTTAATGTTAAATGAACCTCTATAAGTGGAACACCTCCCAAAGTGTTCGACTTAGACAGGTTTTACTGTACTAGATTTAAATTGTACAACTTTTCAATGAACGCTGCAGTCACTTCTCCAATCTCCGACACAATTTATAACCCAAGAAAATGAAATACACTGGTAATATTATATACAGTACATTATACATACCCTAGCATCAGTACCACAATTCTTCTTGTCACCAGTAGTTACTGCTATCTTGTAAAGAATGTCCTCTTTCCCTTTTCGAGACATTTTCCCCCTGGGTGACTTCATGCCCCGCTTCCCAGATGGTGACCTTGCCCTAGGGCGCTGCAGAACCAGAATCATGTATACATTGTAAATACATCACATAAACATAATAAATTTTCTTTTGATCCCTATGGGCAATTTCAATCCCTACTTCCAAGAAGGTGATTGGTTTTATTATCAAAAATATAAGATAATCGAGACATTGTTTTTTATCATATTTCTATTGAATGTTCTGCTTAAATTACTTACCCCAGAGGGTGGCCTTGGTATAGAACTGAACTTCTTAGTGTAGTAGTCCTGGAGGTGGGGGTCATTGAGGGGGTCATAGGCGGAGAGCTGACATTGTCTCCCACTGTCGGCCTGGGGGTACCCTAATGTAGAGTTAATCCAGCTCTCAATCTTACGAGCTGAAATTATAAATATACAAAAAGGCATGTTGAAGGTAAAACCATATACAAGTAAACATATTTAACAAGTTAAAATAGTAAATCCATAGCGTATCATAAACAATGCACAACAAAACATACTTTATCAAATCACAAATCACCTCTTTTTAATATGAAGGGCATTTTTGGAATAGCCTCTTGAACAAAGATTGTAAGCCAAAGAATCAATATATCATACGTACAGGGTAACCCCACTAAAATGTAAGCCTCTATTTTTGAAAAAACATTGGCAATAATGGTGAAATCCTCTTGATGTTTTGTGCAGAATATAATACATGTATAGCAAACAGTAATATACATGTCTAAAACGCTTCAAGTTTTGGAAAAAACATTTTCAGTCTTAGTCAGCTTCCACATCATTTTTTTTAAGAATTTGCAGTACATATGCTTTGAAATAAGTTAGTTTCAAATTTAAAAATAGAGACATTATTCTAATCTTTGAATAAACGCATCTTCCATAATCAGCTTTTGTCAAAAACAGGTACATGTATCTGACTTTTCATGCTTAAAAATCAGGCATTTTTTATTTACAGAAATCTGAACTTCTGCACGATTTGCTCAAAACTTAATGAGATAACAATAAACAGAACAATCAAAGGTCTACAACCTCATTTTGCCGCAGACCTTATTGTTTTTAAAGGTGAGAATAACTTATAGGAGGATTTCTTACCTTGCCATGGTGTATGTATGCTGAAGTCATCCCTTATCCTACTACTACTTGCCAACCCCACTGAGTAAGTTTTCTGTCTCCGAGGGCTAACATAATTATTTTGTCGCCATGGCAATGAGTTTGATGGTGCTGCCGCCCTACGTGTGGGAGCAGAAGCTGGTCTTCGTGACCACGACCTGACTGGGGCAGCTGCTGTTGCGTAAGGGGGGTAGGGGTCACGTGTGTAGCGAAGCTGACTTGAAGGGGGAGCTGCTGGAATGGTCATACATCGTCGCATTGCCTCAGAATTGGTAAGTGGCTGGGACATGTAACCACCTCCTGTATGATCCATGATGGCTGCAAATTTAGGAATAGCTTTTCAAAATATGAGAAATGAAAATCTCTCCATGCCTTGGAAAGAAGTGCTAAAAATTATACTTTACAGCAGAAACAAATTGGTTTACAACTATCTGTAGAATAAGAAACTTAACAACCCATCAGGCACCTACTTCATGTAGTTTTAACAATTACTATACAAAAATAAGGTGATGGTTTGATAAAATATTTTCTGAGTTCATTTTGGTAGACATCAAATAGATGTAGATGTAGACATTTACAGGTAAAATTGTTTATCCAACAACACACAATCCCTATAAGAATTCAGATATTAATGCATAATAGTAACATTGCCATACAACCAAATCTATCGCAGAAACCACTTAGATTGAAAGGGAATCATGCACAAAAACCAGAACCAGAAAAAAGAACCTGATGGAGATTGGGGTGTAAAGTCGATCAAAGGTCACATTGCTGATATGAAATCCTATGATTATCATGTTGCTTCAACATACCCTGGGACCCCATTAGCGTATTATAATCAGAAATAATTGGAGAGAAAACATACCTGTAAATAAATTGTGTATGATTGAATTGAAAGAAAATCAGCACTTTTTATGGAATTTTTCCCAAATTTTTAACAGGTGCTCCAAGTTCAGTTGGTTTTCTGCCAACTTAGGGCTCGTTTTCGAGTGAATTTCTACATCTTACGGTAACTTAAATACGTCATTGATGTTTTTGTATGTCTAATGGTATTATTGATGACATATTTTTAGTTAAAAAATGCTATTTTGATGTTTAAAAATGAAGTTGTTTTGAACGTTGCCAATCAATTTTGCGCATGCGTAGTAAAGGAATTCTTAATTGACTTCCGCTCCATCTTCACTTTCGATTTAGATAAAACTGTATAATTTGACAATAAAGAAGGGGGTGAAAATTGGATATTAAATGATACTCACCACAATTCTCCATAGTTGAAACTATCAGATTATTTGCCTTCTTCATTTACTAATGTATTCTTCACGCTAAAGTTTTCGCTATATCGATTTTTGCAGACCAATCAGATGTTCTCATTTGACATAGTTATGTTTTGAGTTTTTATATTTTCAAATGTAGAAGAAGAAGGAATGTAATCATGTAATCGCAGAATGGTACATTTAAGCAAGTTCCAAGTTCGGCTCTTAGTCACCCGGTAGACAGAAACTTGGCCAGGGATTAGATCTATATTTCCTATGGATAAGAACCGCATTGTTTGTTTGTTTATGTCCATCTGTAATAGGTGCTTTGATGCCACCTTTGTTTAGTCTCTGGTGCTTGTTTTCCACACTGTGCTATCACTTGTAAGTTTTACACTGATGTAAGTTTGTAAGTTTGTAAGTTTGCTATCTAATAATATTTCAATTATTTTAATTTTTTGAAAACTTTTTGTAAGTATTTTTTATTAATTATCTCGGTCTTATGTTTTTATTCTGTGAATATCACAACGAACCTTGAAATAGAATACCGAGGATAACATATCATCTATATTCTTAGCCTTGCAAGGTGTTAAGCATATTGTCGATTTTTCCAAATAATCCAAAATTTAAAAATCGACAAATGCTAACCCCAGGAGGTTCACTCTAAATAATTTGGGTAAGTACGTGAAGCACAGCCGAGGAAAAAAAACATGGAGAAATCATCTAAAAAGTACCTTTTTTAGGTCAGAGTTCAGTTTTTATACAAAAATCGTTATAAATTGGTTAAATCAGTTGCCACAGCCCCCGGGGGGTTCACTGTATATAAACCTTGACAGGGATCCTCGGCGCACATGGGGTACCTTTTTCGACATTTGGTATGGCAATGGACCCAAATTTTAGGATGTGCTATGAGAATGCCCCCTCATTAAACTTTTGAGGAATGGAAATGGTCAGATTTTTTGGTATGGGATGGTATGTGGTATGAGAATGGTCATGGAAAATATGTTATGGAATGGTTTATATGGTATGGAATTGATCTAGTAGTTACACATATCCTAATATGAGGTTGTTTTGGTTCGTTTTCCTCAAAGATCGCCTTCTTCTTGGGACCTCCTTCAGTTTAAATAAATAGCTTTTTTTCCCAGGAAATATTCTACTTTGGACCAGTCATGGCATTGGTCCTATATTTTGACATTTGGTATGGCATTGGTTTCATATTTGGGCATTTGGGATGGCTTTTGGGCGCTATATCGGTTGGTATGGGAACACATTCAAATTGACATTTTGGTATGGGAATATATTGATATCTGAGGGTTCAGCCTAGGACCCCTGCCAAATTTTGTACACAGTGAACCCCCCGGGCCACAGCCTGGGACAAATCATTGGAAAAGCAGTATTTTATATTGTTTTAGAGGAATAAAACATGGGAACCTTCAATTTTGAGAGTACATTGACATGGAAAAAAAGCTCAAAAATGGAGTCTTTGGTGCAACCATGGGCTCTACCACTCTGATAGAGCCCATGGTGCAACACATAGGTAGAAGCTATTGAAAATGGTGCCAAAGTATCATACTCTAAAATCAGAGACATATAAAACTGTTTTATATGTCCTTGCTAAAATGTACCATTTCTTTTTTGGCTTTTTAATGGCACGATTTAGTGACATGATAATATTTACAGATGTTTTCAACATAACTCTGATCGTACTAATAAGATCTGGATGTATAAGGTCTTTTTAATTGTTTTTATAAAAGGTAATGTTTAAATTTTTGTCTGCTGACAGAGCAGTTTTAATATTTAAATAATTGAGAATTTGCTGAGATTTATAACATATCTTTTACAGCTACACTTTAAAGGAGTGAATGTCGCCCTATGAGAATAAAAATGTCCCAACTCACATTTTTGTGAAACTGAGAAATCAATTTTTGAAAGTTTAGGCATCTGTAACTTAAATACTATCTACCTGTCATTTGTGTTTTTACATTCTTTTTATCAAAATTTTTTTGGGATAATACTGTCGAATTTTTTTCACTTCTGTTCATAATCCAAATCAAAAACATCCAGTTAATTTCCAATTATCTTCTGGATTCATACCTTTTATTCATCATTATCATGAAACATTCAGTTCTTTCCTAATTGGATCAACCAGTTAACTCCTATATTCACACCTTTGTAAAACATCCTGTTGTTTTCTACACTTAGGATGTCACTAAGACTTTAATAAGTTAATAAGCAAGATATTGATTGTTTGATTACATTGTAATGTATAACTATCCCGTATGTAAATATAGATAACAACTATAATATTGACTGAATATATGGCTCTTTTCATGTATAAAGTATTATAGAAATGTCAAGACAAATCCAGACATTTGATTTCTGATAAAAAATGTTCAGATAAGACAGGTCAATTTTTCAAATCTGATTGTTCATTGTTCAGATCAGGAGATGTTCATTTCAAGGTTTTTTAACATGGGAGTCAATGGAGGGAAAAATGGGACCGAAAAAAGTGTTTAGTTTGGACATGGGCTTTCAATTAGATACTTTCATATACTATTCATGACATCTTTTTTTTTATATTTTCAGATAATCTATAGAAGGTCCTGATAGCACTACCTAGTGCTTTTTATATTCAAGAACATTTACCTGCACAACATCATCATCATCATTATCATATTGAGGCAACCGTAGCAATGACAGCGTGTATTCATAAAAATTACTGCAACTATATTTTCTACTGATACATTCTGATCTTCTTAATAATGGCTTCAAAACTTAATGACAGAGCAACAAGAAGGAATCATGGCCAACCAAGAAGACCAGATGATAAGGCCAAAAATGAAAGAGATGTTCCCCTAGATATACCAGAACCAGAAAAATACACACCTGGAAGACATTCAAAAAACTTTTTAAAATCACCAATGGCAAGCCAAGATACATTTAAACCAGCTAAACATGGTCCCTCTAAGGAAACAAATCCTACTGAGAAAAGTGCAAAGCGTTCTCTTTCATACAGAAATAATACAACTCGTGAGGTATCTCCAGCTAAGCTAGCTCGACTAACTGTTATCAATCATGAAAAATGTGTATCTACAAATGATGAAACACCCAAGAGAACACAAAAGAAAGGTCAGTGAAGTTCAAACATTTCTGTTTACTTATACATGTATTTACATTTGTACAGTTGAGTTTCTCCAACATACTTTATTTGAAAGCATTGATAAAATTAAAGGACAGGTGGCGGTAAACCCCTCTTTTAGCCCCCCTACAAAACAAGTATATATTGACATGGAATTGAAGAGGAAGTATGACTCATTACTTAAAATGTGATTTCTGAGAGTTTTGACATTTGACCTTGACACTAGGGTGGTTTAAAGGAACTTTAAACTTTGAGAGTTGCTATTTTTGACAAAAAATTACTGTTTCTAATCCAAGAAATGAAACCAATTGGCTTTATTTTGATTGTGACTGATAATGAGAATGGAAATATGGAAATAAAAATATTTTTAGTAAATTATCACGGGTAATTACCTGAAAATCTTGAGAATAAATATGGGCATTTTTAGGGGGACTAAATTTTCTTGTTTCAAAAATGAATGTTCTTGTTTCCTTTTGAGACTCTAACAGTATCCTAAGCATGTTTTAAGAGTTGGGATGTGATTATTATTTTAAATGCCCATGGGCAATTAGGATGAAATGACTGCAACTAAATGCACACAAGGGCACTTCAAAAAGAATGGATTTTCTTATTTCAATTGCTTCTTGCCAGTTTTCTAAACATGTTTGCCATATTCTAAATAGTTATAGGGTAGTGTGATAATGATAAGTTTGATATTATTTTGATGGTAAACATAGTGTGTACCCATATTCAGACAGCCTTGTGATAGGGGTTCTTACTGCCAATTTCTCAAAGAAACAGAAAACTTATGCCACTTTTTTGAAATTGCACATCTCAAGAACAAAGGTTTATCTACAACTTGCAATAGGTTTTAAAAGTGTATGGAAGAATGAGTTTTTCAGAAAAAGTCTAAGTGGACCAATGGACCTGTTCTTTCTTTATCATGACGAAGGAAGTTCTCATAATATCTGTTGAGTTCAATTATTGTTTTTTGAATAATGAACATTTTGAACTTAAGAAAATCTCAATCTTCTAGGTTTGTTAGACAGAAAATCGAGTTTCAAAATCCACAGAATTGGTAGAACTAAACACTTTGTCAGAGACAATGTTGTTTGGGTTTACTAAAACAAAACCATTAAATAAAATATATTAATGTTTTTCAAATTAAATTGTAACCTGATTCATTGACCTCAAATAAAGTATGCACAATAGGGATTTTTAGAAAATAGATAAAACATGTAATGATACGATGCTAAAATATTCTATAACTGAAACAGTTTTTTCAAGGTTGCTTGCTAGATCTGATACTACCTTTAATGACCAAATAACAAAAATTGATCATATTGATAATGCATATTTTTTAAATTTTTTTCATTTTTCAGATGTTAAAAAAGACAGAGAACAAGTCGCAGATATGGAGCCTGGTGGCAACGATGGTGACAATGTAGAAAGTGCCCAATCTACATCCAACATGGATGTTGACAATGACAGTGAATATGGCAAAGAATATGAATTCGAAAATTCTCAAGAGATGTCTATTGAGCCTGAAGATTCATATGTTATACCAAAAGCACTCTTGGACATACACCCACGTGAGTTAGAAGTGCGTAATACTGGTTGTTATCCAACTCAATATTTCCTTGCTCAAGAAATTGTTGATAGAATAAGCTTAATTATTGGTCACCCTGTATATAGTCAACTTCGTCATGAAGATGTCCCTAAAAATTTGAGTGATTTTAGTGATTTTGATGTTCGTATATATACAGCAAGATCTGTGAATTTACGGGAACAAAACAGTAGTCGTTTGTGTGAAAAAGAATTGGAATGGTTGATTTTGGATGGTGTTTTTGATCCAGTTAGAATGAAAGAGCAATGTGATGAAAAGGTTCAGATGTACCAAAAAACTGGTAGAGTAAAGGATGATTTTAATTCATTCAAGAAACGATCTGAAGAAAATCCTAAAACATTGTTTTTGGTCATAGCAGATGAAGCACACTGGGGAACTGAAACAGCCAGTGAGGCAAAGGAGGCAAATGCCAACCAAACGTACATCAATGAATGGAAAAATGACATACATGGCAATCTCTTTGTTCTTCAAGTTTCAGCCACTCCATACAGTGTACTAAGTGAAAAAAGACTTGTCGATGATGAACGTTATATGACATTAGAATCTGGAGAGCATGTTCTTGAATCAGAAAAACTAACTAGTGTACCATCAGGCCCACTCAAAGATCTGCATTATGTAACCTGGGCACAAGGTACTATTAATCGATTAGAACAAGGTCTTCGCACATCCCTAAAAGTTGCTAAAAAAAGTAGTGAAAATGATCCTGCCAGACAAGTCATCTTAGAGGTAGTCAATGATAAGCTTGTCAGAAGTCAAACAGGTCATCCAAGTGAATTATGTATTCAAGGAAAACATAGTATTGTAACTATAACACATGACAACAAAGCCCTTGTTTTGGTTAGTGACCCCAATGGTGGAAAACTAAAATTTATAGCAGAGGACAAATTCAATGAGAACATTGTCACCAATCAGTTCATTGTACATTTTGATTATGGTGAAGATGTTTTTCAAATTTCTACACCCCTACATCTTCCTGGCTTCCCATCTTCCTTTCAAAATAAACTATTGAAATATGAAAATCGGGAAATCGTGTTAGGTCAAGAGTACTCACCAAGTAAATCTATTCTGGGTGGAAGGCTTGGTGTCAAGAAGACAAGGGATCTTGATTCCTTCTTTATCATAGACACGTGTCAACCCGCTCAGCTTGTTGAATCAGCACCAGAAACCAAAAGATACAAATCGTTGAGTTACATTTTCAACAGCATGAGGAATGAACGGAAAGAAGATCAGCTTATCAGATATGATGATGGGTTTGCTGACCTTGTTGCAGAAATGAAGACCAAGCTTAAGTCAAAACTAAGCATAGAATCAAATCATGGTGAATTTACACTTGCAGCAGATTATTCCTATTATGTTCTCATCACAGAAAGTCTTAGACACCTGTTGAAAAAGATGAGGAATCATAAGGATGCATACATCCCAAAAATGAAATTGCTGAAATGGGCTCGAAAATACCAAGAAGAAAGAGACTCTAACTTCCATGGTTTCATACCTGCCCTGCCACTTAGAGGGGCAACTAGGCATGTTTTCAAAGCAGTGACAGAAGCAAAGTTTAAAATGTCAGAGGTGGGAATCTTGAAGAAGATAATATACATGGAATGTCCTGCCTCTGTTGGTCAAATAGCTCAGAAAGGTACAGTGAATAAAGATACGATTACAGCTCAAATAAAGGCTCAAATAAAAGAAGAACAAGAAACAATTATTTGTAGCATCTATGACAGTTTGCCTGAGAACATTGCAAAGAAGTCTCTCCTGGATGAATATGCCAAATGTCTATCTGATTCTGAAACATTAAAGATAGTTGATGATTTAATACCAGATCAGGAAGCTATGAAAGATGGTCTCCAAGGCAAAATGAAAATAATCCGGTCATCACAACGTGCATATGCTGATATTATTTATACCATGCTTTCCTCAGCTAGGCTTCATTCTGGAGGGACAAAAGACACATACATGTTTGAAATCTTGAGAGATTATGGAAAATTCAAAGTTAAAAATATAAATGCAGATTTTGATGAAAGTACGTTCCTGCACCGTATCAAGCACACTCTCCAAACCAGAGTTTGCCAGTACACAGACAAGAAAACACGAGAAAGATGTCCCTGTGAGAATCTAAAATTTAATGAAAAAAACAATCTAATCTGTGCAAACTGCAGCCATAGACATAAGTCCATTGAGAAATACACCGATCTTGATAATCTACCGTGCATCCTCATACTGGTAGATAATGGCAGAATGGGAGATACATTTCCCCAAAGTTTTAATACAATGGACCTCAGACTTCAATTCCAGGAAAGTGGATCTACACTTACATCTGTAGTACAACAGCTTGGCCGCTTGTGTCGATATTCAGACAAACCCAACAGCAATATGCCATATGCCCTGATAGGGAAAGAATTGTATGATAAATTCCAAAAAGCATTAGATAAAAGCCCTGTATATTATGGTTATACAAATGACTACAGAAGTCTAATTGATACTAGAGTAACTTCATCTGGACAAAGCAAAGGATATCAAAAAAGTGAAGATACAGAAAAACATCACAACAGGATCTTACTTGATGCGGAGCCTCAAATTGGCAAGACAGGTGTTTTTTTGGAGGTGATATGTCTTCTTTGGAAAATAATCAAGAATAATATCTCACCTGTCAAAGCCATTGAGCAAGAGTCTGTGACATTCAGCAGTGACGAAGATGAAGAAGATGATATTGGAGATGAAATTGATGACATAGCTGCAGGGAAAGAGAAAGATGACCAATACTGGTCTTATCCTTATTGGAGAAATCTTAAGCCTGGTAAACTCTATGATAAAGAAGCAACCACCAAAGTTTCCAAGTATTCTAGGATATATGGGCCATATAAATATGGTAAAAAGCCCTCAAATATGATGCCAAGTAACCCAACAAAAAATAAGAAAAAAACAGTAGGAAAAAGGACAGGCAAATACTCAGCCATGACTTACCAGCATACATGCACTAATTGTCGAGTTGAAGGCATGAACTGCAGTGAAAGAACCATTACTGTCAATGGACAACAGATAACCATATCGATCCCAAATCATGAGAATTATCAGAGGGTCGTAAATGTTTTAGAGAGGAAAAGATGTGTGTTCTCTACCTCTGATACTGATATCAATTCATGGATATTCACTCCAACATATGGCAGGCCAACGACTGGCACCCTCAACTACTGCAGAACAATGGTCCAGGCTAACAAAGATCCCAACATAAGGGATACACCTTCAAACTACATACATGTCCTGGTGGTGAGGCCTTTAGAGTATGATGAATACTGTGTTTATTGGAAAAACACACATGTTATTCTGAAGCTTCCTGAAACATTGAGTGATGTCGAGGAAGATGTTTATGAAGGAGGGGTTGGGTTCGCACGTCGGTTTATTCAGATGTTCTCAGAGGAGTTTCACCTAGATACCATATTTATGGTTGATGATAATGTGTCCTTCTTCAAAACTGCTAAACTAATTGAAGGTACTTCACAAGTTGAAAGAAAAGATGGGCATTTAGAGATGGAAGTCACGCCACTGTTTCATATATTAAAACACTATGAACAGTTGGGTTCCAAAACAAAGTCTTTACCTTGCCCTCCACACAACTTCACACCTCATCAATCATCCCCCGATGGCTCTATTCAAAGCTACACTGGGGAAATGTCCTCATTTGGAATAGTTGGTATGATGAAATACCAAAAGGGGAGTTTGAATGTAAAAAATCCATTTCATACAACTCATGTGTTTTCTGTTGTCTTTGTCAACATTAAGGCACTACATGAGAGGAACATCAAGTACAAAGCTTGGCAAGTATTTGAAGACCTGAATATCAACAATGATGTTGACAATGCAGGGCTTCATGTTGTGAAGTTCAACAGATTCTTAATGCTGAAAAGAAACCTGAAATCTTGGTACGCTGACATGTGCACATACAAAGTCAATCAGTTCCATATAGATACGGAGCTTCCAGAAGCGTTCGGTTGGAGTGATAGATTATTTCACTGGATCAGAGCAAATTGTAGACCCAATCAATCAATGATCATAAACAGCGCTGGTACGGAGGATGCAAATGTGAATAACTTGCAGGTTAGAGAAATCTTGAAAAACTTGGAACAGTATAAAAAGAAGGACTCCCAAAAGGGAAATACACTGATCACATTAAATTTGGAGGCAGAAGTCACAGATTGTGTAGTTGACAGACTGAAAGCGGAGATAGAGAAATCCAAGTTGATTTTGTTGATAATCAGGCCTCAAGAGATAAAACGATGTCTGGCTCATCCAGATACCAATGAGGATGAATGTCTCATAGTCAGTACCCACAATATATTAGAATTCAATGTTCCTTATGTGATTCTTCGCATTGAAAGGAGTTCTAAACATCAGGTAATGGCAGATAAACAAGTATCATCTTCTAGTAGGTCAGTTGCAAGTGTGTCAGAGAGTCCAAACTCTAGAAATCAAAATCTCAAATCTCAAGATGAAAATAGTCAACAAATAGTTGGAACAAGTAGCATAAATGTTGATAACAATGATGGTGGTCAGATACCCCTAGAACCCACACAACATTCACAAACTCAAAACAAGCTGAACATCATAGAAACAATGGAAACATTGTTAGCTGAGAATAAAGAAATCAAAGCTGAGAACAAAGAAATGAAGGAAGCTTTAAAGAGAGTGGAAGAAAAGAATTCAAAGTTGATGGCTAAGAGTATCAAAAATGAATCAGTTATAGCAAGGTTACTGACCAGATTAGAAACATTGGAAAACACTCTTGGAACCAAATAAAGGTAATCACATTGCAAGATGTTCACAAAAGGTTTTGTCATTAGTTTTTTGGATCTTAAAGAGATTGAGTCGTCCAGATTTCTATTCTGGACAATCAGTAATGTCCCAATATAATTGCTCATAAACCATCATATATACCTTAGATATATCTTGAGACCAAACATAAGCACGATATCGACAATATATTGAGGATATCAACAGGACAACCAAAAGAACAACCAACTGTCAGAATTGAACGCAATAAGTCGAAAACAGAATACAATGTTTTTTGGGGATTTATCTATATTGTAACCCCTTAGAAGTAATAAATATGGCTTCTCTAAGCCAAATTAATCTGAAGGAAAAAGCCAATCAGACTGGAACAAATTTGAGTGGGCTTTTTAAATTTGAATTTGAATTTCTATTGATGTAAGTGGAAATTCATGGCTAGGAACAATCATCGAATTGATACTATTATACTGTTAACGAATTAATTCAAGCCTCAGAATTGATAAGTTGATAAACAAACTTGTTTTACATCAAATAACACGAAAAAATCAGGAGGTTACTCTGATTGTGTTTTTAGGAGACCCGATTTCTTAAAATATATGGCAACAGTTGCATTGTTCTCAGTGATTGACTTCCTCATAATCTGCCATTTCATTACGATATTATTGTTTTCTGATTCGGGCTCCATCTCTCCCACTTTGTTGTTAGACCAATGAATATGTTTAAAGGTGCAACAATTAGTGCAGGGGGGCCATTCAACGATCATCGACCAGTGTCAAAATATATTTAAGTTTGGATATTTCGATCAAGACTAACATATATTTTTATTATCTACAAAGAAACCCCCGGGATGAACATTATTTCAGCTGATACTCCTCTTGAAACATGGAGGATCTTAAAAATATATAAATGGGACTCCCTTTATAGAAACTTTGAACTGAATTTACACTTCTTAATGCTGAAATTGATAGTTTATCCATACATTTTAAGAAAATAGGTATGTCAAAGAGGATGTTAAGCCAAATATTGACCTGATAGCTCAGACAAAATAAAAAATTCAAATTTTCTCTCTACAGTTCTTGTTGCCCCTTTTTCTGAAACTTAATGGTTTTATGTAGGATTTTGTTTGTTACAATATTAGGTTTTTATATATGTAAGATCTTGCTGTTTATATACATGTTTATAAATCATCTTGAATCTAGTCTTATATAATGAGACCCAGAACAATATTTTGTGATGCTTCTTTCCAGCAGTTTCTTTTTTAGTCTTAGTCACATATTATCATTGAGGAAAATGAAATGAAAAAGCTTTAAAGCGTCAAGTGAACAAAAGATAACACCTCTTTTCTTTCATTGCTCGCGATGTCAGCAGGAACTTCCTCATTTATTAACGGGGCCTGGATATTACCCGTGATTATGAACGTAACAATATTGTATTCAAGAAGTAAGATTATGTAAGTCAAATCATGGAGTTAGATTGATTGTTTAATAAAACCATTTTATTGTGCAATGTAATTACAGATTTAATAGATTATGAATTTTTATATCACAGTAGATTTTAATTTTACATATTATATCTATATTTAACATATAATGACTGTACTAAACTCTTTTTTGTTCAATATATGTTGAGTTTAGATCACATTATTTTTTTATTGTTCATGTAGTATAATCATCCAGTGTTACATTTACAGGGTTGACACTGGATACCCATATAGGAAGTTAAACTTTTAATCATAAAATATTTTAAATTTTAAGTCCAAAGGAAGGTTTATCTTCCCTACTTATGTGATGTTTGCCTAATACTGCTTTTTGTGATTAATCATGGGCATAGAGCCAGGTATGACTTTGGGCCAGGCAATTGCCTGAGGAAAGTTTTACAGAAATATAATTATTCAAATTGTAAAAAGCTCAGCTGTGTTGGCTAAAGTTTTGATAGCTCAGTCGGTAGAGCATCAGACTCTGGAGTGGGCATTGAATTTAGCACATTTCCTTCCAGGTCTGTATCTGGCTTGTTACAGTATTGTTTAGTTAGTCTTTCCCCTGAGGGCACCCTCGGATTTTTAACTTTAACTGTGGAAATTACATCCCATTGTATAGCTTTAGCCTAAAGTCAAGCCTTGCCCAATTTTTGATCCTGGCTCATCCCACCCCGAAAATAATGTGACAATTATCTGTTTTATCATTTTATAGAGTTTATATATTTAACATGTACAGGGTGTCCCGAAAGTATGCCCCCCCCCCCCTAGGCAGACATACACTAATGTTCCCATAGTATGTGTCATATATCATTTTAAAGCTCATCCAAAGTTACATTGATTTGCCAACTATCATCGTTCAACTTACAAATGGGAAAAAGTTACAGGCATTTCAAAACTTAGTGTTTGGCCAAAATTAAAGTTAAAATCAGTATCCTGGAAACACCGCTAACCTGAATGTGACAAAAAATATGGGTGCTATCGTTAAAGAGAGGATGGATATTGAGTGGTAAAAAGAGGTCAGTAAGGGCAGATACTCCAAGGAAACTCTTCTAAAGTGCCTTAAAAAGGTTTTATGAGAAATATTAAATGCCATATCCCTATTTGCAGTGTATTTAAGGTCATATCCAGAAAGAATTGCTGCTGTTAACATGGCCAAGGGAGAAGTGGCGACTATTAGTTTTGTGTAAAACTAAACTTTGATTTTGGTAAAACACTACATTTTGAAATGTGTTTAACTTTTTCCCGTTTGTGAGTTGAACCATGATACTTGGCAAATCAATGTAACTTTGGACAAGCTTTAAAATGATATATGATACATACTATAGGGACATTGGTGTATGTCTGCCTAGGGGGGGGCATACTTTCGGGTCACCCTGTATTATGTTACCACCAAGATCCAAGAAGTGGTGACATATTTTTCTTTTATCTTAATAGCCATTATTTTTATGATCAGCACTCAGAATTTGATGTTTGGCATTTGGAAATCAAAATTGTTACTTTAATAACATGCGACATCAGATATTATATGAACTTTGCCTTATTAGAAATATGCTTTGACTTTTACAGGAAAGACAAAATATTATGTCACTAGAGTTGCTAATGGCAAAATATTTGCATTTTACCACTTATAGAATTAAAGGAATAACGATGTAGCAAATAGCGATAATAGACAGTATTGGTATAATTTTTTTCTTGGAAATATTATATACCTTATATATGTACAGAGAAAATGCAGGGTTAAAAGTCATATATTCCAGTTTTTTACTATTTATACTATAGTTAGTGGAATTCAATTCACAGAATTTAAAAAATGTTTTTATGGAACATAATATCACATAAAATAATTTTAGTTTTTATTTGGAACCTGTATGCAGGTTTTGTACCTGTTTTGTACTTGACTTTGATATTTTACTCTTAAAAAGAAATTGTCAAATAAATAAATATGAATGTATATTATAAAATATATAATGATTATTTGTTAAATTGCTTCCTAGTTTTTTTTGTGTTTAAAATGTTTAAAACATTATGTTTGGTTGAACTAAGTTTCTCCAAAATGCTTTTCATTGATACAATTAAAAGTGAAACAGCAAATTCAATTTATTTTCTTTTTTAACCCAGAAAATCAAACTCTGAAATCTCATGATCAGAAAAAGTTATTGAAATTTGAGTTTTAATTGCATTTTATCTCTAGCAAACAGATATCATAGAAAGATCACATTGACATTAATAGTCTTTAGGACTGTCAACAGATGGCGTAAAAATTCAGTGGGTTTGATTGTGTACTTTTACATGTAAAATTCCTTCAAAAATCTCCCAAGATAAGTTGTGAATTTGACGTTTTAAGACGGGGTAAGATTTTCAGTGAGGAAACACCAAGAAGGTTAAATAATAGTATAACCATTTTAATTCATCATTTGTTTTTCAATTTTTCTCTTAATTAGAGTAATTCTTAATAAACCAGTTATAGAAATGTAATGAATGGCATCCTGGCTTGAAATGTTGACAGTTTGCATAATGAATGTAAATATAATTAATTTTAAGATATATATTTGAAAGCTACTTATTCTGTGTATGAAGAATATTTTGTTGAAGTAATTAGTCTATGTAAGCATATGTGACAATGTTTGAACACCTGGTCTTCCCAAATATGGCATTCAAATTACATGGCAGTTTTCTATAATGTAGCCCTTGATTAAAATGTCAATCCTGCCAGATTTATTTCTTAGATTTTCTTTCTAAATATTAATAATAAGCATCTATTTTGTTTAATTTCTGTGATTATTTAGAGATTTTATGTTATGCCTGTTTACAGGTTTACCTGTATTTTAATCTGTGAACTTTTCTGTGTACCTTTCCTTTAATTACAAAGTGTCATTTTGTGTACGGGCATTGTCTTGTTACACCCATAACTGTAACATATCCCAAATAGCTCACACTTTAAGTCTCTGAAGAATGAAACTATCACATAATTGATGCATATGGACAGCCTGGAATGCAATTTTCAGCATATCAAGGATGTTTTCTTCAATTGAGATTTATGTATTCCTGTTTGCATATTTCTGTTTTGCACCGTATGAAATTTTATTGTTTTTTCTAAATGAACTAAAGGCTCTCATATTGGATAATTTACATCAGTTGGGCGCACCTTTCCAGGAGTTGGGTGTCTATTGGATGCAAAGATCATTACTATTCTCACTATAGTAGCCATTGGCTACAAGAATTCCAAACTTTTAGGTAAGTTTTTTATTTATTAATTGATTATTTTATTATTACTAGATATATATTTTATTTTGCTTTTGATGAGATAAGATGTGACATTTTCTAAATTATTGTTTAATTTAAGATTATTGCATATCCTGAAAATAATGGTACATGTAAATTGAATTGTTGCAATTAGAAATCTATTCTATTAAAATGAAATAAAACATTTGGAACATCTGAATTATTTATTCACATGCAAATTACAATTGTAAGGTGTTACCAGTGTTTGACTGAGGTGTTTGAATAACAGAGGTGTTTGATTTGCATAGGTGGTTTACTTAAAGATATTTGTCAATAGAAGACTCTGGCTTCGGAGGTGTTAGAGTATGGTTCCAGAGATATGTTGATTACAGAGGTATTTGACTTACAAAGGTGTTTGACTTATAAAAACTGTTAGGCTTACATATATGCTCAGGTTGGAAAGGTGTTTGACAAAGATCTTTAGTTTTAGATGCCATGGAGCATGACTTTTCAATTTGAAAGAGCTAATGAGAGGAAATAACATCATGATTCGTCCATTAAAATATACACAGACAACACATGTAGACAAATATATTTTTAGGTCAATTGCTCAACATACATCATATTTAATCACATTTAAATTGACAATATGTTACATCCTTCAGTTATAAAGTTGCTCCCGATGCACATATTGCCCAGTTCGAATAACCAATAAATAACCTCTAAAATACAAACTTGTATTTCTTAAAGTTTAATTTCAACTGATTGGTGATAAGAAAGATTAGTGGAATTGAAGATTAATATCCAATATAATAGTTTTTTGTTATGAAAAAGAAGAAATAAACAAAAATTCGACACTACCATTCTCATAAAAATGATTGTAATTTAAAGTGGAATCTCCAAATGATTATAATATTGGCTCATATTACTTGAGTGGATATTTTTTATTTATAATGTAGAGAAAAATTAGACCATCATATTGTTGTCTGAAAATCGTTCACATCCACAAATACATTCAAATGTGTCAACTTTATAGCAACTGCTTTAAGATTTCATAATTTAATGACTTTAATTACCTTAATGAGTATATATTGGTAATTGTTTTTTAATTGATCTGACAACTGGCGAGGCTCATGTGTGAGACTATAATTGTTTATAATCATCTTACCTGTATGATCGTTTGGGAATATCATAAACTACATATTGTTCTTTGTCATATTAAGTCAGATCATATCTGTAGATCTCTTGTTTTATTTTATCTCGACTGATTTCACAATTGTACAAGTACAAAAGATTGTAAGTGAAAAATATTTTGACATATATGTATATGGCCTAGTCTCGCATTTAGCCACAAGAACCTTATACTGTATTATCTCCCGAAAACCCTTTGTGGAGGTGTTTAGAGGGGGTGCAATACTGCTAGAATACTATTGGGCAATACAATTAAAACTATCATGATTGTCATTGAACAATAATATATATTATTGTTACTAAGACCCTTATAAATTTTCCAATCAGTTAACTGTTTAGTAATTGCATGTTTTTACACATTCTATTTCTGTGATTCCAGGGGTACTTTGGAAATATAAGATCAAGATGGGTGATGACAAATGGAGGTCAATGTACCTGTCATTCTACAACAAAAGCCATGTTTTCATCTACAACATCTCCGGCTACTTTGACAGTGTCACATCACCACCAATTAGGGTTGATCAGATACAACAACCATTACAACCAGAAGAAGAAGCTGAAACTGAGGAGAGTTCATGGAACACACTTTTCCTTTCATTTCACAATCGCTCTCACGCAGCCATCCATGATGTCGATGGTGGACTTGAAGGAATGGATTTTGATAAGATCAATGTTGAACCTGTTACTACATTTGATCTTGATTCTGATTCAGTCACACAGTCGTATTATGACAATGAAAACAATAAAGGATTTGTTGATAAATTACTCAATCTTGTCTTCAGTACAACAGCCTCTACAATCAAAACTGATGGTGATAGTGACAAGCCCACCCTCAAATCCATTGACGAAATAAACACACCAAAGGATGATAACGCATTTACAACAAACGTGACAAACACTGTGGCAGAAACAGTGAAAACCCTTATAAATGTTGATATTGATGACTTTACGATTCCCTCGTGGCTAACGGATCCAGTGACTAAGCCAAGCAATCTGGCTATTTATAAGGATACTGAAGGTATAGGTGTCACTAATGGTACTATTAATGTGGAACATGAAACTGTGAGAAATCTCACTGATTGTATCATGCCACAATCTGTCACCTTCAGCCAGGCTGCATACTTCTACCTGGTCCCCGTTATAGTGTTCATAGCATTGATACTGAATGGATTAGCATTTAGAGTTTTCCGGAATAATGACTTCAGTTCTCACGGGCATACAATATACTACACTGCGCTGTCTATTGTTGATACATTGTTCCTATTTGGGAACCTCTTGGGGCCCTGGTTAGGGGTGCTGCTGGAACGTATGGATCACCAGAGTGGAAATATCTATCACCAAAGCTCAGCCATGTGTAAGGGAATGGCTTATTTCATCAATGTGACGCTATTCCTGTCTTCCTCCTTAATGGTGTCTATGACTATTGACCGTTATATTCTTGTGGGTTACCCATTTCGACATAAACGTTATTGTAACATACGGTCTACTCAAAGAGTCACTGTGTATCTCACCTGTGTCTCTATTCTCCTCAACTGTTATATCCTGTTCGTATGGGATAGCACTGAGATCTCTGAAGTAAGCGGGAAGATTTGTGCTCCGAAGACGCCATCTTTAGTTGCCACAGTGATGACATTAACTGTGAACTTGATAGTGTTATTTGTTGTACCAATCATTGGAATTATCTACATGAATCTTTCTATAGGAAAAAATCTTCCACTGTTGAAGAAAAATGCAACAAAGTTGCGGGCCATCTGCAAGGCAGTGTTAGAAACAAAGCTAACAAAGACCACGCTAATGTTAACTGGCTTTTATGGTATTTTAACTGCTCCATATTTGATAGCATGGGCCATATTGTTCATTCAGTTGTTCCTTGAAGATACAAATGTTTGTCATTTCAAGGGTTCAATTGCTATGCGAGATATGGTAGAGGTTTTGTTTCTCTTAAATTTTGCTTTCAAATTCCTGGTTTGTTTCCTCAGTGGAAGAGGCATGCGAGGTATGATTCTAAAAAAAGTTACATGGGAGCATTTATTGTTGTCTTTTTTCTCATGTGGGTCTGGTAATTCAGGTTCATCCGCATCATCTGTTGATTCAACCACAAGCTCATGTCCTTCATCTTCATCATCAAGTGATAAAACAATCATGTCAACCATCTCTTCAAATCTATATGGCCCTGATGATGTCAGAATGTCCATGACATCACTGTGTTCAACACGCCCCGCCAAAGATCCTGGCTACATGACAACACCATGTAAGGAGAATCCCGCCTTTGAAGCAGATGACCCTAGACACCGAACCAACAAGTCAAATAAATCTAGATATAGCAAGAATGGAACTAGACGGAGTCAGCAGAGTACAGTGAGCAATGTTTGTGACACATTCAGTCCAGCATACTTGGATAATGATGGCCGATACCACATTGATCATGATGATACATACACTGATTGTGACTTTAGAAGTGAGCTAGAATCTTCACTGAGAGGCATGGATGGGAAGCTTAAGAAAGAACTGAAGAAAGGGACATATTGCCGTCAAGATATCGAAGAAGATATTGCTGAGGAACCTGCAAGAGAGGACCATGATCCATCCACAAGACGTGCACATAATGACCTGAGGAAAGCCACAGGGGGAAGACATCCTGAGGATGTATACAAAGATATCAATAAATCATTAAAGGATCAAGTAGATAAGCGACTTGGAAGAGATGAGCAAAGCCCAAGGTACTCCAGAAGAGAGCCCCATGGAGACTATGATGAAAGCCCAAGAAGATACAGATCAAAAGACCATGGTCAAAAATCAAAACAACAACTGAGTGAAAGATCAAGAGAACGCGAAAGACAAAAATTAAGAGAGCAGCAATGGGAAAAGTCAAGAGACCATCAGGGTCATCGGTCAAGTAGAGCATCTGAAAATTCAAATGGAACATGTGTTGATAGCCCTGGATACGAAACCAAGCAGCTGCAAGTCAGGAAACAGCAATATGGAGGCAACTCTCAGAAATCGCCAGAGAAATCACCGAGAGGCAGAAAGCAAGAAAAGCATCGGTTTGATGATGAATCTCCAAAATGGCAGTCTCCGAGAAATTTCCAAAGCAAACCACGATGTAACCTCAACAGAGCTGATGGGACTAGAGGAATAGAAGAAGACATTGAAGAGGAAACTGACTTCCATACCAAGTCACATGTGCCAAAACTCAAATCCCGTCACAACAGAGACAAGTCTCTACAGGAGGAGATAGAACTTTCACTGTTGAAAATGAACAATAGGAAAAGTCAACATTACACAGGTAATGAAGATCCAGAAAGTTCTCTACGAGCAATGAAAAGGCAGCAGAGGCAAAATATAACACAGGATGGACCACATAAAGGTCATACTAGTGGGAGTGAATCAAATGCAGAAAGACAAAGACAGATTTTGAGAAATAAATATGAGGACAACCCATTTGAAAATGTTCCTCCAACATTGAAAAATAAACCAAGGGGGGCTACAAATAGAGACATGTTGTATTGAGGTGGCCAGAGAGGAACAACTTTGAATCAAAGCACATCAGACTCCAATATGATTCATAATTTTTTGGGGTCAAGACTGAAGTCAGAACTGAACCAGACATCTTGGAACAAACATACCAAAATTTGGGTGTGTTTAAGATCTGAATGCATGGATGTCAAGAATGATCATCCCCTTAAAAGTAATGAAATGTTGATGGGAAATAAACTTTTTTTTAATTGTCATCACATTTGGTGAGTATAGTCATCATGCAATCACATTGAAAGTCTAAAAATACTAGTAAGTATTTTATGATGACATTATTTAACATCCTTAAGTTGTTAAAGGTTCAGGTAGGTTATCGCGAGCAATTTCAGATGGTTATATCTTGGATTGTGACTATTTTTCTGACCATGAAGACAGGTATATCTTTTAGATTCCTTCATTATCTCAAAGAAAATTATGTCCAGTCATAATTAAGTCAATCAGACATGGAGATATTTAGCTAGCAATCAACACACTTTTTCAAAGATGTTGACCTCATTTTCACCAAATATGCAATCATGTTTTACAATGGTTTATGCATTACTATTCTTTATTTTGATGTATCAAATAGTTCTTGAAAGGAAAACTGAGTTCCTCTAAGATTAGCGTTCCCCATTGAAAAAGATCATGCTATCCATTGGTTTCAGGTCATTTGGTCATCCAAATTCAGTACCTTTAAATTCCCTGGAGAAATCCACTGTTCCTTTTAGAAAATAGAACGTGTCTCAAAGCACATTCCAACTACGCATTCAACAATATAATAAAAGGTTGCATTTTTGGTGAAAATAAGATCAACATTTTTGAAAAGGTATGTTGATTGGTCCATGTTCCTTTAATATCACTTAGGTCTAAGTAACTAAATCATCATTATATATAAGTTTTTTGGAGATAATGAATGGGTCTTCAAGATACATCCATGTTCATAATCAGAAAATATTCATGATTTAAGTTAGAATCATTTGAAATTGTTTGCGATAACCTACGTGCTCCTTTTGAAAATTTGAATAGAATCACAATTCTAAGAGGCTTCATCTCAATATATCCGGACCAAGAATATATGGACATTTCAAATATTGGAATTATTCCTTGAATTTGTTGTACACATGTATAAGTTTACTTCTGTTCTGAAATACCAAGCTCTAATATGAATTTGAAACAAGGGTTTTTAATTTTACCATTTCTTTAGATATAACATTGAGCATCAGGTTGAACAACATAAACAGTATATAAAAGCAGCATCTATATTCTCATATGATCAATTTTGATAAATGAGCCAGGGCACAGGAAAGGCGGTCTTATCACAGATATTTTCAATATTTTGCTCATCTTTAAAAGTTCAGACCTTTCAAATGAACCATGGCTTATATGTCTTAACAATTTTACCTTGCAGATATAGGCTAGACCAAAAAGAGGGATTTGAATTTAGCACACTTTTAATCTTTTTTGGGCTTGAAGCACAATTTTAATTTTTGTGCTAAGACCAGTTTTCCTATGTTGTCAGGCTCATATATTGGAGAATTTGGTAAATTCTGTAGGAGACACTAAACATCACTCCTGCTCTGGGTTTTCACTTCATTGTATGGTAAAACCACGAGTTGTGGTTCTTCCCAGATTTCATTTAGCCAACCCGCTTTGATTGATACAATTTGTAACATAAAACAAAATTCATATTTTCGATATAATAAATATATTGTATCATACTGTATTTTACATTGTGTATTACTTTGTTCCTTTCTTCTATAGATCTATATATACATCAGTCAGACAAATATTTTGATTAAAGAATTCATTTGGTAAATCTCACAAAAAAGAATAAAGCTCTCGTAATAATAGATATTGGCACATAGAATTTGTTAGTCACAAAATAAATTGGCAATTCAGAATATATTTGATACCATGAAATAATTGGAAAATCATATAAATATCACATTCCTTTCCTTTGTTCACAAAGTAAGAATTTTTGAGCTTACATAATTTACTGAATGCAGCATTTCTGGAGAAGATTTTTGTCAAAAATTCAATAAGGGAAGGTAAAAGAACAATTTCACTTTTGGTGAACTGATATCTGTACTGTGACTGGTACAAATATGGCTACATATCATGCTAAACCAATCAAATTATAGATGGCACAGTTTAAAAGTTGGTTGAATAAAAAAACTCATGTTTCTATAAGGATACCATTAAGACTTGACCTAATCAATATCTTAATGTATAAAATGATTAAAATTGTTGATCCATACATACAAAAATAGTGTAACAAGTTTGTGTCTTAGAATATGATTATGAGAACTATTTATGTAAAAATGTGACACCTACAGTCAAAGAAAATTGTCATTCTGTAACATCAAAACCATCACTATTTTGTGACATCAAAACCATAATGTTAGTAATCATCAGACATCTCTAAATATGAAAACTATGTATGGCATTACATAAAGATGACATCAAAACCATAAATATCATACAATATGCCCTAGAAAAAGAACTAATAAATCACTTGAAAGTTTAAAAGGCACCATCTACACTATAATAGGCACACAGTGAGTTTATGAGATCAACATATCTCTATGTACATAAGGGATCACTAAAGCAAAAAATAAAGTTAGGTACTTTAAATATGACCCTTTGACATGAAGAATGTTACAGGATCAAATCATTTTAACTGAAAATAATGCAACAAAATTGACAAATCTAGACTTATTTTAGCTAAATTATCACAAAAACATGCATGTCTCGCATATATGAGGACCTACAAATTATATTTCTCCAACCAGCATATGTGTGTAGGATGGTGAGAGAGTTGACTCGAGACAACTGAATCACAGAAAAATAGCAAGCATATATTTTGCCCCCAAAACAGTGACCTAGTAAAGACACAAATCTACAGAATGGATTAGCTTGTGAGTCTGACATAACAGAAATTGCACTATCAAATGGCACAAACTTTGGTACCTTTCAGTATAATAAAAAAACATCTGATTAAAATTGTCTCGTTAAGTATTGCCTTGACCATATACAATGCTCAGATAAATACAATCACCGGTTCTCTACTAAATATACATTCAAAAAATAAAATGATTTAGAGTAAACAGCAGCTACAGCTAATAGTCATAGTCAATCAACAATGACTTAAAGTAATAGAGGCAGCTGATGAAACATTGACTAATTAATTATATTGGCTAATTTGGAGCAAATAATAAACTTATACGAAGAATTCTAAAAAATACATTTATTTCAAATTAAATTGTGAGATAAAATCATTTTCAAGCAGCAAGCATTCTTGAACAAATAATGCATAAACATAATTTAGCCAACTTTACATATACATTTATATAATTAACTAATTCATTATTATTCATTAACTTATTGTACATTTGATAAATTATGAATGTTTCAACATTATGATGAAACTAAAATGACACAGAGCCCAAAAACAAAATTCTGAATATTGTAATCATTACATTTCATCATTCATATTGACTGTTACTAAGGGCATACAATGAAACTATGTGGAATGACATCACCATGGCGATGTTTAATGACATCACACTCATGAACTGATAAGGCCTCTTTAGTCTTTATCTTGTCAGAAGTCTAATGCTAAAAAGATTTATATTGATAGGTATTGCAACGAAAATTTTATTGCATGGCCTTGCGAAAGTGTTTTGGTGTTGCATTAAAATCACAATAAAAAGTCCTAGCCTATACAATATTTCAGTGTAGTTTCAGGCTGTATAACTAATATTATTAATAACTATACAACATTAATACAATGTACATCTTCCAATTCGCAAAAATAAATATATATACAATCTGTATTATTTATACATTTGTGACGCATGTTATTGCACTAGTCATATACTGTATATACACACAACATGGAAATGTAGACATCCAATTGGAAAATATTAACTTAATTAAAAATTGAATGAATCCCTAATTAAATAACAGTCTCAGAATAGTGAATTAACCATGATACTAGGTTGAATCATATTTTGGGAAAGTATTGAAGAAGTAAAGATATGCATGAATCATGTGTGAAGTGGGAAGATTGACGAAAAATTTAGGGAGATGACAGCCTGTAATCCACCCCCTGCCCTACTTTTAATCTAAAGAAGCCCGGTGTATATACTATTGTTCTGTCAATCAATTGGTTGTCTACATTTCTATGGTTTATTTATAATTTAGGGTCCCAGTTCCCTTGTTCAAATTGAATCTTTTCCAGATTTAGCTGCTCATTTACATAATACTCGTACACACTAAAACCATTCAACATTACAATCTACTATTTAAAACATTCTGTATACTAGATAAATGGACAGTGTCATCACTCTTTCTTTTAATGTATTCTACAATATTTAACATTTCAGAGATTCTGTTTAATATGTTTATCTCTATATATTGTACCCAAGTTTTGTCTGACTAGAATATAATTCATTTATGCCAGACAGTTCAATCGAATTCAAACTTTAAGTCACTGACTGACTGGTCCATTCGCATGCAATGTGTAAAATTCAGGTTTCTGCTTAAAGGAGAAATGTTGTTGTTCTTTTGGCATCATCACACAGTATAGCTGTGACGTTTGAGGATTATCGGATTATCTATTAGATGAGGTCTCCTGCATTTGCATATCTTGAAGTAACAAACGAAAACTTGAGATCTATTTCAGCTAAGTTGAATTAGCCTAAATCGACAGGTGTCAATCATGAGGACTGGCTGATTCGGGGAGATCTTTTTCAAACAGACAAAGAGCGTGGTGTACAAACTCGTACTGTTCATTGGTCTGGATCATACCACCCCTGCAAGTATATTACACACAAATGCCTTTAACAGCATTGCTAATATCACAGGCAAATAAAACATACAATTACTTTAACATAAAATGTTAATTTCACCAGCAGATATAACATGCATGTTTATCATGTCCATAACTTATAGGGACTTAAAATATAAAACATCTGCGGTGGTTATTCTTTACTATGTATACTAATGAGAATGAACTACAGAACTGAACAAGACACTGACATGCAAAATGTCACCACCAGCCATTTTTAAAGACGCCCAACACCGAACACTGATTGCCGGACACCAAATGGCAAACACCATCCACATCTGGTGGTGACAGACAAATAGATGCTAATCATCCTATGAACCTACAGACAATGGACTCCCCTGTGTTCAGCAAGCTGTTATAATTGAAAATTGTGTGGTAAATGAAGATAACTGGAATATTTTGATCAGTATTTACTTTTAGAACAGCTGAGAAAATCCTGAGGAGGGCACTAATTTCCGTGGTCACATTTGCTCCCATCTTCAACAACGGCACCCGGCCGAATGCAATTTTGAACAAAATACTCATCGACCAGGCGCCGGTACTGCAAATTGTAGCAAATGTGACCCCAACATAAATGAGGTGAGATAAAAAGAGTATTATGGCAACACAAGAAACATGATTACTAACCTGTCCATCCTCATTGCACAAACAATGCCCAGTATATCTACCATGTACTCTTGCTGTAGTTGCGTCATCCCTATACTAGTGGCTATGAAACAACCTGTACGTCCTATACCAGCACTGGAAATGGCAAGAAACACTTTATGATAAGTCTTAAAATAGTCCATCTTCAAGGGAATGAAAATCAATCTGAACTGATTGAAATCTAGATCTCTGAGTATAGTCTTTTGTGTCAAGATAAACGGCAGGAGTGACTTTAATTGAGAAATGCTTTTGATGGTAAAGACTAGAATGGGTTCTACTATGACTGAACCCACTCACCTATCACTTATATATTTGTGAACTCAAATTTCCAAAATCTGCAGTGTTCCAAGTTTGCACGATATAAGTTTGAAATGGGACCTCTTCTTTACGCAAACATTGTGAGATCTTATCCAGCTCTACTTGAAGCCCACATAGTGCAGTCTTACCAATTTGTACTTTATGTAACAGTGTGTGTTCTCACCTGCAGTGGACCACAACAGGGCCTGGTTTCATACCATCCTCCAGTCGTTCCAGTCGTCTAAGCTCCACCTCCTGAACCAGGTTTAGCAGTTGTTTAGCAGTTTCAGGGGTCTTATGATCTGGCCATGCTGTGTACCAGAAATGAAGACAGCTCTTGGAGACATCCTTACACTGGAGCAAGATATAGTTAATTAGATGAGGTCATGATTGCAGGACAGTGAAGGGTAGGAATATGTAGAAAGTTTGGCATTTGTTTTGAAGTTTAATTTCATCATTAAAATGCTTGAGACATGATCCTAAATCGGAGACAAATATAGTCTAGCAGATGAGGTCTTGATTGTAAGGTGAAATAAATGTGGATATATCTGTAAAGCTAATCAGTTGTTTTGGAGTATAATTTCATCATTTAAATGTTTTTAGACATCCTTACACTGGAGAGAAATAAAGATAATGTCATGATTGTAGGGCAAAGGAAGTGTGGTAGAAAGTTTAGTGGTTGTTTTCTAGTTTAATTTCATCATTAAAATGTTTTGAGCAAAATGATAACTTACTTGTAGCGTAATTTGCCTTATCTGGTAGCCTTCCTTCTCCCTGAGACTCTCAACTGTCACAGTGATGTTCCCATACGTCTCTGTCTTGTTAGGGATATAGTTCTCACACTTAACCTAGATGAAATGTACAAATATAAACATGTTAGTCAAGTTCTAAACATTTTGTAAACTCGAAAACACAGGTTCTGTATTTCGAAAGTTATGAGACTGATCCCAACGTTCAACAACAACAAGAAAAGAAATTTAATCATGAAAATTGACAGATTTAGGCTTCCAAGGAGAACACAGTAGTCAACAATATATCGTTATGGCTAACTGGACTGTGCCCTCACACTCATATGATCATCACCATAATCGCATGGTTCCAAAACCCTAAGGTTAAAAACAGGATAATTTACCATATGAGAATACAGTCCATTGTCAAATAGGCCACCATTTTTCCAAGGTCATTGTCAAGAGTGAAGAGAGATTGCCATTGGCAGTCAGGCAGTTGTGAATTTAAAACCTTGCATGATCAGAAAGGAATTTGAAAATTCTCACCTTATTTTTCTCTTGAAGCTTAGTGATGCTGACAATGATAGGTGCATCTTGTTGCCATATCATGTTCCAGAAGTCTACTATGGTATTAGGCAGTACTCCTTGTGTGGCAATATACACCTTAGGGTCGGCACTATAGCCCTATAGCAACAAGATATACAGTATAAACATACAGTTAATCAGTCAACCATGTCAAACTGGCTTGATTGTTTTTAAGAACAAAAGCCACATGATGAAATCACTATCCATGCGTCAAAATTATTCAGTTGTATCATGAAAGATATATGTGTCTCCAAACTTAAAATCCAAAAGTAGTCAGACTTCAAATCCAAAAATACTCAAAACATAATACAATGAACAGTAAGACTGATGATAAAGATCACTCTACAACTTGACATGTATTGTATTCAAATACCCATTCTGTACTGAGAAAAAATCTGCAAAGTTATTTTGTCCCAACATATCACTTGACCCATCTATGTTTCAACACATGTTTTCAAATATAATCCCTAATCACCTACCCGTATGTAGTTGGCATTTATATATGTCGAAAGTGGATCATCATCATCATTCGCCTCTAGATGGACTCTTGTAGATTCGTCTGAAGCAAAAGATGTGTATGATCAAACCATGCATGTTCCTCAAATTTTAATTTAAATGAATGTATCACTTTCATTTGTTGATGCTCTTGCAGGGGTTTCATTAGCAGCAGGCAATAGGCGATTTTCACCAGTTGTTTTCACAAAATCGCCTATTGTTTTTAGGGACTTTACAACTTTTCCATGTTCAATTTATGATTTCCATTAATTTTGCCTGTTGAAACATTTACCTAGCCTGTTGTGAGAAATTCTAGTAAAACCCCTGACTTTTTTTCAGAGAAAAGTTTTTTCGCCATTTGAAACTATAACATTCAAAAGTGTAGTATCAGAACCTGGTTCAAACATAAGATTGTCATGGTAAATGCAGTCCAGAAAACTTACTTGGCAAAATAGTTCTGTATCTATTCTTCATCCCAGATCCTGCTATAGCAACCTTCTGAGAGTCTGGATGGTTCATGGGTATAGCCTGGAAATAATTAATACAGTTAATATAAGTGTGAGTTAGTGACACACCTTTGGTAGTGTTCAACTTTAAGTGTCCCCCTTGCAGAGGTTCATTTACTAGATAGTATAAGTTAATGGGTAATGGGACTTGGAAGTGTTCCATTTCTTAAGGTGTTTATAGAAGTTTAACAAGTTTAACTGTAGGCCTATTTCAAAATTTTTATTGCATATTGTTTTATGGGATTAAATTTCCTCTCACTACTTTTAGCGGTACCAAGAAAACACAAAATATGAGAGAAATCACAAAGAGGAAGGAAATCAAACCCTTAATTAACAAGCTTTCTCACGGTCTACAATATTATTACCCTTTTTTGCTTACAATTCCCCCTAACCACTAATGATTAATAATGATGCCTATATCATAAAATATATCTTTATATTATATACCAAATGTAATATTATGTACAATAATTGAATATTTAATGAATTAAATAAAAAAAATACCCAGAATTCTTCATGTAAAGCTTTGACGTCTTTCAATGCATTCCTAAGTTGTTTACGACTCATTCGATTCCCGGCAGACAGCAAAAACTCCTCTGCATGACTGGAATTATGGGTAATAAATATTGGAATAATGGATAATAAAGTGTTGGTATTATGGATTACTCATGACTTGATAATAGATATATAAAATCATTCTCCTGACTTAGATATATTATTCAAGATATATTATGTACAATAAATAATTGAAGAACCAGTATAAAACAAGTTCATATCTTCATGAGTTTAATAATTTCTCTTGAGCTTGTTTCATTTGATTTACATGTTTTTTTTCAGATAATGAAACCAGAGAAACACAGAAATATGTAATTACTGACCTACAAGTCATATTTAAGAAATTCAACTATGTAATGGAAGCCTAGTCAAAGTCTCCATTTGTTCATACCTTTCTTTTGGAGTTGGATTCGGGTTGGGAACTTTGACTGGAGACATTCCTGGCAAATCTATAGTCAATGAGGCTGTTGAACCGCGTCTGCAATAAAACAACAATGAGTTATAGAAGTCTAGAATTTACATTACTATTTCTTTAATGTCTTTCATTATATTTTTCATTATTTCTAATGTAGTATATTTTCTCATCTTGAAGAATTTTAGCCACTGCAAAGATTGACAAAAACACTTCAATAGGTATTTGTGTAACAATGCCAGAACATCAAGTTACACATTGGGAATCAATTCAATGAACAGCAGAGCATATATAATGATGAAATGTACAGTATTTCACACAATGCATGTACTAAGAAATTATCATATGGTATAAGGTCCATTTTTTAGCCCTAAGAAAATTCTGACATTTCCTTTCTAGAAAAACAAACTGAAATTTTTCCGACTATTAATTATAATTAAAGAAACACTTTTGCGAAGTTATTGTAAAATAGGCAATTTCGAGCTTCCTTTGAAAAATCTAAGCCTAGGCGGCATAAATATGTAACCACCCTCAGCCTGTAGTATGTATTATGGGTACATACCTCTCTTGAAGTCCCCTGGTCTATGAATATGTATTACTTAGATGCTATATGCATTATGGGTACATACCTCTCTAGGAGTCCCCTGGCCTTTATGAATGTGACAGGTTGTAATGGTAGTGGCCCTGAGGTCTGGTGAAGGTATACATTCCCAGCCTCTGGCTGAATATACATCTCATTCTTCAAGTTCAATTTTGCAACTGGGTAGACACAGATTTGTTGTCCATCTCTCGAAATATCACTGTCTCCTTTCTTCTTATGGCAGAAATAACATAGAACCTGGAGCAATACAAATTGTAAACCTTTCATTACCCAATCAGATTGAATCATAAAATTCTGGAGAGTGAAAATATCAAATATCATCCCTCAAAGAATACAACACTTGACATCACTTAGCAACGTTTGACATTATTTTCCTTGCAACATGTAAAAGGAATGAAATACATGTACAATTAACTATGACAGAAAATGTTTCCACAAGAATCTGATCAAAAAAATATTTCCTGTTGTCAAGAGTTTAATTTTGGTTACCTTTAAAATTTTGAATTTCAAACTTCGACTCATCTTTTCTTGTTATAATGATTTCCTACTTACCACTATCAGCACCACAATGAGAACCAATGCCACCACCGCCCCACATACAATATATGGGAAGAATGGGAGGTTCCAAAAAGCAAACGGGTAACTATAGTTACCATGTATAACAATGTCCTCCTGAAAGAAAAGAAATATCAAAAATATGATTCACAAAATGAAGATTCAGACTTATGAAACATTTTTTATATGATTAAGATGCATGTAGGAGTATGTTAATTGAGAAGTAGGCTTACAATGCGGAGGCTCAGAATATCAAAGGATATCGGGGAAAAAAATGAATCAAAAGTTTGTGCATAGCAATATAACTATTGATAGTTTGTACATAGTAACATATCTAGTGGAGGAGTCGTAGGACCATTAACCTCTTTTGTTTACATGTAATTCTTGGGTTGGTATGTTAGTTGCATTCACACATGAAAAATGTCTCTTCCCTAATCATTGGGATTTTTGAAATTTATTTAAATAAAAACGGGTACACTATATATATGCATGTGCTTAGACAAGTATATCTTTGATACTTACAAGAACTAATGGTGTCAACATTTTTAAATTTCCATCACAAGGAATTGACACAAATAAAGAACCAAATGTATATTTTGAATACTCTTCACTAAATCATATTACTGCTAGCCATTTTTTTAGAGCTTTCCCATAGATACCAATACTTTAGTATACAATTCTATCTTCTGTAGTGTTCAGTATTTCAATATTTTGTCCCATCAATCTTTTTTATTTCACCTTATCTACCTTCATAAATTATATATGCACCAACAATGTCACTTTCCTGTGTTCTATTATAAACTGACAATGAACCTCTGTTAGGTGATCACCCCTCAAGTGAAACACTTTAGAGGTATGAAAACTTAAACTGTATTAAACTTAAATTTCCACTTAAACTGTATTAATTGTGTTCAACAAATTTCGATTTGGTTGTATTTTTGTTCAATTAACATGACTTCAACGTCCAAAATCATTTTCATGAATCTCAGATCTGTCTGTATTAACAGATATTCCAGTTCTTCAAACATGTCTTAGACATAATTTTCTTGCAATATTCTTCTACTATGTATAGTATCCTATTGTCATCCCATTTTCAATGTGTCCCTCATATTTTAAATGATTCTTATTTTTCTAACATCTCTTTACATGCATCCATAGAATGGCACCATCATGTATTCTACACTCAAACTATATTCATATTTAACGGTCTAAATATACTCAGATACACGCATATGTATATAAATATACATGTACAAATGTTACTGTTAATTTGTTCGTAGACTAAATCACCGGCTGTTAATTAACAGTTCCTGCCCATACCTATCTTTACTACTTTAATAACACGACACAATTAGTGATTTTCCAGTAGTTTTATCATTTTATGTTTTTGCGAAAGCCCATGGTTTTTGGGAAGACTTTTTTTATACCAATATTTGGAGATTGGAATCTCAGATTTCTTGGTGTTGAGGAGTGATTCTTGCTCGCAGACAATAATTGATATCACTTAGCAAGATATAAAATAAGTATATTTTTGATTGTTTACAAATATCGAGAAAATAACTCCTTTGATTACCTCATGACTTGATCCAAATCTTAGAGTTGTAGTGCTACTATGGGATCCATCTGGCATGGTGGTTGTTCCAAGGGGTCCATCATCTGAGCGTTTAAACAGTACATTGTGAAGAATACCAGCCTTCACCATGTTGTAGCTAAAATCCACAAGACAGCTTAGACAAGACATGACACAATGTGCTTTCACTAAAACAATATAAAGCTGTAGCATTTAAAGAAATTGTTCTTTTATGTTCCTTGTTAAGTTCTCAATGTTTATTTTTCCGAAATAATTGTATGATCAAAGTAATGCTTTATTCTTCCTCATTCGATGTTGACGTTTTAGGTTAAACTATAATACTTAATAAATAAATACTGTAACTTCCTTTTTATAAATGGACAAAAAAGGAAACCTATCATAATATAAAAAGGAAACAACAAAATTAATCCGACCTGATTACAGCGCTAGTGATTAAATAAGAAAACCTAATTAGGCCTGATTACAGTAATTAATAAATATAATACCAACAAAATGATGAGAGAAAAAATAAGATAATCTGTCTTATGGAAGCCATTGATTTCTGTCATCTCCTGACCAAAATCAACTGTAGTATTTCATCTTTGTATTGATTTTAACCTGGAATCCATTGGTTAATGTGTCAAGGGCTGATCTTGATTTATTGCTCAACTTTAATTAGTTCACCTTGGCCATTGAAAAAAGCAATTGATTTTTTTATGGTAATTTTTATGTTTCCTGTGTATAAAGTATGTTCTTTGCATTGCATATATCATGACAATGTTTGTGTCAAACTTCTGAGTAGACAAAAATAAAAATGGTATTAAATATCTCTGTACTATTATGGGGGGGGGGGTGGTACAGAGAAAATCAGTATGGAGAAATGATACTTAAAACACCACAAGTGCTGATTTAGGTTGACAATTGCATGGACAGATATCACTTACCCAACAGTATGCACCATGGACATTCAATTAGATAGATATGCTAGAGTGTCCATGATACTCACATACAAGGCATTGACATGACAAAATGTCACCATCTTGTTGCTCACAATATTATGAGTTCAATCTTAGTCAGATTTGAATTTCTTAGAACTTGTAGATGATTTTGAAAAAAATTGGTCAATTTGAAGCAAAATGAAAAAATACCTTTTTGACCTTGAGAATGTTATTTAAGGTCAAATCTTTTTTGACCTTGAGAATGTTGTTGAAGGTCAAATCTAAAGTCAGATTTGAACTTCTGATAACTTGTGGATGATTTTGATAAAAATTGGTCAATTTGAAGTAAACTGAAAAAAGACGTTTTTGACCTTTTTTGACCTTGAGAAGGTCATTGAAGGTCAAATCTCAAATCTAAAGTCAGATTGAACTTCTGATAACTTGTAGATTATTTTGAAAAAAAAGAATTGGTCAATTTGAAGCAAGTTGAAAAAAGACCTTTTTGACCTTGAGAAGCTCATTGAAGGTCAAATCTTAAATATAAAGTCAGATTTGAACTTCTGGAAACATGTAGATGATTTTGACAAAAATTGAAGTCAGTCTAAACACTATTTGTTAAGTTATTGGAAGTTGTAAGAATTTGTTACAGACGCCGATTGCCATCCGCCGTTAAAAAATGGAGACCATAACAATATGTCACCACTTTTTAATATAAAGTCAGATTTGAACTTCTGGAAACATGTAGATGATTTTGAAGAAAATTGAAGTCTGAGTCTAAATAGTATTTGTTAAGTTATTAGAAGTTGTAAGAATTTGATCACCAACTGCCGATCGACATCCGCCGTCCAAAAAAAATGGTCACCATAACAATATGTCAAAATGACAAAAGGTGACCTGGCAAAATAACTGAAATGAAAAAATCTGGACATGATTTTAATGATACCAGTTTTTAAATAAAACGATATCGCTATTTGATGATGGCAACATGATGAAATCTCCTAAGTTTTAAACAACATTCTTAAGGTTACATAAATGTACCTTGATATTGACAAGTCTGTGAAATTTACCCCTAGACTTCCCTCCCACTGTGCAATTTTAAGCATTCATATAAGTACCTCTTCAAAGAAGCATACCTAGTAATTAACGAGTTCTGTGATATGTTACGTCAAGACTCTCCAAGGCCTAGTACTAGCACAGTGCTGCCATCTTTATGTAGGTTAGTCTAACCAGTGCCATTAAGACGACTTCTACATTTCTGGAAATATATGTAATATCAAATTAAATATCTATAGAGTGATTATAAAATGTGCGAAGAATGTATATTATTTATAATCATTATGCCAATAATGTATCAACATTTTCATGGCATTTCTTATTCTTGATTCATGAGACTGAAGGAAATGTGAGTCTGTTGTGGTTAAAGGGGTCGTTAAATAGTATCAACAAGGTTAAATATACCAACAATGTTAAACAACAATGAAAGCACATTTCCAAAGAAAAAAATCCTTAAACAAACTAGTCTACTGTAATTTCATTAGAACCTCCCTTTCTGAAAAGTCGATTGCAACATGGGTTTTCAAGAGATCTTGAGAGCCCATGATTGCAGGTCGTGAAAAGATAACCTTTTCGAGCAATGATATCTTAAACAGTAAAGTGAAGTATCCATAGTTTGTTATTATTCCACTGAACTATTCAGACTGACAAGCTTGCACATAATTTACATGCTTGGAAACTAGTTGATCTACAAATCCAGCCCCACTTAATTGATGAAGCAGAATCACATTCCGCGAGGAAGGATACTATTATATGGATACTCGTGAAAGCTAATACTGATTTAGTTCTATGTAATTACCTGTACGATATTCCTAATTAATTATCCTTATTGATAGAATGTCCACATAGAGCTAGGCATGATATATCACATTCCAGTCAATCAGAACACAGAATATAATACGCATTCTATACTTTACAATACCCTGCATGCTGAGTCTAGTTATAAACTACCCTTTGCCTAGCATTAAGACTATATTACAGATTAGCAACCCCGCCCTCACGATCGGTGCCTATGACAGTCCAGGTCATAAATCATTTCAAATCTACCACAACGGATGAATTTTTAGAATCAATGAATTTGATTACCATCATCAATTTTATAATTTCAAGTCTACAGTTGAAGGAACAAACAAACGGGTTCTCTATATTATCCCCACGAAACTTTGTTTGGTGGGATAATTTTAAATAACCCCAAAGATGATCGTTATGATATATTCAATATGTATTTGTTGTTGGATAATCACTCCAATAAACATAAGCCCAGGTGCTATTTAAACAGGCAACATACCAAAGATTAAAGAAATGTTCACCGGCAAACGTCAGATAAAATACCAGTCTCTCTAATATCAAAACACATAAAAATGTTCTTCTAAAATATAAAGTATGCAGTTGCTGCTAATAACCACTGCTTAAAATCAAACTCACATACAGGCCACAGGGGCGGATCTGGGAACCAACAAGGGGGAGGGGGGTCAAATTTCGGGTCAGAGAAAAAAGTTTTGGGCCCCTAAAACCCAAAATTTAGTCCAAATGTTGAGGCCCATTTTCTTCAAATTTGGCCTAACATTAAAAAAATAAGTCCTTTAAAGGCCCAGTGATGACCAAAAGGCCCACTTTTCGGGGCCTTAAGGCTTTTTTTGGTCCAACATTTATTTAAGGCCCAATTTTTTTTCTGGGCCCACCCATGGGGGGGGGGGGGGGGGCTGGCCCCTAGTTCCGCCAGTGGGCCAATAGGCAGGGGAAGTTTGGGGAGGGGAGTCAAATGAAATCAAGCAACTTTTCACAATTGTGACCACTTTTGAATCACCCCCGTTGGATTTAAAAAAACGGAACTCGTCAAAACCTGGCAATGGACCTGACATATATGTTGGTTTCACATCTCTCTATTCTCTGGACTACAACATCACTTCTGTAACATGTCATCATTTCAACTCTTTCCCAAATATTAGCAACTTACAAACATTTGCTTTTCAATTCACATTATACTACAGACTTAACGCTTTCTCCTTTAATATTACAATTTCTCACTCTTACCCATTATTCAGTGGGTGAAAATTCATACTTATTACCAGAGGCAAGAGTAGGAATAACATGCCTCAGTCACATTTTATCTACGGCAACCGCACAGTGGCCATAACTTCCCAAAATCAAGAAAAATATGCAGCATAAAATATGGGGATAAGCAGTATGAACAATGCAGATTCACTTTTGTGAAGCTACAATGGCCGCATGCCCGCCGTAGAGCAAATGTGACCGTGGCTTAAGGATCAATGGTGTAAAGTACCAAAAGTTTTCGATGAATGGATAGATCGACCTGTGTGGATGATTCCATATGTTCAACACGTGAGCTGAAAATCTGATTGGAATGCTTCCATGTGGGGTACTACCTGGACGAACAGTTGCACAAATATTCAACAGATGAGATAGGAAGATGTTTTTTTTACATCAAGTTGTGTTGCTTTACAGAACACACTATCTTTCCCAGATACTTTCAAAGTTCCAGCCTATGTTTAAATTATCCTTCTGCTTGTATGTATTTTTCACCAGTTTTCACAACATTTAAATGATATATTTTAATTCTCAGACTTTTATTTAGTTTTGAGTGTTTGTAACATGCTTGAATGTTATATTTTTTACATATCTCCTTCTTTGTGAATGTTTTGTGAACTAAAAATTTCAAACCTTAGTGCATAAGCCTTTCAGCATCCATATCTAAATGGTATTGGCATTTCGATGATCTCTTGGTTTTACACGTTCAAATGAAACTCAATATAAAATAAAATTCTCACCTTGCAAAATAACAGCATTCATTTCAGAACACGTCATGCATGTACTAGTATGTCTAAGATTTTAACTAAAAATAGTCCTAGTAAAGATGATTTAAGCATGGATAGTGAAAACATTCCTTTCCAAATTGATTTTCATGCAATATAAATAGACTTAATTTTTATCATAATTTTACCTAAAATAAATGACTTAAATTGATGAGCTGTTTTAATCATACTATACGTAAACAAAGGGCATCAGATAATTAAAATAACAATGAGAAATATCATAAAAATCAATGCGCATGTACTTTCATGCTATAATGTTAGTTGACCTTGATTCAACAAAGTATGCAAATCCATGGATAAGTAAGACTTCATCTCCAGTTTAGCAATTCATGAGAAAATGCATTTAATTACTTGCCTGCTCCAACTAAGTTTTGATTACGTAGCTTCAAAAACCAAAAAAAGCTATCAACCTTAGCTTCAAGAATAGTTCTGAATGATTGGTCTAATCCCCTGCAACCTTTTCGATCTTTGTTGTTTTTTATATTGTGAGGGAAACGCACAGTTATTGATCGGTTGAAATGATTGATTGATTTTTAGTAACATTGACCAATCGGCTTGCCTTCAACAAACATAGTTTAGTTCAACTCCCACATACCGAACCCACACACATATTTTTTATTTTACCCGTAAATTAAACACCAAAGTTATCACTTTTTTTCTTACCAGATAAGATATATACCCAAATTATAATTTGAATTCAAATATCCTTTAAATGAAAAGTTAGTTGTACATTTTTTATATAGATTTTTATTTGAGAATTAACACACTGTGCTATTAAAGCAAATTTATATTTGATATATTTAAGACGATCAAATGTACGTTTTTGATTAGAAATTAGGTCTTCACTGCGTCGCCTGTAAACATGCATCTATGATATCTATGTGTTTGTGTTCTTAAAATGTTGCCCTTTGTGCTTTTTTGATAAAGAAAAGAGAAAATCAGGATTGTAACAGAAACGTGGGTAATTTATGGTTTAGAATGTGTTTCACATACCACACATACTGACATTTATTGATCTCCAGCTCTAGCAGGTCAAATTCGATGTAAAAAAAACAGTTCAATAAAATATATACAGTGAAACCTGTCTTAGTGGAACACCTTTGGTACCTGTAAAGTGTTCCACTTGGGTTGGGAGGTGTTCCTCTTATATCAAGTCTACGTCATATAATATTCAATATGGATTCACCTGTTCTACATTATCTTGGGACTCTGAAAAGTGTTTTACACTTGGAAGGTGTTCCAGTTATAGAGGTTCATTTAACACTTAAGTCAGTTGGTCTTGGGACTCTGAAAAGTGTTTCACTAATGGAGGTGTTCTATTTTACAGGTTTCACTCTGCTATACAGTAAGCCCAGTATAGACAAGCTTGAGATTTCACTGAGAAGTTTTACACATTTAGATGTTTGTTTATGGGACTCGAAAGGACATAACACATGGACTTCAATACTGTTAATTTTTGAAGTGTTCACTTTTAAGAGATGTTCACTTTTGTTGGTTTCACGGTATGTAACCTTAATTTAGCCACAAGCCTTTGTGACCTCCAACTACACACCTCCCCACAAGAGGTGTCGAGGTAGAAAAAAAAGGGGGGGGGTCCAGAGAATTGAAACAAGACTTATATAATGTCAACACAATCTAAACTGGTTGAGATGTTCATATACCAGGGGTGTCTAACCCTATTTGAAAATTGGGTGTGCTTTTCCAGAAAATATACGTGGCGTGGAAAGTTATTACCTCTGTAGGGGATTAAGTCCCCAAAGCAAACATTTTCAGCAAATACATTATTTGGTGCAATTGGAGCATTTTTAAAAACTATAAATTGTTCTTTTCTGATAAAAACATCTTTCACAGGAATCTCATAAAAAGAATTTCTGGGCCGAGTCTCCCCTTTTGACGCCCATGTATATTCAGATAGACAATTCAAATATTCTAAAGGTATTACACGAAAGTTTAAGGTGTTCGGGAGATAGAAGTATATTTACGAAGACAGGATTTACTGTATTTAGAGACTATAGTACTACGTATAATCTTTACTATTGATTCACCTATCCTATATTATTATAAGTATTTACACATTCCCCTTTGCATCAATTTACATTAAAAATGCTTTTCAACATTTAACTCCCTCAATGAATCCTCCAAAAATTGAAAATATGCCAATGAGTGTTAAGTGTTAAGACCCCAAAAATAGAATGTAGAAGGTACAAATTCACAAGAAGTGCAGTGCATTCATAGACAACTGTTTTTTACAAGAAAAATTGCTATAATTCACATAAAAGCGGAAATGTTGCATGTATTGTATTGCCTTTTTCTGGAAGCTTTTATAAGGTCTGAAAGGTTTTGCTTCAATGCTTTGCCACAAAGCTATTAGTGGTATTGCAAATTATATTATGTATAAAAGGCTTTTAAGGGACAATTAGAAAAAGTGGGAGCAATTATTCAAAAGACGTTTCAATTTTAGCTTATTTAGCTAATAACATTTCCTGCTAATTAATGCCAGAAATTTCATATCATATTCAAAAGAACCCTATTGCTCCCTCAATCCCTACAAAAGAATCCCATCCATTCCTTATTCCCTATAAAAAGAGCATATTGCTTCCTCGATCCCTATGAAAAACCCCATTGCTTCCTTATTCCCTACAAAAGAACCCCATTGCTTCCTTATTCCCTTTAAAAGAACCCTATTGCTTTTGAGGATTTGCTCTAAAACCATGGAAAATTACTTCAGAGGTCTTTTTCAGTTTAATTAGAAATTTCCAGATATTAGCCCAATTAGCCAGATCAGATTTGACTCCTCATACACATACCAGAAAAAAGTAATAAAATGGAAACTTTATCAACATCAAGGCAAATATCATTACCTGTGATTAATTATCAAAATGTCAAAATATGGGACAAGAGCTAGAGCGAGAATGTAATTGTCAGTGTCATGAGAACATATTGCTTTCCTCGATAATACAATATGGCAGATATCTATAGTCACAGTGATGTTGAATTAAACACAAAATATCTCGTCCTAATAACTAGTATTGAGACAATTGATGGTTATTTGCTTGAGTAATCATATCCTCACGATATGTAACTGAGAATGTTTACTACAGAGGATATAGATCCAAATTCCAACATCATTTCCCTCGTGGATGCACATGACAATAATGACTATGTCGAAATCACTATTGAGGTGATATTTAAAGGCCCCATGTAAAGTTAAAACCACTTTGGCTTATATTGTAGTCTTATCCAATGTTATCAAAGTGTGATATGTGAAACTTTTTTTTTTAATTTCAAAAAGTGGTTTTTGATAGACTTTTTGTTCCAAAATTTGTGAATTTATTTAAAACCAACTTTTAGAGGTCACTCATATCTTCTAATTAGCCACAATTCATACCAATGCATAGCATACATCCTCCCATGTTTTTTGCCGAAAAAATTAAGAAAATCGGTTCATAAACAAGCGAGAAATGAACTTATCAGTGCATGAAAATGGTTCTGAGAAAAATGCATTTCAAAATTTTAGTTCTCATAGAAACCAATGGTACAATGATATCTAAAACATAATTTATTCTTCCTTTTAACCTGGTTAGACAATCAACATTGGTTTTTTATGAAAGTCTAGCATATTTAGAAAAGATTGACATCGAAAAAAAAAATTCAATTTTTTTCAAAAAGTTTTTGTTTCCTTAGTGACATCACTAATGTTTCAAAATAGTTTTGCTAAGCTAAAACATTGAAGTGGCCCATTAAATATGACATTTTATTATTGAAATAGTGTGTCTTTTGTTCAATCTTTGCATTGGTGTTAAAAAGATAATCTTTTTTGAAATGCATTAAGAAATATTTGATGATTACGAAATTTCAACTTTTTTTGAAAAATGGCGGGAAATTTGAATATTTGAGAAATGAAATGCTCACAACTTTTTTTTCAAAAAAATTTTTTTGTTCAAAAATCTCTAAAATCACTTTTTAAGTCCTGACAAATAGTAAATGAATGATAAAAAAATATTTTCAAACTTTAGACGGGGACTTTAAGCACTTGCATTATTTTGATGTAACATCCTAAATGAAATTAAACAATTATTGATCACTGAGGGATGACAAGCCCCAGCCAATTTAATGTATAACATCTATCCTAATTCTAGACATACGTCATATCTATCTGATGTTTTAAAGGTTTCTACATATAACTAGAACCAGGCATTTTGATACTCATCACATCTTTCTGCCTTCAGCTATAAATATGATAGAGAAACTTAAAGAAGGCCATGCTTTCTCATGATGAGAACCAGGCTGCTTTGCGATTCATGCACAGTTGTGCAATAACAAAGAAACCTAACTCTGGTCCATTACAGCAGTCTCCAAGCTGCAATAGAGGTATTTATCTGCCATTAAATGGATTGATTGCATTTGTTTGTTACGCAAGCACAGATACAGACAAGTCAGTCGGGAATGCAGTGTCTAACTTTTCATTTATCAATTATGGTATTTACAGCCTAGAGGTGGGCTTTTTCTATTAACATGCAAAATATCACAACCTGCCACCCTGAATGCTGACCACCAAACACGAACTGCCAAACATCAACCACCGAACACCATCCACAAAAAAAGTTGAAGACTACAATATTATATGTCAACACTTCTGGTGATGACATAAAAATTGTAATATATGCATATCTTTTAAACCATCCGAATGTCGATCTCCAATTTTAACAGTTTGCCTTTCCATGTTTCAAATGCAACAAGATGGAAATTGAATAAGAGAGTTATTTCATTTTCTCACTGGGGTTAATATCTACATTTAGAGGTAACAGAATGGGATACAAATAAGCCAGTCTACCTGTGGAGGGGTGAACAATTTTAGTAAACCTACATTTAAAGTATTTTACCAGCATAATATCAACAACAAATAAGGTATCATTTTTTTAACAAACTGACGTGCTTCCAAGAAGATTTGAGAAGTTCTCGATTATTTAGAAATGATATGTAACTTTAGTTTCTTATCTCTTGAGCCAAATTTAGCTGGTCCAATATATCTTACCTCAATATGCAGTGGTTAGTGTGCTGCTTCAATCACGTTCACATGTGTAAGAGGAATATAAGCAGCTAGCCTTGAGAAAGTATGTCTGGAAAAAAGAAATATTGAAATACATGAGTTGATGTATCGTGGCATGTGCTTGCATAATCGTTTCTGGAGGTCAAACCAATAGTCAAATACGACGAAGCAAATAGGTTTTAAGTAATATCCGAATAGCAAAAATTGATATAAAGTGAACAATAAATGTGAAAGTAAAGTGATAAACTCAACATTTTCTGATTAAATTGACAAAAGTTCATAAGAATACCAGTTTGGTTCCAGAGTATAATTTTTATCAATGAGTTGATATTGAATATCAACACAAGTGAGCAAAATGAGTGTTAAATTTGATATCTACATGTGTATATAAATGATATAAAAATACTGATATTGAATTATAATTGAATAACTCAGCTTGTATTCGCAAATGCAAATAGCGGCTACCAGATTAACCTACTATTTTATGATCAACTCATGTAAATATGAATGGAATAGTGGCAGGTACTAAACATATATGATTTAAATGAGTTGCCAATAAAGTAGTAAGTTAATCCGTTAGCTGCATTCGCGAACACAAGGTTAATCTATAATATTCAGCAAAATAAATGATCTGATCTAGTTTTCAGATTTGTTTATCAGCTGATAAATGGGCACTATTTTTTATATCTATCTGATAACTGGAACTTTTATTGACTTTTAATGATATATGCATATACAGTAAATCTGATAAAAACCTTTAGAAAAATATCACAAAGATCTCTGTAATATCAATAGATATTAATGGATGTTTAAATACAGATGATAAAATGAGCGTGGGATAAATACATACACTATATGCTTTTCCAATTTGTAGATTGACATCATATTTACTTTTGGATTACACTGGGTTTATTTCTGAATATATGATCCCCACCAGAGATAAAATAGCTGATATGCCAGGCCCATCCGAGGGGTGGGGGTGAGGGGGGGCATTCAGGTCTATTTTTAAAGTAATTTTTTTAGAGATTTGTATTTTAATGGTGCAAATATGGTTCTCTTGATATGCTCAGAATGCACCAGATTTTTTCTGGTAGACATTCAAGTCATCCCCCCTAGCATAGCTTGTGGTGCTCAAAACCCATCTGTATGCAAGTCATCCCCCCCGCCTACCCCCCCCCCCCACAAAATCTTCAAGACATTTTTGTGTATACTCTTTACTTAATGTTTCAGCCTTATTTCAGTGCTAGCACAATCTGCCAAGTTGTTTTGTTTTTATCATAAATAACATGATCAGTTTAAGTAATGATCTCCCTTGCACATAGACTAACCTGGTAACTTAAAGTAAGTTAAAAATCTGAAAATTATACACCCCCCTCCCTAGTTAAAAATCTCTGCAACCCTGCCAAAATCGTAAAATATTTAGATATTTTGAGCAAAAACAAACAGAATGAGGGTTTACCACTAGGTTGAGAAAATATTCCTGTTTGTAAGAACATATGATATTTGGCATCAACACCTATATAAATTACAAGTGGAAATGCCAACTCTCATATTAATCTTGTTCTGATTTCAAAAACAATCCCATATCTTTTTGTTAGGGGCCAGGTCAAAATATTGATGTTCGTAAAAAACGTAATTACCCTAATCTAGTTAGGTCTTGCCCCTTCCCCCTTCTAACGAAAGTCAAAAGGTTGATCAAATTTTTCTTTATGAAATTTCCACTTATGATTTGCTTTGTTTATTAACGATTTTCTATCACCATCCGAACTTATCAAAGACATGTTGTTTTCATAGTTAGAATGTTAACGATTTGCTTTATGAATGCAAATGTTGTTACCTAGAATGTTTCCAAACAGATTCATTCACCACATCCCTCTTAAATAAAATTGTATTTATAGTCAGAAAATGTGCTCATTTGCATAATTTGTGAACTTTTATTTTTTCATCACAAATGCAGGATTATGGCTGATATGGGATCTAATACGGGATCTGATACACTAGAGTATTTTGGCTGATGCATGGGATCTTTTGAATATCAATTCTATTCCCTGTCTAGTACCCAGGGAAAACATGTTATTATGGAATAAAAAATAGATATTCACCTATAGGAATTTGATATGGGGAATATTACAAGGATATCAATATTTCCAGAGGGAATGCAGTGATTGAGGGAAATATAAGCTAGCTGTACATAAATGGGACATCTAGGGAGTTGAGTAAAATATTTTCATGGGACATCAGGAGACATTGTCCTAGGTTGTCCAAAATGAGGGGCATTTTATTATGTGATGATCATATGACCATTTTCGGACAAAATGGCGATATATTCCAGACATCATCGAACAAGATGGGAAAACGTAGGTAATTGCCCAATGATGTCCGGGGGAAAAGGGGGGACAAAAGTGGACAAGTTGGGACAAATCGGACAATGTCCCATTGGTGTACGGCAAGCTTTAATATTATCCAAGGGATTTTCCCCATATCATATCATCATTTTGGAATTATCAAAGTATTCCATATAACTGTCAAAACATAAACCGGGATAAAAAATTAGTGTTTTTCTTGGTTGATGTAGCCATTGTAATGTTGATGCTACAGATGAAGTCAAGGATTTCCCTAGTTCAACGTCGTTAAACTCAATAACGGCGTTCTTTATTATTAGGAATTTTCTTGGGGCCATTATTGAGTTTAACCTCCTTACTATTCTTTCCTTTGATGCAAGTTCTGAATCCATCGAAACCATTTTTCCGCGATAACGTGCAACTGATACTTGACAATAATATAAAAACACATAACATCAAGCGATTTAACACAATATTATTGTGTTAAATGTTCATTTATACGAGTAAAATGAGGCTACACTTACCAATCTCTAAAGTGACATTTCCGCATGGTCCGTCATTGTGTCTGTTCGTCTGAGTGTCCCGGATCGTAAAATTAAACTACCAGCGAAACGAAATTGTTGTCAAATAGATTGATAATTATTATCGCGATTACTCGGGATAAAAAGATCAACAGGTATCTTTAATTTATATAGCGCGTATATACACGCAAAATAGTAATTAATTGCAAACCAACTGTTCGTTAATGCAGTGCCGTGATGACGGTTAATTCCTGAAACGATTTGCAATTTCGATGTTACCGAAACTGACCGACATTTTCGTCATATTCCAAACCTGTCTCCAATATTTTCGTAATTATGCATCAATAGGGTCTAAGGGGGATACGGGACGGGGTGTATGTGTTTATAAGGTATGTATGCATGCTTGAATCACATTCTTTGTGTAATATTGCCATGTTTTCAGGGTTCAATTAGTTCAGCTTGTCGAAACCTGCTGAACGATTAAATTAACGCATCAAAGGCAAAATGGTCATGGAGGTTAGACCTAGCCGGGCCATAACACATGTCAGATAAGAAACGAGGCCCGGGATAGGTCTAATGTTGTTGGACTAGGATTTCCCTTTTACGTTATCGCGGAAAAATGGTTTCGATGGATTCAGAACTTGCATCAAAGGAAAGAATAGCAAGGAGGTTAAACTCAATAACGGCCCCAACAAAATTCTTAATAATAAAGAACGCCGTTATTGAGTTTAACGACGTTGAACTAGGATTTCCCCAGATAATATATGTGATGATATCGGAACTTGCTGGGTGATATGGATATGAAACCCGATATCATCACGCTAATTCCAATATCAGTTCTGATTACAAATACATGATTTATCACAAGAGCAATAAAACATGCACATAGACCTAAAAAGGAAAATCAAAATGATAAGTCCCCAAAATTTATCAGCCATGCAAAAATGTTGCAAAATGAGAAGCAAGGTAAATCACCTGTAATTATAGTATATACTGCCACGAATGTAAATAAAAATGTTTGCATAAAATACACTCACCACGATATCTATATGATAGACTGCAAAAATACCTTGATTTTCACGTTATTTGTCGAAAACATCTGGAACCCGTCATTCATTCATCAAGTTGACTGGAGCACTGCTAATATTGGTTGTCAATACGCGGTAATGTTGCAAGAAATAGTTCCTGAATGAAGTACGTTTTTAGTGAATTTGAAAGTGTTTTGCTGAGTCATATTAATCTTGGTCGAAGTCGTAATAATTGCTTTTGATTTTGATCTCTTATTAAAGCTTAAAATGGTGTTGGATGCAATAATTTTAGAGTAAGAATGCGTATTAACATCGAACTCCCGTGCAGTGATAGTCTTCAACATAACACTGCGGCGGGCAGGTATCTCATCGTAAGCATGGTAACTTCGTAATAAACAACTGACGTGATTGGTTCTAGTCCCATGCTCAGGTCGCGTGATTGTAAAATTTAGACAATTTCATTGGTTGAATTGCGCGTATTAACTAATAAACAACACGTGCGGTAAACTATTATCAACAAAACTTTTACTCAGAATTCCTTCCGCGGTGATTTCTTCTCATATTTCAATAATTTTGAAATATTTTGACAAAATAATGATTGGTGAACATAAAAGAACATATATTTTATAAGTTGTATGAAAATCAAGTACATCTGTGACAAAAAAGGGGGACTATCTTCCCCAAATTTTGGGGATTCCATAATCTGCCCGCCGCAGTGTCTATACCGAGACACTGCATGGGAGTTCGTATTAACATGCCAAGTAGTTCGATCAAAAATGATGTCATATGTAAACAAAACAGTTCTGAACGAAACATGAACAAATTGCAGTCATATTATCCCGGGAGTGACACATCTGATGTTGACCAATGGAAAGAAAGTCACCCCTCATTCTTTCTATCAAAGACATAGTTTTAGTATAGAGAATATAAGAGGGAGGCAGGAGGAGGGCCATTTACTCCCCATAGGTTGAACAGACAATAGTCAGATTGAGTCGTCCAGATTTCTATTCTGGACAATCAGTAATGTCCTAGAAACATACGCCAAAAGAGTTCTAATTGAATATGCGCATGTCATTGGTCAATTCCGGGCTCAACGATGACATCAGAAGGAATGACCATATAAAGAACGTCGGTCAAATTTGGCCGACGAACACTGATTGGCACGGTGAGTTCACAGGTTTATTTTAGTTTGAAAGAGTGAAGACGAAGCTCTCTTTTAAGAAGTGAAGTCAAACGAATGCAAAGGGTAGTTCAACAAGTTAAACCCAATACCACGGCTTTTATATATTAATCTGAATTTGCGGGCCACAAGATATGTCAGATAAGAAATAAGGCCCAGACTAGGTTTAACTTGTTGAACTAAATATATAATTGCTCATAAATAGAGGATATCCTATGATTTATGAGTGATATGATTTTTATCCACGAATGGATATGATATCTGCACGAGCGAGCGTAGCGAGAGAGTGCAGATATCAATAACCATGAGTGGATTAAAATCATATCACGAGTAAATCATAGGATGTTCTTTTTATTCCATAGTTAAAGTCATCATAAGAATCGTCGGAAATTAAGTCATTTAATTCGAATTTTCCAAACGATCCGGCGATGTTGACACTTAGCCTCGTTTTGAGTCTGAAGTAGCAAAAATCCATAAACCATCGCATACGACGTCGTATGTCATGGCTAAAAAAACGTATCCCAAGTCAGTGGCGTAGGAACAATGTACGCCAAAACGCCAGTGCGTAGTGTTGAAAAGTGAGAATAAAAAGGCTTGTCAATTTTCCTATGTTATTTATTCATATTTTCTCATTGTATTGTCCAAAAGTAATCTCGAGCACACTAGCCTAAAGAAATGTTTTGTGGATACCATATGATACGCTCGATTTTTTCAATAGTACTTCTTTGCATGGTTTTGTGCCTCTATTTTTCTCACCCGGGCCACAGATAAATGACACTTTTTGAAAAAGAAAATATTAGTGAAAGTTACCTTGTTTCTACAGTTCTAATACTGTAGAAAGTGCAAAGTAATCAGTATTGCTCTGTTTGGCAAATAATCAATTAACAGATGAATTTCATTGCCAACATGCTTTATTTCATGAAAATCGAGCCACTATTGACTATCTTATGGATTTTAAAAGTAAACTACAATTTCGCCAAATATTTGTGATTCGCGTTCTCTTCACGAATTTGAGAGAAAAACAGTTTTTTTTCAAAAACTACTTGATGAATACCTTTGCAATTTTTGTGCATGTTCCGTAATGCTTATAAATGCAAACTGTGGTATCATTTAATTATCATGACGAACCTCTTTAAATCAGATGTATTTTTTTTATTCTCCCCTATCCCCAATTTTTCAATTTCACTATATCGATTTATATTCCGTTACTAGGCAAAATCATAGACAGAAATTATAGTTAAGTCAGCAATTATCTATTTTCTTACTAAATCAAAAATTGCTATTGGTAGTACATCTTGAAATATGAATGTTAAAGACAAAAACAACTTGAAAATGTTGATTATTCAATTACGCGTTCAGATTTTTATTTCATTTGAGAGATAATAGATTATTGTATTGGGAAATATAACATTTTTGGCACCCCCTAAGTCACGTTGACCTCGATTTGACCTTTGTGGTGGGAGGTTTAGTTGGTCTTGCGAATTAGTGTTATAAAAAAGGTTGCAGACATTGGGATATTGTATTATTGATCACTAATGCGTTTCTTTAAATCAATTGATCAAACTAGATTCTTTAACCTGTACGTATTGTCGTATTGCACGGCACACGTTGTTATTTGGAAATCATTGTTATTTGGAAATCGGTCGTCTATATCGTTCGAGACATAAGAAAAGTGAGAATGATTTGTGTCGAGATTGAAAAGATCGGCTTTCCATGGTGATTTTAAATAATGAAAATCATTCGAACATTTTAAGCACATTAAAAAGGTATCAGGGATTTTAAGCTTGCATATAAAATCGAAACGTCAACCTATACGTATGACCAATCGCCCATACAAATGCATCGCTTAATAAATATTTCCGTTCACATTTAGGTTGTGAAAACATTGCAAGCTTAAAATCTCTATTGCCATGAAATGACGTTTTACGATCATAAAATAGGCCTTTTGATAAAGAAGATTTGACACAATTGTTTCATATTTTTGCCGGGACTTTTTGGCGTAGTGTTGAATTAACACCTTCCTACGCCCCTGCAAGTAAAAAGAAATGGCAATTCTCATGTAATAATTGGTTAACTTTAGTCTAATAATTATGCATTTTGATAAAAGTTAACCTATTTGTTAAATGAGCATTAAATCAATGAAAGTTGAATGCCAATAAATAGCTATTTATTACACCTATTTATTATTTTAACAACTATGTTATAATGCTCTTTGAATAATTGGGTAACTTTTTGTCATCCTTGCTACCCTAGGTGATAAAAATTAGCTAATTGTTAAGATTGGACTTATAAGAAATGTGGCAGTGAGTATTAGCAAAATATTAACTTTCCCGCTCTTTTTCAACCAAAAGAAAAATGGCTGACAAAGAATGTTCAACTGTAAGAGATTTGGGTAATTTTATGATTTTATAACAATAGTATGAAAATGACCAATCAAATATAGATTCAGAAGTTACTGACATACTTGAACATTCTGCATGTCTACTTTGTGAGAGGTAAAATGTAAGTATTGCTGTGTTATTCCAGTTTAGATGGGGAAATCTTCTTTTCTTTGTGAATTTATAAAGGCTAAATTTTAATTCTATTCATACAGTCAAAGTGGTCAAGCATAAATGTGTTGTGTATGACCAATTGTACCATGCAGTAAAAATATAAGGTATTTTATAAAGATTATGAAGATATAAATACTGCTGGAGGCCTAGAGGGTCCTTCAATAACTGTGAGCCTTCTGGCCTTCAGGACAATTCTGAATGGGGTAAAATTACCAGTGATGTCCCATAATAATTGCTTATATCATCTTACATACCCAGGGCCAACCTAAAATGAACAATTTGCGTGAGATTTCCAAAAATTGTGGTACTTTTACGGGAGATTTTTCCAAAATCTGGTAGTTTTTAAAAAAATTGGTAGTTTTCGCCGTAGATTTTTAAAAATCAGGAGTTTTTGAGGTAAATTTTGAAACAACTGGAGTTTTAACGGTAGATTTCAAATAAAACGAATTATCTCCAGTTTTTTTCTAATAAAAGCAATAGTTTTTGCGGTAAATTCTGCAAAAAGTGGTACTTTTGTGGGAGATTTTTGACAAAATCTGTATAGTTTTTGCAAGAGAATTTTGAAAAAACTTTAGACTTTGCCATGAAATAATTTATACGCTTTGCATGGCCAAATTTGGATATTCACGCGAATTACATAACGTTACACATTTACTTCGAATTTGTGTGTCCCTACCCACCTAATTTTACATATTATTTAATGTTTTGGGTTAATTCTTATAGTAGAAAATAAATTTCGAAGACCATAATGCATCTTGGGTAAGAGTAATGCAACAAATAGGTTTTAAATAGCTAATAAATAGGTAATACTCTGTTAATTCTTAGCTAACGAATACCTTAAAAATTTATCATGCAAATTAGAGAATATTACCACAATAAATATGTACAATATTTAGGTAATACTCTGTTAACATATAGCTTATTATTGGAAGATAATCAATACATGATTATTAGATTTCTAATTTTACCTTATTGTTACAATGTAATTTTCATTTGATAATCAGTCAATATTCTACATGAGCGTTGAATGTTAACAATACCTTATTATTAACACCTAATTATTAACGTAATTCTCTCTAATTTGCATGATAAATTTTTTAGGTATTTGTTAGCTAAGAATTAATAGAGTATTACTTATTTATTGTCAATATTTTCCCATTGACTTTTTTCACTTGGGATATGCTATGGTTAAGTGAAAATTTGTCAAAAATATCATATTTTACCACTGATTACAAAAATACCGTTTTTATTTTCACATGTTATCCTATGAATATCATGCTAACTATGGAATAAAACATCATATAAACCTTAGATATATCTTGAAACCAAATCATAAGCACGATATTTACAATATTTTGAGTATATCAACAGGACAACCAAAAGAACAACCAACTGTCAGAATTGAACGCAATAAGTCGAAAACAGAATACAATGTTTTTTGGGGATTTATCTATATTGTAACCCCTTAGAAGTAATAAATATGGCTTCTCTAAGCCAAAATAATCTGAAGGAAAAAGCCAATCAGACTGGAACAAATTTGAGCGGGCTTTTTAAATTTGAATTTCTATTGATGTCAGTGGAAATTCATGGCTAGGAACAATCATTGAATTGATACTGTTAACGAATTAATTCAAGCCTCACTTTAATTTTTATCTATTTAGGTTTTTTTATTTTTTGGATACTTTTTTTAATTGAACAAAACTTTCATTTGTATAACTATGTGATATTGAGAGGTCTAAGAAAATGTTGTATATGCCATTTTGTTTCCAACAAGGTTTGGATAGATATTTTATTTCATTCTCAAGAATTGCTAGAAAAGAACAAAAAACAATTGTGCTGAAAACAAAAAATTTTCACATCAAACTATTGTCATAAGTAACCATTACATAAAGGATTGTGTTTTTACAGAATGTTTACAATAATTGGATATATTTTGACGATGTGTAGTTTTTTCAGAATATTTTGATGACTGGTTTAAGAGAAACATGTGTTCAATTTATTTCACCATATCACTACCAAACCTTTTTCTTTGTTTGCATGGGGTGGGATTGGAAGATTTGTCCCCATGGTAAATGTTTCATTATATCAAAGAAAATAATCGACTCCATCCAATGGGTATTGTAGACATTGCTATCATTTCATTTGGAGCTAACCTTTAAGTTCAATGATGCTGGTGTATCATACTCTAGAATATATGTTTTCTTTTTAATATTTTAATGTATGGTACGATGACTAATTGATTAATTTATAGGTTCTCATCATGAAAACTTGGAAGTATTATAAAGGACTTCATATCTCTATAATAATTTCTCAGTCAGTGATACCTCAAAGATGATACCTAAGGCCCATCAAAGGTCAATTTAAAAATCGATATAAGCCACAAAGGGCAGACCAACTGTACAATTTGAAGTTAACATTTTCAGGTTCAAACTGACATCTGCAAGTTAACTTTGGGTAATTAACATTCACATAACAAATACATGGATTCCACATCATTATATTTCAGCTTGACCAATTCACTCAGGTAGGGCCACACAGTACATGCAATACATACAGAAGTGGTCACATGGTACATTTTTTGTACACCAAATACAATTACAAAAAATACAATCACATTACATGTTACATACATTTTAATTACTGCACATTGTTTCTTAATAAAATAGAAGCATCCCCAGGTTACTGTACTCCCAGTAATAACTTTCGAGTGCTACTATATTTCAATTTAGAAATCCACAAATATGATAGCCTTGAAATTTCCATAGCCCAGCCTAGTTCTGATTCACAAAATATAATAGTCGCAAGATTCCCAGGAATATTTCACTCAATGTTGACGATATTGCCGTCCAGTGCTGGGTGATAAAAGGAAGGAAGGTACTGTTTTCTCCAATTAATTTCAGGTTCTGGAAGATTTTTATCAAAAGAAATTAAAGAAGCTGAGAGAATACACAAATCCGCAAAAATAGAAAGCCACAAAAATTTCGAGAAGTTTCAAAATCGATAGTGTCAAATATTAGTGGGAGTACAGTACATTAGAAATCTAAGTCAAGGTCTGCATCAGTTAAATCATCTGGACTTTTAAATAAACTTTGCCCAAGAGTTCCAGGTTTCCCCAACAGAGGAGTTTTAGGTATTGCTGACTGTATTTTGTTCCTCTGAGTATTTTCTGCAACATTCAAAATATTGTTTTGCATTCTTGTTTTGTCCGATGGGATAAGAGTTGGTTTTATTTTAGCATTAGATGCCACAGTGTTATTCACAGTATTAACTGTTCCCCTGAGTAGTGGATTAACTGAAGTTGGGTTTTTGTTTTGAGTTGCTCCTACAGTCGTTTTTGGCATATTTTTTCTTTCAAACTGTTTAAGTCTATCACTCACGTTTATATTGCAAGAATTTGATCCTTCACCTAAACCTGCTGTTGAGACTTTCACATTTGCCTGTTTTATTGGCATTTGTTTTGAAGTTTTGAAACTGAACCTTTTCAGTGGTTTAGCAGCTTCCCTGGCCTGCTGTGATGGATCGAATTCTAATTGGTTATCAAAGTCAGCATTTTCCGTTTCTAAGGATTCATCAAGAGCTGTTAAAATATCTCTCTTGGGTTTGTCATCATGTTTGGACTTAATATCTTTAGCAGAGTTTACTTCATCCAATGGGGATTGATCATTTTGAGTCAGTGATGCAGTCCTAGTATTATTTAAGACTGACTGATCATTTTGAGTCACTGGTGTTTTGTCATCAACTGCAAATGGATTACTTGATGAATCGTCAAATGCAAACTTACTGAGCTTTGAAAGAGTTGTTTGTGAAACCTTCCTTTTCTTGGTAACTTGCTCCCCTGCTTTATTCTCATTGGAAAATGATATGCTTTCATCTAAGTTTTTTGGATTGTCAATGTCATGATTACTGTTGTTTTCTGGAGAAATATCAGCAGATTTGTCTGTAGTATCTACACATCCTTCATTGTCTAATTTATTCAGTTTCCTTTTTAATTTTGCAGATAATGAGGATTTTATTTTAATTCCTTTTGTACATTTTCCTCTAAGTGTGGTACTCTCACTTGTTATAGTTACTGCATTCACTTTGTTTTTATTCACAAATTTTGGATTTGTCTGTTTTTTAATATGATCATTATTGTCAATTGCATCTAACCAATCGGAATTTTGCCGTACTTCATTGTCCAAATCCTGAGGTATTTGTGATAATACTTCACCAGTCTTCTGGATTGACTCTTTTCTCATGTTCCTTTCCTTCAGGGGAGTACTATGTAGGATTGGTATAGCCTGTGTGCTTGGCTTCAAATGCTCATCTACTGTTGTATTGAATTGTTCTGTTGCTGTATATTTTACATTAGAAGCTGGCCTTATTGGTTTGGATTTAGGAGCTTCAAATATTGGTGATGAGATCATACTTGTTCCGCAGTCCTCTGAAACACTTTCATTCAGTAATGTGGATACAGATAAAAAACTTGTATCATTTTTGCTATCTTGGTTACTTTTGTCACCTGAGTTATAATTGTCATTTTGGTTATTATTAATCCATTTTGTCTGTTTATTTGATTTAGTCACTTGATGTGCTTGGTTTGGATTGTCACCACCAGGAGGAGATGTTGATCTATCACCAGACAGAGCTGTTGTCTCTTCTCGTAGACGAGCCTCCTCATCAAGCCTGGAGTTTTCCATCGTTAACTCCTCTTGGAGATTTAAACGTCCAAGAATCATTTCCGCTGAAAAAATTGAAAATATGTTTGAATTAAAAACAATCAATGCATCTATGAATGTTCATCTCTCTGGTAGTAATGTACTATTAACAAAGTTGTTGATTTTCTTTCTCAGAGATATTTATTTATTTTTATTTTATTTTATTTTATTTTTTTGACGTTTCGTAGGATGTCCATCCTACTTCTTCAGAAATAAAATTATATTTGAATCAAACTGAAATAATTAATTATTACATAACAATGAGACAAATAGCAACCGTTACTATAGAAAACTTCATTGATGTTACAATTAAAAAATTATTGAGAAAAATAGCAACCGTTACCATAAAAAACTTCAATGATGTAATATACAATTAAAAACATTACTAAGGTATTACACAACATACCACCTAGAAACGACACTAAGACATTATGAATATGAATATATAAACTATAACATCTTTTCCAAAAGTCCTGCGCAACTGTTCGAAATTGACCAAAACGCCCCGTTGTCTTCCAAAACGCCCCACAGTCCAGTCAGTATCTAGATAAGGTGTATAGATACAACGGGGTGTTTTGGAAGAGAACGGGCGTTTTGATCAATTTCGAACGTCGAACAGATGCGCAAGACTTTTGGAAATTGCTGCGTTTAATGTAATAAATATGTTGATGCAGAGATGGAGGGTTGTAATGGGAGTCCAAAAAAAAAATCTCTGAGAAAGAAAATCAACAACTTTGTTAATAGTAATTCAATGCATCATTTCAAAGGGAGCTATGAATTAGCACGATTGAAAAATGATTTCTTTTAAAATCCAGAGCATTATGAGATAGAGGTTTTTAAAAAAAACAAAATGGAATAAAAATTTAAAAGGCATATTGTCAGGCAAAATCACAAAACATGTCTCCTGGTTTGATTCAATAATAAGTGGATGTGCTCTAGGCCTAAATTATACAAAAATAATATATTATTTTCACTACATATTGTAATTAGGTTATACATGATATGTAAGGAATAAAGACCTTCATTCTATAATTCATGGCAAATATCTGAATATATGACCTCAAATTTAATTGACCATTGCAAAAAACCTAAATCGCGTTTTAACAATGAACATAATTTTTTAGTCATGTATTGCACCATAAATCATAGAATTGGTCTTTATTCCTAAACAATAATGATAATATATAAAGCCTATTCAGTTTTCAATATGCTTACCCTGTGCCCTGTATTCACTCTCTGCATCCTCAGGGAATGAAGTATGTAATGCATTCACTCCACCCAATAAAGCAGCTCCCTGAAACACATTGACCACATGGACTCAATACAACATACAATAAATTTCTCAGCTTCAAAGATTTTCAGCTATATATTTCCCCTTCAATTATCAGTTCAGGAAGTCAAAGTACCCGGGTCAAAGTAGAACTAGAACAAGCCATTTAATTTAATTTAATTAACATGCAATATGTCATCACCTGACATTTGTTACAGATTTTACTCTGCATCTTTCTATATTGAGTACTCAACTTTGTTATATCTTTATAAAAGTTTGATTGTATGAAGTTTGGACTACTACATTTCTTTATTTATTTCTCTTTGGCTCTCTTTTCACACTAGTCGAATGATTATTACTTAAGGTTGACCTAGTGGAATGACTTCTGAACCTTTCACTTGACGCTGCGCCAGTGTAGATGCCTTATAAGAAGGGGGATTCACTTTGAAATGATTCCAGGGGGTTCACATTTGACAGCTTTGGCCAAAAATCACATTGCTCGGAATCATGAAAAAATGAATGATTTGAAAGAATTTTTGGTCATGAAGTTCGCATGAATCAGCCGAACCCCCCCCCCCCCCTTCCCTGGCTATGGGCCTGTATCTGAAGCAGATTTTACCTGCATGGATGACTCCATAATGGAAACTGCAACAACTGCATCTTGCGTGAGAACTTCATTGCGGAACATCAACCTGGCATGAGCTGTAATAAAGAGGACATTACAGACGTTAAACATAATGTTGAAAATAATGATAAGCCATATGCTAACTACTGGAAAAGATTTGTAGGTGTTAAATACAGAGATTTTAACAATGGAGTATGTTCCGATAAATAGTCTTACCAATGAACATACTGTTTGTTCTATATCATTTAAAAACTAAATCAAAATCGGTACAAATCACGCTAAAAGTCAGTACAGCGGTTTGAGTTCCAGTCTTTGAAAGTAAGAGAATGTAAAGTGAAAGTAAAAATATGTACAAGTTGTATTTTAATCCTTGAAATGATGGCCATCAGTAGGACTGTTTGAAGCGCTAATAAATAGGAATCTTGTTATAAATCAGAATGGAGGTTTGAGTTAGTCTTTGAAAGTAAGAGTAAAATTATTTGAAAGTAAAGAGAGTATGAACTTTACAGTTGAATTGTAGGAAGCCCTAAAAATGAAGGTACACTACCTTGAGAAAGTCTGATCATGCTTTCTAGTAGCCTCATGGTTGTCCTGGCTGCATTGCGACCATCTGCCATTCTCTGGGCCCTGTAGTAGGCCTGCAGGACCTTCACAGCACTGTCAGTAAGCATGGGACTGAAGGACTTGATCATACATAAGTAAGCCTGCATCTTGTCCATGCTCCATAGTGATGTGTTGTGCATGTGGTCTAGAGATGAGAATTAAATAAATTGTCAAATGCTTACCATCCATTTTCACAATTTAGGTCAATTATTCAAATTGCCTATGGCTACAATCTACAATCTACATATGCCTATGTAGGTAAAGCTAGCCGTACACTAATGGGAAATGATGAGACATCAAGGAAGTTATTGAGTAAAATATTTTCATGGGACATGAAGGGACAAGTTGGGACATTCCCTTTGGACATCCTTGGGACATCAGGGGACATTGTCCCATGTTGTCCCTTTTTGTCCCAAGTTGTCCCCGGGACATTGTCCAACGTTGTCTGATTGTGTCCCGAGTTGTCCCTTTATGTCCCAAGAAAAGAATGAACATGTTGATTCTTTCCTTGGGACATTACCGGACAAATGAGGGACATTTCATCAGGTGTTGATCATATGACCATTTTCTGACCAAATGGCGCTATATTCCAATCATCGGACAAAATGAGACAATGCGGGACATTGTCCCATGATGTCTGGGGGACAAGGGCGGACAAGTTGGGACAAAACGGACAAAGGGACAAAGTCCCATTGGTGTACGGCTAGCTTAATGCTATGAAAACAGAATGTCTTTATTTCAAATTTCTTCAGAAAGTATGAATTGTTTTCCTAAATTTTAAACCTTGATCTTATTGTTGGCATCGACAACACCAGACTTGGTGTACTTCTACCAAGGTTAGCAACTACCATGACCATTGACTTACCTAAAGGGTTCTTCTCCTCTAATATGTAACTTGACACTACACGATCCCACTCTTCATTCATTGAGTCTAGGAGTACAATTACTAAGTCAAATCTGCTTAGTAGAGGGCTAGCTAGAGCAATGTTGACACTCAGTGACTGTTCAGGGTCATATTTACCCTTGGGGTTAGTGGCTGCTAGGATAGTTGTCCTTGTGTTCAGTTTACACACCAGGCCTGCCTAGAATACATATTTAAAGTACATGTGTATTTGAGTGATAGAAATAATAGCCATAAAAAGATGGCGGCACAATCAACCTGTTTATTCATCTTGTCAATGATTATCTTTATGGAAACACAACCCTAGCAACACTACCCTAGCAACATAATAAACGTGCAAACAATGATTATTATCACCTTAGCAACACTGATACTTTGCTGCTCCATGGCTTCATGTATACTGGCTTTGTCATGTTCCTTTATACTGTTGAACTCATCGATAGCACATAATCCTCCATCTGCTAGTACAAGGGCACCTGCTTCTAATGCCCACTCTCCACCATCCTGAGGGATATACATAGACTATGTGTTGATAAAAGATAGGCAAAAGCTGGTTGTGACATAACAAGGCCTGCAGTTGAATTAAAAGGTGGACATTTTTCGCACATTCTGTGGAGTGAGAATTATCTTAAATGTAAGACTACAAGATTTTACCAGTTTTTCTGAACATGTACAAAAAGAACAGTGTGAGTTTACCTTAACTGCTGTGACAGTTAAGCCAGCACTGGTGCTTCCAATCCCTGTAGTCAGTACAGACCTGGGGGTAATCTTTGCTGCATACTTCAGAAATTGAGATTTCCCTGTACCTAGAGTTATAGAAAAAAGAAAAATTAAATGCTAGGGAAATTATTAAATATGTTAAAAAATAAGTGAAAGTTGTAAGATGGGCAAAAATGGTCCAGGTTTTTGGAATAGGGTTGAAAGACTTAGTCCATGAATGGAGGATTTAGTATTATTGTATGTATTAGTAGCGGATGAACATTTAAAACTTCCATTTGGACACATCAGTACTGACTACTGATCTAAATATATAGGAAGGATGCTGTATACCAGATGTACAAGGTCTAGACATTTAACTTTCATTTATAGAATGAATATATCCTTACAATGTTCAATAACATTGTCACAATAAGCTCAAACAAGGCATTAACATGCAAAATGTCACCACATGCCATTTGTTATAGACAGCGACCAACGAAACCAACAACTGCCAAATGCGGACTGCTAAACACTGTCCACAAAAAAAAGTTGGGGACAATAACAATATGTCACCACTTCTTGATTCTGGAAGTGACATAAAAACATTCCATAGATACTATAAAATCTATGTGTTTATGCTGCAACTTACCAGGGTCTCCCACTAGCAGTAAATGTGACTCTCCTCGAACTTTAGTCCCATTATCATCCCTTCTCTGCACCCCTCCAGCCAGTACCAGCCCCACTGCAAGCTTCACTACATAGAGACCATACACCTGGGGACAGAGACTTGCTAGGATTTCGTTACGGGCTGTCATTGGTGAATACTGGTTTCTATCCCAAAACTGTTGAAACTCCTCTCTCTACAAATAAATGTACATGCAAAATATTAGAATAAGTATAAAAAAAAGGATACGCATAAAAATTGACACTCTACGCTTTAATTATAAAACACATTCTGGACCTGCAAGAACACAAGGAAAATGAATAATCTCAATTAAATGTCTGCAATATATTAACATGCAAAATGTCACTACCTGCCACTTGTTACAGATGTTGAATGCCAAACATTGGCCACCAACCACAGAATTCTGCCACAAATAAGTGGTGACATGGCAAACATATAATGAGCCTGTATTCATTAAATTCAGTTGTCTTTCAGTGTATAACTATGGCAACACATTGAAAAGCTAAACCATTTTAAATGAAATGCAATTCAAAACATGCTCAATTGACTGCCACTGTTGATTGTTAGGCCCTTAACACAAAGGCATGCAATGACATCATATGTAAATGCAAGCATATCATATCATATCATATTCTCTTATAGCAGTAAATATGTTTTACATCATTAAGGTTATCTAAGGTCACACTTATAAATCAAGGTGGTAAGATAAGAGAAGTACTTTCGTTTTGTTATTCTTCCTCGAAGTCAGTAATGACCTCAATGTACTCATAAGTACATGTAAGGTACCAAAATAGGTAGAATGTCATGCGCCAAGTTTTAAATTGCACAATAGGGGGGAAATAAAATAGAATAGTGTGATTGGCCATGTGGATGACTCTGTGAAGTACAAAGATGTGTAAAATTATAAAGCTTTTTTGATCTACATAAGATGTCTGTCGAATAAGGCTGATGTAAATGATGATTTCATACCAGGGAAATAGAAAATAAATACAGTGAAACTCTACTTAAGACATCTTCCCCCTCTCTCTCCTCTCCCTCTCCCTCCCCCTCTCCCTCTCTTTCCGTAGTACATTTTCATATTGACTTGATACAATTCATAGGATTCATATAAAGTTTGTGTGTTTTCTATTTTTCAAATGTTACCCTTTGTATCAATATCTGCCTCAAAGTAAACACCTTTGTGATGCACCAAACATTCACTATTGACAACATGGGAAAATAGAAAATAAATACAGTGAAACTCTACTTAAGACATCTTCCCCCTCTCTCTCCTCTCCCTCTCCCTCCCCCTCTCCCTCCCTCTCTTTCCGTAGTACATTTTCGAATTGACTTGATACAATTCATAGGATTCTTATTAAGTTTGCGTTTTTCTATTTTTCAAATGTTACCCTTTGTATTAATATCTGCCTCAAAGTAAACACCTTTGTGGAGCACCAAACGTTCACTATTGACTCGTGTCACTGTTTACTCCTAATTCGAAAATTATCATGTTTTCATGTTGTAAAATGAAAAAAGGATATCAACTGAGAGAGATCAGCAATGAGCAACTTAAACAGAGGTGTTAACCAATACTTTAAACTGTAAAGACGATCGCCAGAACAATATACAGATCATAATTTTGAGAAAAATTACATATAATAGGCTTGATCTTCATGATATTTTTTGAACAGGTCTCATAGTATAAACCTATAATTGTTCGTGTATATGCAGTTCTTATCATGCTATAAATCAATACTGCAAGAGCATTACATTTTACTTGCAGTTTGGAGTAAAAACATTAACATAAATAGATCGAAAGGACTTTCAATAGACTTAATAATTTTAACACTAATAAAGGATAAAAAGTTAGACTGACAATCAACAACATAGAAAACTCAGATAATCATGGCAATAGCGAGTAAAAGGATAAGATTGGATACTGATGCTGTACTGGAGAAGACAGTGACATGTCAAAAATGTATGAAATACATGGACGATCCTAGGATGCTCCCCTGCTTGCACACCTTCTGTAGGAGATGTATCCAGAAAACTATGGACAAATATGACAATAGCTTTCCATGCCATATCTGCAAAAAGGTGTGCAGGATACCAACAAATGATGAGGCAGCAGGAATAAAAGTGAACTCGTTTGCTCATTCAATTCTTAACATTCTAAAAGACAAAAATAATGAATGGAATTGTGATGTCTGCTTCGATGGAGGTGAGACTATCAAAGCTAAATCATTTTGTTGCGAATGCAATGAGAAGCACTGTACATACTGTGGACACACCCATGAATATTCACATTCAACAAGTACACACACTGTACTTAAGCTGACAGGAAATAAATCATGTGACACTAAAACAATGATAAATATGTTATCTCAACAGGCTTTGTGTTGCCGAAAACATCCAAGTGAGCCCTTAGAGTACCATTGTGAAGAACTCAAAAAGCTTATCTGTAGAGTATGTGCCCTACATCACAAAGGTCATCACCATAGTAACATAAAACAAACAGCAGATGGCAACATAGACACTTTGAGTGCAGCTATTGACCTTGGCAAAGAACGATTACGTGAAGATGAAGTCAACATTAACAAAATCCACAAACACATTGAAGCAATTGAGCAACAAATTAAAAATTCAAGAGCAAAACTGGATGCAGAAAAATGTTGCATCCAGAGAAAAGTGAACACATATTTTAATAACCTACAGAGTGAGCTCATATCTGTGGGCAATTCAGTGATAAAACAGACAGAATCCAATTTAGCTGTCTTCAAACTTGACCAAAAGGTCATTGATGACACCGTGATGCAACTAGAGGTGTTAAAAGAACATGGTCACGATACAGACATTGCGAATATGATACCAGAGATTAACACTAAGAAGCAAGACTGGTCTACCCCTGTAATTATTGATGTAAAACCTGTGGTTAATTTGACAATCAAGTCAAGTGAAATAAATGATGACAATGTTTTCTTTGCCAAGTTGAGAGAAGACAATACAAGCTTTCATCAGTCCAATTACATTCGCCATTCAGTTGACATGGAGGAGGACAAACCAGTAAGGTTAGAGAGAAGTCTTCAACCCAGAGACAGTGGCCATAAAGCATTGGCTCTACCAACAAGTCGGTTTGAGATGAAGGTCAAGTTGAGAGAAGAAAATACAAGCTTCCATCAGTCCAATTACATTCGCCATTCAGTTGACTTGGAGGACAAACCAGTAAGATTAGAGAGAAGTCTTCAACCTAGAGCCATTAGCCATAAAGCATTGGTTCATTCATCAAGCAAACAAAAGAACAATGAACATAAAATTGTCCATCAATTCAGTGATTTACGTGTGTCCAAAGATGACAAGATCATAACATTGGATGCTGATAAAATCAGAATCTATGACGAAACATCAAAGAATCCAAAAGTCATTAGCTTGTTTCATTCCAGTGGTGTCTCACTAACTACCACAGAGGAAAATAACTTGATCGTTTGCTACGAAAACGCAAGATGCACGGCTCTGCATGTTTACACTAATGACGGGACATACAAGGGTCAAATCAAGATTCCAAGCATCAAAGATCCACGAGACATTGCAATAAATCATCACAACAAGCTCATCATTTTAACTGGCAATGAGGAGATAAATGTTTGTGATTACACTGGTCCACATGCCCGTATCAGAAGCTTTGATATAGATGTCTCAGCCTGTAAAATACCAAATGAATGCACAATGGCCATAAACAGCAAAGATGTTCTCATTCTCTCTGGCCAAGGCTATGTCGAGGGAATTCAAATAGTAGATGGCAGAAAACGTAAAACAGTATTTAAGTTCAGTCCACGTGGCTGCAAAGGTGACATTTTGAAAGTATGTACTGACAGTAGAGACAACATCATACTACACAATGTTGATCAAGAAACAATCAAGCTCTACACTCCAGATTGCGAATTCATAAAGGACTTACTGACCCCTTCCACGTGTGAATGTCAAGTAATTGACATAGCTGTGAATAACGACGATGAGGTTGTGGTGGGAGCTAAGCACAAAGGCTCAGACACAAAAACATGTATATTCACTATCAGATAAACACACACTTATTTGCCAATTGGGAAGACCAGTGTGAAAATTTGTTCACTGAAAATGCCAACTCAACCAAACTGGTGATGCTACAAATGCTACATTGACATTTGACTCATGAATTCCAGATAAAAACTGCCCATATTACTGGAGCAGACAACATGAGTCTAATGCCAAAACATTATACAATGAAGTAAATTCTTCTGATCGTAAAGAAAAACAAATATTGCTAAAATATTTGTTTGAATTTTTACATACTATATCATATTTAGTTAGGTGCTGTACACTGCACATGCTTGTGTTTTAAAATGTGATGTCTTGTTTATATACTAATCTGTATTGCCTTGTCATTTCTATTATTGTAAAAGTTAAATTATAATGCCTGGTACAAGCATACCAGATGGCTGCATCAGATCGCTCAAAATACAACCAAGTTTCAAAATTTTTATGGGGGAGAACCCCCCTCCCAGACCCCCCTGAATGCTTCGATAAACTCGATTTCTCATGGTGGCGTACTTCTCATAAAAATAGCGCTACCCCCATGTATATAATGAACCTGTCTCTCCATATACAGGATACACCAAAAATGTCCATGTTTCTTATTTTGATATAACTTTTAAAACTTTATGGATTTTGATTCAATTTTCACAGGGGATGCAGGAATCACTTGTGCAATGGTTTCTGAAATTGGATAAATAGATCTTACTGGGTCTCTGGAAAATAAAAGATAAACTAGGGGTCTATATGAAAACCAATGATTCCTGCATCTCAGGCAAAAATATTTAAAATATATATGCATTATATTATTGAAATTCATTGAAAGACTTATCACCAAATAAAAATATGGACATGTTTTGGCCCACCCTATGTATTATTAGGTAGAAAAACAGTATATAACAATAATATATATATAGGGTGGATATACATATATCTTACCAGTTCCTGTGTGAGAATGCCTGCAGTTTGTTGTTCATTCAGGACTTGTACATGGTTCACTTTAACCACTAGTTCAATATCACAACGACTTTCACTCCCAAAACTCTTCCATCTACGCAAGACCGTCCCACTGATGAACAAATATATATGTGTATCAAATACCTGTTTAGGTTTTAGTAAATTAATCCGTAGACAATACACAAGTTACCATGGCAAATTTCCCCCCCCCCCAAAAAAAAATTACATCTTTTTCACATAGATAAAAATATATCAATCTCTGGCAGGTCTAAAAATGCAAGGGGGGCTAACAATTTATCTTGCCATTCCCTTCTCACACAAGCTTCAGGGAAAAAATAAGACCATTTCATCTTAATTTTGGCCTGAATTCTGAAATTTTAGGCCCTTTTAAAAAACAGTATGAGTATGCCCATTTTCTCAAAATGAGGTCGAAAATGAAAAATAAATGTTTAGCCCATTTTAGGAAAGGGGCAGATACAAGGATCACAAGTTTCATCCTTAAATATTTGCCTACAAATGCTATCAAGATATTTTATCCCACTAATATGCCCACCATCCACCCAGCATCAAAAACTATTAACATTTGGAAACACAACTAAATGAAAGTATAACTTACCATACAGCAACATCATCCCCTGGTTTACAGCTATCTACAAGATCATCCTCAAGCGCCAACCACATAGAGCGTGGTATTGTTCCCATGGTCAACTTCTGGACTTGTTCTTGTATTTTAACTTCCTGGTAGTTCCGACACTTAACTGGTGGTCCACCTTATATCAACACATGTAAAGGTAGAATAGATAAGGTGGTAAGAACAGACACATTCAGTGTTTTCTTTCACTGCAATACAACTATGTCATGTTCTTGTCTTTTTCATTTATATTTTATTTATATATATATCAAGTTTAATCTGTCACAAGGATTTTTTACCAGCCAACCTTTTTTCTTTTCTCTTACAAATGATTCATACATTCATATACCGAAAGTTTTAATTTCTCTAATCATATTTAAAATAAGGTTCCAAATAAGTTGCTTTAAAGCTCTTCATATGACTGTTCACCTGCATATGACAGTTAACCTGCATTGTTCACCTGCATATGGCAGTTTACCTGCATATGACAGTTTACCTGCATATGACAGTCAACCTGCATATGGCAGTTTACCTGCATATGACAGTTTACCTGTGTATGACAGTTTACCTCCATATGACAATTTACCTGCAAACTGCATGACAGTTGACCTCCATATGACAATTTACCTGCATATGACAACTGGTCTGCACATGACAGTTGACCTCCTTATGACTGTTTACTAGCATACGGCAGTTTACATGCATATGACAGTTTACCTGCATGTGAAACTTCACCTGCATATGACAGTTGGTCTTCACATGTCAGTTTACCTGCATATGACAGTTTACCAGCATATGACAGTAGGTCTGCATATGGAAGTTGACCTCAATATGACAGTTTACCTGCAAATGGCAATTTACCTGTATATGACATTTTACCTGCAAATGACAATTTATCACATAAGACAATTAACCTGCATATGACAGTCTACTACCTTATTCAGATTCTTACCTGCATCTACAACTGGGCTAAAATTGCTGGTATTACTGCAGTTATCTTCAGTATTGGGACATTTGTTGGGTCTACAGACACTGTAGTATTGGTCAAAGTCTGCCTAAAAAAATCAAAGTATCTAATTCACCCTATGCAGACAGAGCCTGTGGGAAATATTGGGTGCGGAGCAAATGAGCGGAGGGTGCGGAGCTAACGGTTATTTTTGAATTTAAATTTGGGATATTTCTGAAACTAAGCCGTTTTGGGACTTCAAATATACCAAGATATGTGTATTTGACACCAAATATCTATACAATTGTGAAAATAGTAGCGCAATTCATTCTATAGCGACGCAGTGTGCCTTAAACCTTTCCCAGACCTATATATTTTGAAATTATCCTTTTAATACTGAGTCCCCAGCATTCATAAAAAATGGTGTTCAAGGTGCACTATCCATACAAATTATTTTTGCATCTTGGAAGCCAGGCAGTATCTTTGTGATTTTATAAAAATTCGGAAATATTTTCAGATATGAGCCCCCTCTAAATATTGGGTGCGGAGCAGCTCCATAAACGTAGAGGGGCTCATATCTGAAAAACATTTCCGAATTTTTATAAAATCACACAGATACTGCCTGGCTTCCAAGATGCAAAAATAATTTGCATGGGTAGTGTATCTTGAACACCATTTTTTATGAATGCTGGGGACGCAGTATTAAAAGGATAGTCTCAAAATATATAGGTCTGGGAAATGTTTAAGGCATACTGCGTCGCTATAAAATGAATTGCACTACTATTTTCACAATTTTATTGATATTTGGTGTCAAATACACATATCTTGGTATATTTGAAGTCCCAAAACGGCTTAGTTTCAGAAATATCCCAATTTTAAATTCAAAAATGACCGTTAGCTCCGCACCCTCCGCTCATTTGCGCCGCACCCAATATTTCCCACAGGCTCTGTCTGCATAGGGTGTAATTCTATTAATGAAGTGCTATACATTTTATGCTGAAGTCTTGAAGCAGTCATTTTGAATGGCACCTCGGCAATAATTACCTTTTTATTTTGAATCTAAAGACTGCAGATTCACAATACAGTGAGTCAAATCATTAGAATAAAGTATTTATATGGTTTAGTTAAAATTATTAATAGAACTGATTTAGAATTCTTCCTATTTTAAATGAACTTGATTGAAATTGATTTAACACTTTTTAAAAGTATGCATCAATGTGGCATCTAAAAATTTATGAAAAGACAATCTTACCTTGACATTAAAGATGTGTTTGCAAGTGTTACAAATGAATTCTTTTTCATATTCCAACATTCGCACTTGGCTTGTTCTTATGACAGTACCTAAAAATTAATGTATCAATATACAATACAGATCAGTTTGTTGCCTACAAAACATGTTTTAGACTTCTCTCTAGGTTGCACACATTAAATGACCCATATTTTACAATAGTAGTGAAAATGACCCATTGTTTGCAATCAATGGTTGTACTGTGTAAAAGACCCATATTTCAGTCATACATGTAAGATGCGCCAAGGCTTTACAAGATCCTTGGATGCACTGAGTAAATGACACATTGTGTACAACCAATGGATGCAATGGGTAAATAGCCCATATTTTACAATCATAGGATGCACTGAGTAAATAGCCCATATTTTGCATTATAGAGTGAACTGAGTGAATGAACCATAATTTGCATCTGCTCCTACCTGTTATACAAAGATAAGTTCCTATGTCTGCAGCTTTGGGAAGTGTCTCCCTGCACAGTTCTGGACACACAGGTAGTCCCATTACCCTGGCATGTATTCGTTCTTTAATGCACTGAAAACCAAAAAATCATAGAGATTTATGCCAACATGTATGCAGAACAATTCTTACAAAAAGGCAGTCATTCTATCAATATAAATGTTTGAGTGTCAAATCATGTCAGATTATTACCAGAGATTCTTAAAATGTTGCCCTTGGCTAAAAGGTGAAAGCAGAGAAAAGCAGAAAGTAAATGCACTTGCAGCTTCTCTTACCATATCATCATTTTGTGGGTGGTCCCTAAAGATGGCTCTGGCTGTTCTTAGTAATGCAATGTCAAACAATGGCAGAATGGTAAGTGAGTTGTATACCAGTGGTTCTGACACATCCAGTTCAGCCTCAAAGTCAAACAGATTCAAAGCACTGAAATGAAAAGGATTTAAATGAAATGATATTTGGTTTCTCTTTATTTGTGTAAACATCCATGGTGAATTGCCTGAATAAAACAATTAAAAACATTACCAAAAAACTAATAATCTCCTCATCTATATAGGTAGGGCCTTCCTAAAATATATAGCATGAATAAAGTATCCTGCATGAGATTTTCTTTGGTTTGGATCAGTACAATGTTTACTAACTTGATGGTGATTGAGGCATGATCCACTTCTTCTGGTTGTAGCAATACTTCTACCAGATCATTGTGATGTTCCTTCATTGCATATGACTTGAAGTACTCTAAAACCAGATCATATTCATCAATACTTGCAATTCAGTACTGCCAAAGACTTTTACTTTGATTTTTATATTCATTTATGAAATATGTGTATCATACTAAAAATTACAAAGGATATAAAAAAAACATTTATACTGTTTATTGAGAAGAGAGTGGTCCTATATGTAAACTGAAGAATATATGGTAAGGATAATATTCTGTTATAGACGTCTAACCTATTCAGTACATTACCTATGTAACGCTCCCTTTCTTCTGTGGACATGTCTCCTTCTATCCCTGTCATTATAGCTGGTTTGTTTTTTGTTTCATATCTTTTCTTGAAAGTAAATGCATGAAAATTTTATGAAATATGTGGCAGGACTAAAAAATATGAAGTATTCATCTTGCATCATCACTAAGCACTCAATTCGCAGGTGTAAATATTTTCAAAACAAATGCGTGATATACACATATTTTGTACCAAATGCGTGACATAAACGGCAATCACGTGCAAAAAACGAACAGAATGCATTCGCTTTTTTTCGCCATTCGGTATTTTACTGTGACGGCATTTCACAAAAAATGATTTTTAAAAATATCAACAAAATGAGTGATTTGAATGATATTTGATCATACACGCTAAATTGATGCGTGATTTCTATTTTTCCAGCAAATGCGTGACAATCACGCCTAATGCCTGAGGGTTGACAGGGCAGTTACTTCTTATGATACAAAGACATAAGTCAGGTGAACCTTGGATCACAGCATCTACAGTTAAATTTTAAATGTTTGGAAGAAATTCATATGGTAAAAACAAGGAAATTATGTGATGTTTACCATGTATCTACTTACAAGAATGTTCTATGTCATCTCTCATCTGAGAGATGCCCAAAATGGCAATGGCAGATCCGAGTCGAACTCCAATGCAGTGTCTCGGTATAGACACTGCGGCGGGCAGGTGAAGCAAATCCCCAAAATTTGGGGAAAATAGTTCCCCTTTTCATCGCATATGTGGTCAATTTTCACACAACTAAAATATGTATTCATGAATGTTCCCCAAACATTATTTTGTCAAAATATTTCAAAATTATTGAAATATGAGAAGAAATCACCGCGGAAGGAATTCTGAGTAAAAGTTTTGTTGATAATAGTTTACCGCACGTGTTGTTTATTAGTTAATACGCGCATTCAACCAATGAAATTGTCTAAATTTTACAATCACGCGACCTGAGCATGGGACTAGAACCAATCACGTCAGTTGTTTATTACGAAGTTACCATGCTTACGGTGAGATACCTGCCCGCCGCAGTGATATATCACTGCACGGTTCGGATCCGAGTGAGAGTAGAAATCAAAGAGAACTTCCAAAATCCGCTGTCCGTGATTTTGTGATATGGTATTCATTTATATTATATAAAAAAGGAAAAAAAATAAAATGAAGCTAGAGCTTATACAATCATTTACTACTCACCCTTTATTAGCAGAAACTTATATAACAGATGAGATTTATTGTAAATTTTATGAACTTTTAATTTTGGCGGAAGTGTCTGTTTTACACAGTCCAAAATAATATATATTATATAAAGAACTTCCACATAAGACATTGGTAAGAGTTTGGGGAATTTTCACCGTCATCTATATATCTTCTGATCAGCTTTGAATTTGAATGAAAACAGTAAAATATGAGTGTCATGATACGAAGAGTTGATAATATTTATAAGTCAATATAATCAGAATGTGTTTTAGGAGCTCTTCTAAAAAGAGACGAAATAATAAGATATCAGGTCACGAAGTCTCATCTCTTATTGGCATTTGTGGGTAAGTAACGAATGATACATTATAATCCGTATATTAGAATGATGCATAAAAATTGTCTGAACGATTTGCACAAATTTAAGCATGTATACATTGTTTTGATCGATTGCTATTTTGTATTGCTTGTGGCTAAAATCGAACACTGGACACTGAACGAAAGCACAACAAACGAAAGTAAACAGTAAATCTAGGAACTACACATATTGCTTTTATCCCGGGAATATCTTTCAGTACTGAAATGGAACTAACGAAGATTGGTGGTCTTATTTATAATACCCTATACCTGAGACTATACTATACCATTATTGTGTAATCCTAATGTCTGCAGCACAAGAATCTTTTTTTCAGGCTGTACCTGATGTGAAAATTGTCATGGGTTCCACCTGCGTTGATCTGTCAGTGTCAATCCAAGACTATATCATCAAGCAATGCACCCAGAAACTCAACTTCACACAGTCGCTGGAGATTGATGGTGTTATGTGTGTGTCCCTTGACAAAAATGCCCCTGATGTAGTCATCCAGATTCATCGCTGTATTGTTCCATCGACAGCATGGAAGAATATGTCGCAACTTGATTCTGGGCCTTGCCTCCCAGCTAACACAGACAATTTACTTAGTGATTTCGGTCAAACTACATCAACAAGTGTGACACCTAAACCACCTGGGTCGAAAAAGCGAAGAAAAGGTGGAAGGAAAAAATTGCCTGCTGTTCACTCAGTTACATCTGAGAATCAGAATGCCATTAGCCCTGGGAACTACTTTGTTCTGGACCAGCCTGCTCCAAATTTAAATAGTATGTTTAATATACTGTAACTTATCCTAACATGTTAAGTATGAAGAATGGGAATTAATTTGAATTAAGTACATGTTTCTCAGCTTTTCATTTCTCAAATATTCAATTTTCCCACCATTTTTCAAATAAATGTCATATCTAATGTGCCACTTCACTGTTTTAGCATATCAAAATTATTTTGCAACCTAAGTGGCCCCATCATGACATCACACTTTTTGAAAAAAAGTAGAAAATTTTGCGAAACTTCAAAAATAAACTAACCAGGTAAAAAGGAATAATATAAAAGTATCATGTTTAAAATATTATTGTCCCAATGATTTCTATGGAACTAAAATTTTGAAATGCATGTGCATGTGAGGATAAATGCTATGCATTGTTGTGAATTATTGCTCATTTAAAGATATGTGTGACCTCTAAAATTTTTATCAAACAAAAGTCCTTCAAATACCACTTTTTGAAAAAAATGTTTCATATATGAGAATTTGATAACATAATAACTAAAATATAAACGGTTTAAACTTTATACATGTTATATGGGGGCTTTTGACAAAATCAAAGTATTTTATCACTACATTTTTTAACTAGTACATTCTTATCTTTAGGTAATGTTCCTTGTCCTCAACAGGAAGGCTTTGTTAGCCTTGGACCACCATTTGTATTGGACGCAAACCACCCATTGTCCACAAGTGGAATAACAACATTTTCAACGCCACTTGCAGGTTTGTAGCTTATAATAAACCTCATAAAAATGTGTGTTTAGAATATAAAAAAGCTGTCCCCTTATCCATCAATCAATTCATTTGTCTGCTTGGGTAATATCTCAAATTCTTGTTTGTTAGATGCGGTTGAATGTACTATGAGATGATAATTTGTGTGGAAGGACTTCTACTTGATGAGAATGAATCTTCGATATTTAACTTTTTGGTAAAGATGTAGTTTTTGGCTCACACAGTGAGCCTATGGGATCGACCAGGCATCTGTCCGTCCGTTGGTCCGTTGGTCCATCTGTCCGTTGGTCCGTCCATCCGTTAGTCCATTCATCCGTCCGTTGGTCCATCCGTCCGTCAACATTGGCTGCACAAATTGAGTCATATCCACATTCATTTTATGCATATCAATAATGCTTATTTGACCTATCATCGCCATTTCCCAAGTTTGCCCGGTTTCCGAGAAATTGCTGATTTTGACGTCAAAAAGTCAAATTTTCTGTAAATACTAGACAATTTGTTGAAGTAGAACTTTCAAATAACTTGTAGTAGTTGCTGTATATGCAGCTTATGTCCTCTAAAGATTTCAAAGCTCTTGGAATTACAGTTTTTGGTGTTTACTTTATAAAATTAGACAAAAAGTAGGACTTAATCATTTTCAGGAAACTTTCTCATGTATAAAGTCAATGCCAGGTTTTGTGATTGACAAGTTTCTCAAAGTTTGCCTTATACTTGATCATTTCTTGCAATGAATTACATCATTACTAGATTTAAGCATTCCCTACATATTGCTCCAGATATATCAGCATCAAATTTTTACAGTTTTTGAGATATTTGACATCAAAAAACAGTAAAAATACATTATTTTCAACTTGCTTCAATTTGACCAATTTTTTGGGAAAATCATCTACAAGTTGCCAGGAGTTCAAATCTGACATTAGTTTTAGGATTTGACCTTTACTTGTCCTTTGAAAGGTCAAAAAGTTGATTTTTCAAACTGATTTTTGGATGTAAATTTTCGTCAGCTTAATCACAAAAGACCTTACTGAGCTCTGAATAAGTAAACTTTTCAAGGTCAAAGGTCATCAAACTAGGTCACACAACTGTGCTATCTAAGTTTCTCAAAGTTCGAGACTACGCGCTCCAATTGAAAAAAGCCTATGGAAAATCATCTCCAATTATCACCTAACTTACTATTGATAATTAGTTGAAAGTTAGGTGTAAAAATTCACATGCAAATGAGCTAATTATCAACTTAATTAACGCTTAATTTGCAACTTAATTAACGATTAACTATCATCAATATGCAAATGAGCTATTTACGTAAATTAGTTGAAAGTTAGTTGTAAGTTTGATGTAAGTTAATCTCTAATTATCACCTAACTTACTATTGATAATTAGTTGAAAGTTAGGTTTAAGTCAGATTTGTGACATCTCAAAAATGACTCGCTTCTTTTTTGCTTCTCTTCACTCGGAGATTTTTGCTTCATCTTGAACTATTTTGTGACGGAATATTCATCTTAATTAGGATCTTTCAGAACAGACAACATTGAACTTGAACTATTGAAATTTCACAGCAAGAGGAGGGAAAACCCCATGATTCAATTGATGACATACGATTTCCTCCTTCGCACCACCTCCTTTTGTCGAAAACGTACCCTCCATCTTGGTTTTCAAAGTTTTCAAATTGACCTAGTTTTAAACCAATCAACGATCGACTCGCTAAACCAATCAGCGACGATGTCATCTCAATACAGATTTACATTATAAGCGTATGTCATCTTTGAACCCTGGGGTTTCTCCCCCTCTTTTTTAAAGCTATTCTATTTTGCAATTTTTTAAGATTCATGAAAAGCATGTGAAAACATCATTATTGCCATCAACAACTAAAATCAGATCACAAACATTAGACTATAATGTTACATAATAAGGACGTAACAGATATAATCAAAAATATGTTTTGAAATGTCTTTGATCTAACAATCATTATTTAGAAGAGCACATTTGGATTACTTGTGAAATATAGGTAACCCATGTTAGTACCTAAATTGCATTCTAGGATTAATATTATATGATCTGATTCAAAAAGATTTTTAAATTCATAAACATTTCAGACAGAAGTGTGAATAAGATTTAACATACATTGTATTCATGTTCTACATACCCTTATAATAATGTTGACCAAATTTCATGGTAGTATACGCACCATTCATGTTGTAATTCTCAATTTTATGAGAGAAATATCTCTCACATGTTTTCTTTTTCCACCATCTTGAAATTAAATTTAGGGGGTTTGTATTTCTAAATCATGGGCCTAATTTACGACTAATTATCATTATAATCATCCTATATGTTAACTATCAACCAATAATCTACTTCAGAACAAAAATGTTTTAATTTACCACTTACTATCACCCTCAAACATTTCATATCTTAATTATCAACTAAAAATCATAAATCAGCATTATTGTAAGTTAATTTACATTGAACTTGCTACTGATAATTAGGCCATAATTATCATTGATTTAATTAACGCTTAACTTTAATTCCAATTGCCAGCAGAATTGTTGATAATTAGTTGTAAATTAGTTGGTAATAAGTTGGTAATTAGTTTTATTTTTCAATTGGATTCAAATCAATATTTTTGTTTGAAAGTCAGGATATACATTCCTCTGAAGGTTCCAAAATCTGTGTGAGCCCAGGACCATGGGTCTTTTATTGGCTTAAATGCCTCTATTCCGCTAGATTTATAATCTTTGTTCAAAGAGGAAATCTCCAAATTCGATATAATTGCAATTTTCAGTCAGTACATCTCACTTTTGATAACTTCATTTTGAAATTAAACAGTACATGCAGTATACCTATTGTTTTGTACGCTCATACATGTCATAGGATTTTTGTAAATATTTACATGTTACATTACAGGTGTACCAGATCAGTTACACTGGAACTCTGTACCAGCCCCCACTCCAATGGCCCTCTATGATGTCACACGTCAGGTGACCATAGATATTGGCGATATGAACCAAACCACCAATCAGCAACCTTCCACAAGTTTAGCGGTGGGACAAAAGTTAGATGGCGATAAAACACCCCCACCCCCCAAAAATGCTCCTCTTGTGAAGCCAACAATCACTAATAAATCATCGTCAAAAAAGAGTGCTAAAAGAAAAGCAGCACCAGTGATTGTTCCATCTCCTGTTGAAGAAATGGTTGAAGAACTAGTCCCGAGAACCCGTCGAGGTGCTCAGATTGAACAGAAAAAAACTCTTAGAGATTCTAAAGTCCCTGGGCAGGTTTTGATGTCAAAGCGCACCCCAAAAGTAAGAATTGAAGTGAGCCCAGAGTTACAAGATTTTCAACAAAAAGCATCAATGGATCGTAAATCATACCCACAAAGAAAAGGAAAAAGTAATCAAAGGTCTACTAAAGGAACCTCAAGTAAACCAGTTCCTGTTATTAAACTTCCTGCTAAAACAACAGATGAGGCTATACGAAAGAGTATAAGAGGAGCTCCAGCACAAAAGAAGAAGGAAAAAGTTGTTGTAGTCAACCCACCACAAGATGACACAACAGCACTCACAATCACCAGAAGAAGCAAACGTAGCCTTCTGAAAGAGGAGCCAATTCCTGTATCAACTGCCGATCTGTCCGACAGTGAAAGTACTGGGAGTAGAAAGCGTCCTAGAAAGATGGTCAAACCTAAACGACATCCAGAATACAAGAAAGAAGAAGAAAAGAAAGCTGAGGCTCATATCCCAGTGAAGAAAACCACTAAAGTGAAGACTCCTCTAAAACAGAAGCCAATAAAAACTAAAGCCAGTTCAGGTTTAAAAGAATCATCGACTAAAGCAGCAAAATCTTCTGCCCCTTCACCTTCATTCAAAAAATCAATGATGAAACGGTACTCAGAAAAAGCACCCTCTCCTGAAAAATCAATAAAGTCAGCTCCAAAAATCCCTCCTGAGATTAAACCTAAAGCCCAACAGCGTTCCAAACTTGGTTCTGCTTTAATTAAGAAACAAATGGTGAAGAAAACACCAATCGTTAAGAAAAAGATTGGACCAAAATCCAAGGTTAAACCCAATGTAAAGACTTTCAAATCCCCACTGATTACAAAGGATCTAAAAATTGTGCTATCCCAAGTGAATGCTGGTATGGAAGCATTAAAAATAAGTAAACAGAAAATCATACCTGTGAATTTGGAAGACAATGATACTGACGGTTCACTTGATAAAGAAACTGTTGGTAATAAAGACTTCCCTTCTAAAGACACTGACAAGACACCCGAAAGTAGTACAACAAACGCAGAACATAGGATTAAAGAGAATACAATTACAGACAAAGACAATATCGCCACAGTTGAACCTAATAAAGTAAATGAAGGTGGTAGTATTACGGAAGATAAGGTACTTGGGAAAATTGACATTGTTAAGGAAACTGTCAAGAAAGATATAAATGATTCAACAAAAGATAAAGAAGTCTCTAAAGATGAAGCTTGTGATGCCGCAAATGTAGAAATAGAAAAAACTGCAGAAGATGCAGAACATGTTACTAGTGGTGCCTCAAATGTAGATGTAGAAAAGGTTACAGATGAAGGACAGAATGAATCTTATACTACTACAGAGAGCAATGTAAGAAATCTCCAAGATACTGAATTATCCCAAGATGAGGCAATGATTGATGGTGATTGTGAAGATAAAGGAGATAAAGCAGAAATTGATGAACATAATGGTGAAAATTTAGGTAATCAAGAATTACCTGAATGTAACCTTGATGACCAAAACATTGAACCAACTGGCACAGATGATAATATTACCCCACTTGAAGATTCAGGAGGCACTCCAACAGCCACAGATGGTAGTGACACTAAAGAAAGTGACACAGGTGAGGTACCTGATGAGGATGGAAGCAAGGGGAAAGATACTGATATTCTTGGCAGAGCTCTGGCTGAAAGTGGTTTAGATGAGATGGCTTCAGCTATGGACCAATTGGACAGTGGAACTCTGAGCACACCAGCTGAACCCTCGCCAACAACAGATGAGGAAGAAATAAGTCTTTGAACAATGGACCAACTTAGTGTTTTTCTCTACTTCAGTATATGTGTTCACGTTATCAGATTATCCTATTTTATGTTTTAGTATTACTTCATCCTACACTCCAATGTGCTTGTGGTTCATACATTTCCAGAAGAATTTACATTTTCTTTGGCTATCAGCAAATTCCTGGCTATAGTTTGAATACAAAACATCCTTTTTTCGTATTTTCCTAGTAAATAGATCTGAAAATTTCTTGAGTTTTTAATTAATATGTCAAATCTGCAAAATTCAAGTAGGGGCCAAATTAAGTGTATCTACAGTGTAACTTTTTTTCACATTGAAACATTTTCATGGAAAAAATGTTCTCTGCTTGCCATATCATTGTCCCGCCCCAGCCAGGATTTTTCAGATATTTTATTGTGGATATTGTTATGATTGTTTTGAGGTGTGTTTTGGATAGCAATTACTTTAATGTAAATTCTAATTCTATGGCAGTTGTTTAGGCAGTTGTTTTTTGAAAAATGGCCACCTTTTTATCCTATTTTACTATAACTCGTAAAGTAGTGGAGCGATTCTGTTCATATTTGGTATGTAAATACTATAAGCATGGCACACTGTCTAATGACACTTGTGGTAGAAGGTGGTCATTTTGAAAAATGGCTGCCATTTTTGCTATATACTTTGTTTGTAAAAATGCCAGCCATGGCTGTTCGATGGGATTTGCTACGCTTTGGCATTGCTGTTGTATAGTAAAAAATGTTTATTACACACGTCCCTGTGTATGTCATGGTACAAAGTATTATGTCACCACCACACTTGGTGACATAGTTATAGTCTCAACTTTTTTGTGGACAGCAGTTGGTGTTCAGCAATTGGTGTTCAGTGGTTGGTATTCAGCAGTCAGCATCTGTAACAAATGCCTGGTGTGACATTTTCATTTTGCACGTTTAGCCTTGTACAGGGTGGGCCAAAAAACCAATACCCAAATTTAAAGATGAATGATTCATATGATATATCTTAAACCATGCCATGTATAATGTATCATTTTTCACTGGTATAATAAATGGCATGAGTTAACATAAATCATATGATATTTATCTTTTAACCTTTGTTTCAGATGCAAAAATGCCCAAATTTATGCATTAGAATTCAAAAAAGGGAGGTCTCTTTCAGCCAGCTAACCTTAACATTTTAGGAATATTCTTAAATAAAGTCAGAAATATATAGGGATGACATGGAAACGTGTCCCAGTTTTTGGTAAACTTACTTTCAATTTGACTCTTAGTCTTTGTTGCCATACGATTATATAACAAAATGTTTCAGATTGGTTTAAAAATGGATTATAATAATTTTGTAATTTTGTGGCTTTATATGTTCATGCTGCATGTTCTTTACACCTTCTCGTTAAAAAATGGGAAAACTAGAAAATGACACAAAAATTCAGGGGGCAGGTGTAAATTGAAAGATGTGTGAGGGGTATACTGGCATTTACTTCTTGCATTTTTGTCCATCTGAGTATTAATTTGAGAAAAAAGAAAAATTCGCTCACTTTAAAGGCCCCGAGTATTCTAGTCTTCAAAAACAGGCCCAGTGGGAAAAGCATTCCATGTACATATAAAATTTAAAAAGATAAAGAGACAATGGTTCAGCTATGCATAACTTGCAATACATGTGACTCAACTTACCATAATGCCAAGAGTGATAAAGGATGATAGAGATTGTAAATTTGACCTTGACCTCAAGTGTTCTGTGTTCAATACACATTTGCCTATACCCTATTGTGTTGACCATTTGACCCTTCGATAGCCCTGTCAGAATAATAATGTCCTATCATCTTTTTGAAAAATAGAAATAAGTCTTTGAAAAGCATCTGTAAAGTATGAGTATGGCAATGGAGATAGGGTATGGGAAAGGGAATATCTTCGAATGGAAGAGGCTCAACTAAACAGTAAAATTCTGCAAAAATAATACGAACACTTTGTCAGGTACCAGAGGCGTTCCGATTAGACAAGTTTTACTGTACATGTATTTTCATACAATGACGCATTGTGAATGAATAGTGTTATTTTGATGTACATTGTATAATTCCTTTATGTGCACTTTAATTTCATATGTTTCTAATATCAGCCTGCTTCAGTGATCAACATTGTACAACGTAATTCATGTATCAATGTTTGATATCTATTTTATGTTAGAAATAATGAACAGTAAATATCAGCTATGTACTGTCGCTCAAAGTTTTATTAATAAACAAACTATGTAGGCTTTTAACATAAAATGTTACTATAACGTTAATAAAGTGTAGTCATATTAAAAGTGACTGGTTGTTATGTCATTCTTTTTATCAGTACTTTCAGGCAGAAACACCAGAGTACCATTTATCTTGTAATATCCTATTATTGTTCAAATCAACAGAAAAACTACCAGGTACCTATTATAATATAGTCACAATAGTCTACATTGAATACTATTTCACAGAACATACTCCATATATAGTCACTGTAGTCTACATTGAATACTATTTCACATAACATACTCCATATATAGTCACTGTAGTCTACATTGAATACTATTCCACATAACATACTCCATATATAGTCACTGTAGTCTACATTGAATACTATTCCACATAACATACTCCATATATAGTCACTGTAGTCTACATTGAATACTATTTCACATAACATACTCCATATATAGTCACTGTAGTCTACATTGAATACTATTTCACATAACATACTCCATATATAGTCACTGTAGTCTACATTGAATACTACTTCACAGAACATACTCCATATATAGTCACTGTAGTCTACATTGAATACTATTCCACATAACATACTCCATATATAGTCACTGTAGTCTACATTGAATACTACTTCACAGAACATACTCCATTGACTTCAGTATTGGTGAGGTCACATTCGCTATGATCTTCAACACCGCGCACCTGGCTGATGAGTATTGTGTTCAAAACTGGATTGAACAAAATATTCATTGGCCGGCAGGTACTAAAAATTGGAGCAAATGTGACCACGGCATAAACAATAGCGTTGGATGGGCTCACACAATGATCAACTGATTTAAACTCATTCCTTCATTCACAAGTAACCAACACTTCAATTCAGTATTCTGCTGACAAGGTGCGCTTTTTAAAACCTCAAGACTAATCGTTTTTCTTTTTTGGGTAATCATTTTTTTAAAAATAGGTCAAGTTGCAAAAGTATGTCAAATTACAAAATAGGTCAAGTTGCAAATAAAATACAGGGTGGGCCACAAAACAATACCCAAGTTTAAAGATGAATGATTCATACATCTTGATTCACAAGGTTTCGATTGTTCCTACCTCACCTTGATAAAGCCCGATTTAACCGACCACTGCGTAAATAAACCCCAGCTGAGTTCACTCTCAATATTGCTCCTCCTGGCAGTTGCCGCAGAGTTTTGTAAGATGCCATAAATATAACCAATCAACGATGCGATATTTATTCAGACATTTTCAATATTTTGAATGATGTATCTTTAAATTGATATACAATACATGGCATAGTTTTATATTATATCATATGATATTCATCCTTTAACTTGGGTATTGTTTTTTTGGCCTACCCTGTACAGATAAGTTTAATTCATATGATACAAACTACCACAGGATAATTATAAAATCAATAGAATTAGATCATCATGGAAGTAATATCGCATGTGAGTAATACTGCAAGCCCAATTTTTGGGCAAAAATTATAGCGCTCTGAGGAAAACTGCAAAATCTGTGAAGCTACAACTAACACTGATACTTCTCAACATCATTTGCCTGATCTGGAAAAATATAAATGATTCAGTTGTACAGACTCATATATTGTCAAAAATGTGATCATTGACGACAAAAAAAACTGATTATTTCAAAATGAGGCAAAAGTTGGAGCCAGGACAAATGGTGTAAATTAAGTCTGATGTGGACAAATGCTAGTTTTCATTTGTCCAAAAATTGTTGACACACCAGACAGATGGATAAGTGGGCAGTCATTAAGTTCACCAAGTGAGCAAAAATACTCCGTAGTGAGCACCATCTATATTTACGTGAATACTCTTGTGGCTTTAAAGGCGTTCATTGTACACAGGTTTTACAGTATCAAATTCCAAGAGGTTCTCATTTTTTAAAAAAGCTTCATAATGTATAAACCTTACAAGCATGCTGACTGTGAGCAACTGACAACAACATTGGCCTAATAATACTACTTATTTTATTTCAACACCTAGCCCCTCTAATTGTTTCTCATATACACTATGCAGTGTACTGTCTATACTTTCATCACTATCCCATAGAACCTCCACATCATCTTTAGACAGTTTCTCCTGTTGACCTTCATAGCTATCATGCTCATTTTCTGATTCTAGTAAAATACATTCATCTTCCACAGAACTTGATATTTTTGAGTTATTGCCAGTGTTTATTTTCCTTTTTCGCTTTTTATTGGATGGGGCATCAAGTTCATCAAAATCAGAATCATAAGTTGTTTCTACTGGTTTCATTGATTTTCGTTTTTTATTAGAGACATTCTGTTTCTGTTTTCTTTCACTAGAGTTTGTTTTCTCAGTTAGATCCTTGGATGGTTTATTGAGTCTTTGAGCATTATTGACTTGCTTGGAGTTATTCAGTCCTTGACTTTCATTCGGTCCTTGGCTGCTGTCCGCCTGACTAGAGTTACTGTTACCCGATTTTGTCTTAGTTGCAAAGTCAAGGAGAATTTGTGAATCATTGACCTTCCTAGATCCTGAAAAAATTAATAATCCTTTGTAATATAATCTGAATAGTTTATATTATAAGATTTCTGTAAAATCAATCATTATCATGAGTTGGTTTTAATTGGCGTTTTTGGTGACTATTAAAGGCCCACTATACTTAATTAAGAAGAAAAAAAGGAAAAAATAATCATTGAAACATGTTTCTCCCAGACTCCCTCAAATATGACACAGAACTTGATTTGCTTTAATATTGCACCAAGAAAAAAATAACTCACATAGAAAACAGCATTTGAAGTTCAGAGATCATTAGTAGTGCACACACATGTTAAACAAAGTGCATGTTTTAAATAACTCTTGATTTAAAAGATGGCGACAATTCTATAAAAATGAATGAATCATGTAATACAAACAACTTCGCCATCTTTCAATGACATTGATAAAAATTTGATATTTAAAGCTTGACAGATCGAAATATGTTTTGATAACTTATTGTAAGCTTTAATGTGGTCCGTTTGAGCTGATTTTGGTGTTGAATGAAAGATAAAATTCTTATCAATCAATTGGACATATTATGACATTCAAATGTTAATCTTTATTTTGCCCAAAAATGTTGAAAATATGCAAAGTGGGCC